CGGTCAGAAGGAGTCCGCCCTTTACCTTTGTCCGCTACAGAATTCCAAGTCAGCTTGCGCAAACTGCCTACTGGTTAAATTGTTCCGCTTCAAGACAGACCATACGTCTGAGCGCGTCCCGCTGTTTGATATAAATCGCTATAAGTCTTTCCCGGCCCAGACACTCCACCAATCAGAATCCTTTGGAAGACAACCGTCGTTATCGAACAACCAATAAGAGCCTCGATGTGTAGTTCTCGAACAACAGGAATTAATCAAAGGAAACCGACCAAGGTTTGATAGGGGCGGTGTATAGCTTTGACTTTTTAAGAACTATTTTATAAAACCGTTTATATTTGTATTGAGCCTTAGAATATAATTCTTGTCAACTAAATGGTTGTGGGCAATATTCACATTTCATCATGAACAAGAAAAACAGAGAACTCCCTTTGAAATCCATTGGGAAAATATGTAGGAGATCAGAAAAGCAACATTGAAACTCCCCCTTGCCATTTTTTGTTTAAAAACAAGGGAATCAGAAAAAGGTCAATTAAATTAACCACTGGAATTTATTCTGTTCTGGGGTAAATTTATAAAAGGTTCAGGATTTATCTTTGTTTTTCATAGTACATTCATCATAGTACACAGTATCTTGATTTATTCTTACGTATTTATTCTCACCTCGTAATATGTGGGTAAAGTAAAGATTTTCTTTAAGGCCTGTAATTTATTTCCATGGATATATAGATCACTTGTTTATATTTGATACATGAAAACCCAGACATAAATCGTATAAAATTTCCCCCTGGAATCTGTCGTGAATGAGTTTGGGAGTTCCGTAAATTTAATTGACTAAGGTTTTTTTTTAGATTGTCTAAATTGATAAACCGTAAACTACTCAATAAATTAATCACCAAAATCTATTCGTTGAGTTTTTGAGGTCTTTAAATGAATGGGCTGGTAAAATAATTTAACTTTTTCTCTATGTGAAAGCGAGAAAAAAATGTGTTTGGAAATTATTAAGGTCATTTTGGAATTGATGGGGTAGTGGATTTTTTAAAATTAATTTTCAAATACAATTTCCTACAAGTGGACAAAGAACAAACGTATGAAGTTATTTTGAATATGTTAGGCCCTGTTTCTTGGGATTAACAGGTTGAATAAGGGTTTTGGGCCAAAAGGCGAATTCATCCGGGGAATAAAATTACGAGTATCTTTTAAATAAATTCCTTTGGGGCAAAGCTTGGGCTTCCAGTCAATGATTGACAGCCGACTTGCATTTGTAATACAGTGTATCTTTTTCGGAGATAAGAAGTAGGCCAGGGGAAATTCTTTTGAGGCGGCGCTAAAAGAGACCAAATGGCGCGCGAGAATTGATCTTTTAAACCCATTGGATGACGATCTTGTCACTGGGGCATTGGTTTTGCCGGGACTTGGGGTTTGCTGAAAACATGCGAAGCTGTGCTCGGTTGATTGTACTGGCGATCAAATGCTACTACACACGAAACCATCACCCTGCGGTTACCGTCTGAGGTGTGCCCTGTAACAAAACACTGACAACGAACAATAAAATCAGGAACCTATGAAAGTCAGAATTCTAAAATAAACAGCTTTTGTTTTTAATTTTAACGCTGTCTTTGTGACATGATTTTGGCAATAAGTATTACTATCATCCAAGACTCCCAAGTACTTAAAGACACTTTCTTTTTTCCCAAGGTAATATGATCAATGCCGACTTCAACATTCTCAGTGCGAGCAAGTTTACGAGCTGTTCCAAGTTAGGCCTATGTACATGTATTGCGCTTGGAGATACATGTATTCCGTTTGTTACACTTGAGCCAGGAGTTAACTCGGCCACGTTCGGTGTTCAAAAGAAAAAGAAAACGTTTCCTGGTTTAGGCAAAAGTTTGTAAAAACTGTCACGGCGATGATGTGTCAGACGAAAAGAAAAATTATAGTCCTACAGTGTAACTAACTACATTGTATAAGATCATAAAAAAATCATATTAAACACGTTGGCGAATTAAAGAAAAACAGCGAAAAAAAATTGGAGAAAACAAAAACAAATTTGAAACATCCAAATTAGAACACCAATCAACCCGGATAAAAATTCTAAGAGCAAAACAGTCTAAAGGCAATTAAATTCAAAACAATGGCATAAAATGGACAAGAAAAATACCACCACAGGAGAAAGAAAATTACATTTACTGGAACCTTCTTGTTTTCCTACAGGTGCTTTTCATATAACTTTCCACAGGAAAAACGTGTGAAACACTGTACTTGATAACTGGGTTCCTGAAATGAAGTGTACATGTAGTGCCCTACACACCCCATATTTAAAGAAATCATATTAACGCCACAACAGTTATATTCAAGAGTGAATTTTCCCCCAGAAATACCTACCCATTTATTGATCATGAATCCCGTTCTTCAGGTAATTACAGTGGCGAAAAAAAAAATAGAACCGGGGTAAATTAAATAAATCAAAAGTAATAAATGTACATGTATCAGGTTATATAAATCAGGCATGCAACTGGGAAATCACAAAAGAAAGAGGAAATTCAAATTTTTCACAGACTTTGTACAGTGTTTTTCTGTGTTCAATGGCACACATGGGAAGTAAAAAAAAAAGGAGGAAATCAGCTGATCTGAGGAAAAGTTGCATGCCTGATAAATGGCGTATAGGTTTTTGCAGGCGAATCACAATAAACTGATTTAAGTAAGCCCTTCGCAATTTTTGTTACGCCAGCCACTGTTGCAAATTGTGCACAGAGTACTCAGAGCTGAGGGAACTGGCGTTTCGTCGATCCTGCAATGTGAGTTAAAGCTACGGAGTTTAACACCTCCGGTAAGTACTAGTATTGCAAGTGTTAAATTCGAATGCGATCTCCAACTCCGGACAGCACTGACGCCAATGTTTTAACGTAAATTGGGTCATTCATATGGCAAGGTAAAACACTTTGAAAATGTGCAGAACAATAAATTAACAAACAAATCACCCGCCGTCTTTTGGTTTCCAGACTAAAATCTGAGTAAGACATGCTGACGGCTTCCCCCAGTGAATTAAAACTAAAAACACATAGCGCAGTGCAATAAATTGTCCAAGCGCTGTCGTTACAGTTCACAGTACACAAATGTACATATAAGCCGGTACCACACACGCGCGCACCGTCCTAGTGCGTACTGATTTTGGCACAGTTTTTACCGCGTGGCCCAGAAATGTAATACATTTGAGAAACCATCAACACAACACACAAAATGTCTGCGTGGTTAGCGCGCGGATCACGCCGCACGTTGTGCATAGATTTCAATATGAACACGGCAGTACATGTTGAGTCACTGTGGTTCATTGCAATATGCACAAAGAATTTTGAAAATGCATATTGTTGTGATGGTTATTCGACGGACATGACAGAAATGGCAAAATGAAGGAAAGAAGTATTATTCCGAAGAACGAAATGAGTCTTTGTTCGGGACTGGACATTTCAAGTTTCCTGCATGGGAATAGAATATTTGGGACATAAATTCTCTGAAGAGATAGGGAACAGAATATTCTATACCGAGAAAAACTAGGCGGGAAAAATATTCTCGCAAACCAGGAAAACACTATTATAACATGAGGGGGAAAGATCTCTTCGGACCCATATACGAAAAAAATGATGCTGTGGTAAAGTTGCAAGTTTTCATTCATGTTTTTATTCAAAGAGGAATATGAACAGAGCCAGTTAAAAAAGGGCCAGTATCTTTCATAATAATCTGCTCTGGAGAATAAAAAAAAACACTTCCCAAAGAATGATTGACAGCCAACTAATAGCAGTGTCGTCGGCAGCATGCCTCTGTTGTCCAATTGACTTCTCGAATTACATCCGTGTAGAGTTTCTTTGTTGACTAAGGGTCATGGTCTGCAGCCAATTAAAGTAGGAATTTGTGAGATGGCAAGATGTGATTGGTCGTCGTTTGTCGTTCTGACATTCAGCTTCGTTCCACTTGTGTTTGATTGGACGGCAGTACTGCCTTGGGAAGTATTCTTTCATAGAACTTGAGAAGGAGCCGACTTTTTTTTACTGGGCGGGAATTTTTAAGGTGTAAAAACTTGTGCCTCCTTGAGTTGACATCATTCAGCCGCCAACTTGCGGGAAATTAACGGCGCAAAGACGGCCGTCCCAGGCGCAAAGCCCAGCCGGTATTCCGGGGCGGTGTGCGGTCTGTCTTCCCCGGCCCCACGCGTGGGATAGTTTTCCCCGCGCGTGGAGCCGTGCGTGGAGCCACGCGTGGGACAAAGCGCCAAATCTGTTCCCGCATATTTTTCCCGCGCGTGATTATCGCGTGGAGCCGCTCTCCGTCTTTCTGTCAGTGCCCATGTGAAAAACACTGCGGCGTACACGCGAAAACCACGCGTGATTAGCGCGATAAACACGCGCTAAACCTAGCTAGTGATAAAATGTAAATAGCGTGGTATGCGTGTTATCGCAGGAGTCTAAATTCTTTCGCTCCACACTGTACATGGGTTGGAATCCTGACCAAGGAGACATGGTGCTTGTGCTCCTGAGCAAGGCACTTTACCATTATTGCTTCCGTCCTTCGGATGGGACGTAAAGCCGTAGGTCCCGTGTGCTGTGTAATGCACGTTAAGGAACCCAGTAACACTTATCGCTAAGAGAAGGGGTTTGCCCCGGTGTTTCTGGCAGTGGCTGCAATATGCGCCACAGCACCTTGTTAACCCTTATAAGGTGCTACATAATGGTTCTCATATTTCTCATGTACTTCATTACCTGTCTCTAATAATAGACATAATTTCCAGCGCCTTGAGTACCTAATTGTTGGTAGATACGTGCGCTATATAACACTTCGGTATTATTATTATTATTATTAAGCCCAACTTTTCTTGCTAGCCTGAAACTATGCTAATGCTGTTGGTGCAAAGATTTCTGCAAAACTTGACAATTTCTTTTTTTTTTGCCTTCGGTAATAAGTGTCATGAAATTGGGTTGTGGTATAAAAAAGCAGGACGTAGTTGATACCATTGAGTGACGGCGTAGTGAAGTCCAGCAGAGACGTCAGAGCCACGTGTTCCACTACGTCCTCCAATGCAAAGCAATGCCTGGCGATCAAGATGGCGGCAAAGACCGCGACCGAGTCATGGATGGACAGATCATTCACCTGTCAAAAAGCAATTAAATATCTCATTTTTTTCTTTTCAAACCAAAAGCTACTAATCCTTCATCCTGGATTGTGTTTCAGGCTGTAGTTGTTTCAATCCTGTTCACAACAACCAATGAAAAATGACACCAGTGAAAGGTTTATCACTGGGCCCAAGTTATGCACCTGCTAAACAGAATACAGGGTGTCCCCCAAAAAGCTACAGCTATACAGCACGTCCCAAAATACTCGCAACATTTTTTTGTGAGGCTCTAGCGTCGCCACAGAAACACGTACCGCCATTATAGTTATATCATTTTAAAGCTTGGAATCTGAACTTTATCCCTGGTCAGTATTGGTTTGATTTTCAAAAGGGTTTTAGAATTATTCGTGTTTAAATAAAAGCATGTCGAAAATAAACTCAACCGATTTCAAGGAAAATCAATCATTTTTTCTAATGTGGAAATGCTTCATGTTCATGATGTGACGATCTCATTGCCCTTTAATTTCTGTGTTTCTGTTTGTTTTCGATCCACGTAGACTACACCTTAAATAAATTCACAATTATTTTCTTCCTTTCGAGTTCAATGTGTGTTTAATATACATGTATATCAACTGTTTTTGTTTGTTTTTTAATTTCAACAGCTTGTTGACTCAAGTTTGCTTCTGATGTACCGCATCATCGATTTCCCTTGGAATCGGTTGAGTTTGTTTTTGACATGCCTTTATTTGAACAGGAATAATTTTAAAACCATTTTAGATATCAAACAAATACTCGCTAGGGATAAACTTAAATTCCAAGCTTTAAAATTGTATAAAAATAATGGCGGTGCGTGTTTCCGCACCCACCCTAAAGCTTTGCAAAAAAAAGATGCAGGTTTTTTGGGAAGCACCGTATAGTGAAGGTAGCAATTGAAAGACTAACTCAAATAAAGATTATGACTCAAGCTTTTGTAGGAGCTGATGAAGTAGCAGTAGCTATGCAAGTTCATGCCATAATCTTAATTTTACATCTTTGCCTTAAATAGTAACAAAGGGATAATACTGAACAAGCTTTGTACTTAACAACCATAGTTAAAGGTTTTATTATAAACTAGGGGCAGTAAGCTCTATTTGACATCTTGGATGCATTCCTCTGGTTATGCATCACTAAGCTCCCTTGCATTACAATTGGTATGCGAAAACCTTCTAAAAAATTATCGGCACATCCAGACGTAAGACAAGGAGAATCAACGAACATTCACGAAAACATTAAAAACCCCATATAATGCTGACAAACTCACATCAACTTGGCAGAGGATGTCGTTGAATCCACAGCTTGGGTTGGATGAGCAGCAGAGAGCCTTAAGCACGCCCAGCCACTCAGAGCTGAGGGCACTGCAACATGACGTCAGCTCAGCACACATGATGGATAGGTCATTCAACCTATGTAGGCAACGCAAAGAAAATAAGATCAATGAAAAGGATAAAGAACTACAGTTGTAATTCAGTTGAACACAAGTCAGGTCAGAAGTAAGGTCGCAACTCAGGTCACAAGTCAGGTCACAAGTCAGGTCACAAGTCCGGTCACAAGTCAGGTCACAAGTCAGGTCACAGGTCAAGTCACAAGTCAGGTCACAAGTCAGGTCACAAGTCAGGTCAGAAGTAAGGTCACAAGTCAGGTCACAAGTCAGGTCACAAGTCAGGTCACAAGTCAGGTCACAAGTCAGGTCACAAGTCCGGTCACAAGTCAGGTCACAAGTCAGGTCACAAGTCAGGTCACAAGTCAGGTCACAGGTCAGGTCACAAGTCGGTTCACAAGTCATGTCATAAACTTAGTCAGGTCACAAGTCAGGTCACGTGTCAGGTCACAAGTCAGGTGACAAGAAAGGTCACCGGTCAGATCCCAAGTCAGGTCACAGGTCAGTCACCGGTTAGGTCACAAGTTTGGTCACAAGTCCGGTCAGAAGTCTGGTCACAAGTCCGGTCTCAAGTCATGTCACGAGTCCGGTCATAAGTCAGGAAAGAAGTCAGGTCATACATGTGAGTAAGTCTGACCACAAGTCAGGTCACAAATTGGGTCAAAAGTCAGGTCAGAAGTCAGGTCAGAAGTCAGGTCAGAAGTTGGGTCGGAAGTCTGGTCAGATGTTGGGTCGGAAGTTGGTTCACAAGTCAGGTCACAAGTCAGGTCACAAGTCAGGCCACAAGTTGGGTCACAAGTCTGGTCGTGAGTCAGGTCACAAGACAGGTCAAAATACATTGGTTTTATCAGTATGACAACAGGTCTCCAAAATGCCAAATGGATGATGATGAACTCACATTTGCACATCTGTAGGGCAGCAAATGCTGAGTAGGGCATTGCACACAAAGCTGTAGCGGTCTGTGGAGCTCTCATTCAGCTGTTTGCCTAATGAGGTGTGGTGAAACTGACGACCCCTGTGGACACAGAACAGCATTTCAGGAGTTAGAAAAATGTGGGCAAGAGAAAGTATTGCTGGACTAAACCAAGCCATTTATTCAACAAGTATTATTATTATTATTAATAATTATATCCTCTATCCATGGAGGGATTCAATGGTAGGGGTATGTCACAAATATAGGTTTTCACGGCTAGTTGAAAACGCTTTTCATTCAAATTCCCCAACTGTAACATTCAATTTCACACGCTTTTTAATACCAAAACTAATAGTCATTTACCATTCAATTTCAAAGTTTGATAACCCTCTTTTAAATACTGTGTCCAGAATATTCGTCATTACAGATCAAATTTGTCTAAGTTGTTGCCGAATGGCAGCATTCAGAGATCAAATTTGTCTTATATCAATTAATATATAACTTGTAAGTAAATTAGTCTGGTGTGTGATTGAGCATTTTCCTTGTGCCCCAAAGCACAATTTGGCACATTCACTCGCACGATTTTATTAGAAGAAGTAGTGTATTAAACTCAAAGAACAGTTACAAAAAAGTGTAAAGATTACCAAGATCAACAAAACAATATCAATTTAAATAAACAAACAAAAAGAATAAGTGATAAAACGAAGGAAGGAAATGTCAAAAATCATGAATCGATAACCTTAAATCCCCGTGTAATGTGCCTAAAATATTGAGTCTTACATACATGTACTTTAAAGGTACAGTCCATCATTTGTAATTTGTGCATTTTGTTCGTTTGAAGCAACAAACGTGCTCAAGATCTAAAGAAGGGTGCTGAACAACTAACCCGATGAAGTTTTAGCTCAGCTTCAGCTGTATATTTGGAGAAAAACAGCATTCTAGGATCAAGATTTCAAATCAAAAGTTGCTGAATCATGTTTTGAATTGGGCCTGAATTCAGCGTCCGAGACGCGTTCTCACTGAGTTGATTGCAGCTACGCGATGTTGCGCACTGATCCGATGAATTGAAGCGACCGTGCGCGCGTCGTGTCAACGCATGCAGGCGCTTCACCGAATAAAAAACGAACTACTAACGGAAATTTCCAAAGGTGCGTCTTAAGATGCACCGTTGGAAAGGCCTTCTCTTGTTGATTTCTTCAACATGACAGCTTGCCCGAAAGAATAATTTCACAGGGAGTTTAGTCCCCTTACTATCTTTCAACCAAGTATGTTTTTTCAACAAGAATTTCGTCAGTTACTTTTTGGATAGCTGCAAATGATGGGCTGTAGCTTTAAGAAGATATAATCAAAAGAAACAAACAATAACTTTATGAAGAAACAAGGAAAGAAAAAAATGTGAGGAATTATTCTTATTAGCAGCCTATATGCTTTCTACTGAAGACATCATAATGAGGTATGACGAAATTAAACTAAACTATGATCAAATAGTGTGGCATAGACAAATTTGATTTCTGAATAACAAGGTTTGGCAAGGTAGAGGCGATGAAACGTAATACTCTGGGATGAAAACGTGTACTCATTGTATGAATTTGCTTGAACTAAATTTGAAAGTGTCTGACAAAAGACAAAATTAAACATTGGAAGTGCACTCAATCGATGTTGCTGGATGTATCTGAATAGCGTGTGTGAGGTAGGCTCAGAATTTCCCGGTTAACACAGTAGGGCTAGACGTTGTTATGGTTTGATACACGATAACCCGCCACAGCGATAACCCGCTGCCGCGAGAGGGCGTTATGACGACCAACCAATATCACCCACAGACTTGTCGGAACAACGTCTGGCCAAGAAAAATGGGGGAAACTAGTGCGCATACACTGCTTCTGCAGGCAATTACTGTTCATTTTCAGTCCCACCCATACTACACACAACAAATGAGCGGACCAGTGAAGTAGCAAAAAAGTCTTGCTGCATCTTTCACATTAATGGAAATAATTTGAGAGTTTGCTTCGGAACCACTATGAAGTTTTTTGAATGTGCGTTGAATATATGTGACCTGTTCTGTCAAAAGCAGACGCTTCTGGGCAGAGGTTGGAATTGAGATAGGGCCAAAAAACGCTGTGGGGGTGATTTTTATCGATTTTCAAATTTTTGCATATTTGTAATCCCGAACATGTCTAAAATATATTATAAAAGTTTGAAACCCTAATTTGAACTCTACATGTACTATTTTTGATGATTTTGATAAGGTATATCAGTTTAAGAAATAACTGTTTTGTGACGTTCGTGGCCATTTTCTCCGTTTTCTACTTTTCGACACAATGAACTTCAAAAGAGCATAACTCTGCCCAGGAATGACCGGTTTCAAAAACTAAAAACCACCTATTAAAAGGAAAAAGAACACATGTTAACAATATGTAAAAATATCATTTTTGACCTTATGCCCAGAAAAGTCTGATTTTGACAGAACAGGTCACATATTAGGCCAAACAGGTGCGCACGCATTACACAACCAGTACGAATTGGCCTAGACGTTGTTCCGACGGGCTCGTGGGTGATATTGGTTGGTTGTGATAGCCCCCTCTCGTGGCGGCAGGTTATCGCTGCGGTGGGTTATCGTGTATCAAACCATAGCAACCTCTAGCCCCTAGACTACAGTTAGCACTTCCGAAGTTCCTAAGATCAGAGTTGATTCAGCTTGTTGAAAGTGCCCTCCACCACTATGGCGTATTTTCCGTGCCTACTGTGGACTGGCTGTTTTAGGTGAATAAAATCTATTCCGGTTTTGGAACAAGACTAGGGCCAAGTTCGGGCAAGGACCATTAGTCGACTAGTGGTTGATTTGTGACGTACCTTACGCCTGCGCACTAATAGCAATGCGCGAACGTCTCTAGTCCAATGCTGGTCAAAATGTCATCGCAAAACTTCTAGATCCTAGCTCTCTGCTAGCGTTATGAATGCGCGCGGCTATTGGTTACCAGCGAAGCAACCAACCCCAGTATGCTGGTTCCAAATAGTCGACTAGCGTAGTCAACTGCCGTCGACTAGACAGAGTTCGGGCAAACGTTAGTTAACCATTGGTCAACTATAGTCCTTGCGCGAACTTGGCCTAAGTTTTACCTGGGGTTCTGGATGTAGTCCTGCAGGAGTTTAGGATTCCATAGCGGATTGGACTCGGAGGGATGCACACTGGTGTACAGTGTCTGCTTCACCTTGGATGCAACGCTGCTGAACATGTCGGAAAACTTGGCCTGAAGAACAAAGATTGATGGAACGAGGGAATCGGATTCACAAATTACTCCAAATGTAGCAACCTTTTGTTGCTAGGATGCATCTTCAATCCTTCCATAGGATGAGAGGATTTCAAGGATTCCAAGTGATAAACCATTTTATATTAATAAAAAGTATTCACTTTCTGTCAAAAATCAACTGTTTACTTTCAAAAATAAAACAGATAGTGAATTACCTTGACGTGACTGCATGAAGTGTAGAGTTCATACAGGTATGCCAGGATGCAGCGTTCAGCAGAGGAGCATACAGTCACATTGGTAACATGCTTGACTATGCCACACAGCCTAAATCAAAAGATGTTCATTACAACAGTCAAAACAGTCAAACATGAGTCGAGCTATTTTATCAAGCAGTAAGGTCAAATGAGTCCTGGAAAAAAGACTCAAAGCCTCAAGAACTTTGAAAGTCAAGCATACTGGTATTAAATTCGACAAGAAAATAATTTCATATCTGACAATTAGTTTATTCAAGCTTACAAACAATTTTCCCCGTAAAACTCTCTTACAGGGTAAGTCGAAAATAGCGGAACCCAAACCCCAAAAATTATATTTCATATTTAAAAAAATATGCAGCACCAACAATAATAATGACTGGAAAGCCAATTTCATAAGCTACTTTTAAAATGAAAAAAATACTGAAATTGGTCAATTCATGTAAAAAATATCACCATTTAAACACAATGACCCTAAAACCTGTCTCGTCTAAAAAATGCGATTTCAAGAATCGTCGTCACATTTGTCTTCAAACAAAAGCAACAAAGTCCTTTTGAAGGCCCCGTCTTTTAAAAAAAGTAGATTTTATAAATCATATTGTTTGCCTAACCAGGGTTGTTAATCAAAATATTGTGTGCTACAGTTGGTGACAGTTGTTGAAACAAGTATTCTGTGTCATTTTCTTTCTTGTTCCAAACAGTCAAAACACACAATAAATTGATTTTTGGACAAGACAGGTTTTATGGCCATTGCGTTTAAATGGTGATATTTTTTGAATGGATTGAGCAATTTCAGTAACTTTTTTATCTAAAAGTAGCTTTTGAAATTGGCTTTCCAGTCATTTTTCTTTTTGGTGCTACATATTTTATTAAATATGAAATACATTTTTTGGGGGTTTGGGTTCCGCTTTTTTGGACTCACCCTGTACTTTGACCCTAACCCCCTTGAGTGCTTTACTAGGAACCTTTCTCACTCTTACAAATTCCAACACCATATGGTAAACTCAACACCCAAACTGGTGAACTTTTGATTGTGGTGGTATGCCAGACCCCATGTAATCATGATCAGTTTAGTAGTGCAGTACTCACTCCAACAGATTCCAACCAAACATGCACTTGGATTTTGAAGGGTTGAAGTGGTTAGGGTTTTGCCGTTCATTTAGAAACATTATATCCAGATTTTGGGCTTGCTTCTTTGTTGTGTTACAAAACAGACTCTGAAAAGGCACTCCTTACGTCATGAAGACCCAATGACTCGAGATAAGTTAAGTTGTTTTACCATTTTTACAATGCACTCAACCATTGTAAATTTCCTTCTTTTTGTTTTACTGGCGGGATCAACAAGACCTGCACCCGATTTCACGAAGCGCTGCGACGCGTCACAACTCGAGTTACGACGTGTAACACGTCGCAACTGGCGACGCGTCGTATCTTCCATTTCACGAAAGTTGCGATGTGTTGAACGCGTCGTAAGTTCCTCGACAACGGCTTAAAACACGTCGCAAGTTAAGACGTTTATAGTGGTCATCGCAAAATAAGAAGAGTCCCTTTTAAGCCAGTTTCATGCCATAAACATTACAAAAACGACATTATAATACCGAGGCAATGTGTGTAAAATTGTATATAGAAAAGTCACTGAATAATTATGAATTACACTGGAATATTGCAGTTGAAATAGCTCTATTGCAGTTGAAGTAGCTCTACAGTCCACTGAGAGCTTGTTTTCCTTCAAAATTGCATCACACGGCCGCCATTTTGTTTACGTTTTACAAACTTCAAGCTGAGACGAGCTGACGACTCTTTGTTGAATATCAGACGACTATTTACTGTTCGCTGACTAAAGACATAAAACAGTCACAAAGTCGGGCTATAATTACACCTACGACGCGTCGCACTTACGACGTGTTTAGTGAAATGGATCGCAGGACGCGTCGCAGCTGCGACAAATCGTAGAGATACGATGCGTCGCAGCACTGCGATGCATCGTAAGTTACGAAGAGTTTGATGAAATTGGGTGCTGATCTGTTTATAGGATGGAATTTGCATCAGAAAGATGTTTTAATTCAAAATTTGCTTGTACCCTTTGTCAAGCATTATACACTCAGTGTTGTACAAGGGCTTGCGAGAAAAAATGCTTTGGTTGCCATAACCTCTGCTTTATCAGAACAACCAGGCCATCCGACCCTGGCAAGGTCGGTGGTCAAGTGGTTAGACATCTGCACTAGTAAGCAGGGAGGTCATGGGCTCAACTCCCACCCAAGTGAGCTTGTAGATTTTTTTCTCCTTGTCCTTTGTACAACACTGAGTATACAGAGTTTATCAAATACGTTGGTGAAGGGCAAAATACGATATTGAATATGATCCGTGGATTTTCATTGGATTCAGCAGGATATATGTCAAATGTACTTACAGCTCAAAGACAGTGGCTGTTTGTTCCTGTGACACCAGCAAACAGGCCTGGTATCTCCGCAGCACTGCCACGATGGACAAGCAGAGATTAGGGGTGTAATTCCCAGCCAGCGGGGAGGATTTCTGCGTCAGTGTTACCTCAACGATGCTCATGTAGTTCAGAAGCTGGACTGAGAAGTCCAAGAGTGCATGGATGTTCAAGGCGTTCTCCATCAGCTCAAAGACCAGGGTGATCTGCTCCACAGAGGGGAGGTTGTCCAGGGAGCCTCGAGTACAGCTCTGGACCTGCTCCAGGACGTGGGAGGCGCAGGCCGCCGTCACCATGTGCTGGTCAAAGAAGGACAGCGTCCGGTACCGCTCTAGGACATGCTCGAAGCTGACGGGCTGGCCTTCCGATTTGATATGCTTGGCTTTGCCCGGGGTCTCCTTCTTGCTGCCCAAGGCACGAAGCGTCTCTTTCTGGATTCGCCTCGTGGCGTGCCGCGCCTCGTCCCGGGCCTTCCCAAAGCCGTAGAGGAGCACCAGCCGCTGGTTGCACTCGTGGGCCGACATCTCGTCCTGGGGGATGGGGAAGTGGGTGGCGTACATGAGGTGCCGGTTGGGCTTGGGGAGATACGGGGAGGGGGATGCCCCCTCGCGGAAGACCTTCTTCCTGTCTTCTTTCTCGTCCTCGAAGAAGTCTGGCTCCGTGGTAAGCTTGTTGGACTGGATGGCCTCCAGGAATTTCTCCTGGAAGGAGACGGATTCCTTCTTCTGGAGGGCGCCGGGTTTTACATCTTCATCGGAGTCGTCGTAGTCTTCTTTATCCTCGGGCTCTTGTTTGATTTCAATGTCATCCATGTCCTTTGGCTGAAAAACAAGTTGTTTATGGTTAAAGAAATAACACTGTAAGCTGGTATATATGGATAAGTATATTTTATTTAGGCCCAACATCCGTTTAGGGTAGGTAGGTCTTTAATCTGCTTAATCCTCCACTGGTGAACAAAGTGCCTTAAGCCGTGTCCGCACTGGACTTTTTTTTGGACGGTTTTACCGAGACGATGGTAAAATGAGAAATGGTCAAATGTGACCGCTGTCCGCACTTGGACTTTCGACACGGGAAAATTTACCCAGACCGCGTGGGAGAAGTAACCGAGCTGTCACAGTGTCAGTGTAATGACTCACCGTACACAGAAAACAAATTGCCGATCACATTTTCAGCCACCGATACGCACAGTAATATTACACACGCCATTTGCATGCACAACATAATCGTTTACACGATATTATTTCATCTTGACACGCTAAATCTTGACGAAAAGGCCTATAATTCTGACGCATTTGTGATGCACGTCGTCGAAGCCATGCCGCTGTACGATGTTCCGTGCGGCAGCAGTGCCATCAGTATTCGTTGGTTCCCATCGCATGCTTACAGAATCGAAGCTATGATGTGGACCAGGAACCAGTGACTACGGCCTTCGTACGGTACCGGACCATGATGTTCCGTGCATGACTACAGTAGCGTATCAGGACGAATTTGGATCGTAGAAAATAACATACATCGGTGGAGAAAGAGAATTTCCGCAAATTAATTCTCAGAACGAGATCTCTCTTCTCTGTGTATGTATTTGTCCGTCTCTACAAAATGTTCGGCCACTGCACGTGCAGGTTCGTGCGGTCTCTGTGTGCATAACAGGGCGCTCGGGCCGGATGTACGCTTTCCTGAGCCGCTTTTACCGACTCGCATTGTCCGCACTGGACTTATCGTCTCGGGAAAAGTGACCTGGTCAGTTTTCCTGGGCGCGTGGGAAGTTTTCCTGGGCAGCAGTTGGCCAGTAAAAGTAACCGCTGGACTCAGGAAAAGTAACCGAGAGGAAAACGTCCTAGGCTGTCCGCACTGGACTTAAAATGGGAAAAGTACCCATAGTCTTGGTTAGTTTGACCAAAAAAAGTCCAGTGCGGACAGGGCTTATGTGTCTATTGTTCACATAATACTTGTGAATCTGCTTAGAATCCTTTGTTCGACTCTGGAAGATGGCTGGCCACAAGCCATTAAAGTTATCTACTTGAGTGACTTTGATACTGCAGCAAGAGTGTGCAGTCTGCCTCTGCCTTCTGAGGGAGTCAAATGAATATTCAAAATGTATGAATAAATTATAGGCTTTATGGCCCCGGAACATGGGCATGGATCCCGGCATGAGAGAAACTGGATTCCTTCTCTTCCAACAAGTCTGCCTCTGGCTTCTGAGGAAGTCAAATGAATATTCAAGATGCATGAGTCATAATACGTTTCATGGCCCCGGAACATAGGCATGGATCCCGGCATGAGGGAAAGTTTTTTATTGTTAGGCAAATTAGGACCGAGTTATGGGGACTTTCTGCTGTCCCCACAGCGTTTTCAATCCCACCAATACCTCGTACAGACGAGTGTATGTCCCCACAACTACTGAACAAGAATGGGTGGCCCAGTACGGGGTGCGAAGGCCCATAGTACCGGGATCATACCAAGCGAACAGCGACCGACCAGTAAATTTACCACGCTCTTGTGATTTCTGCATGAAAGAAAAATTATTTTGGCACTAGGCAGAGCCAAGTTTGGAACGAAAGAGTAAACGTTTTGTCGGCTGATTTTGCCAATGGTAATACAAAGAGTTACAATGTCAAATTCTTTCTGCTACCTCTTCCTTGATCTCAGACGGTGTTCTCTTCTCAGGATCCACCTCCATTCTCTCGCTGGAGGGCGGGGGCTCGCTGTTTGCCGGGGGCGGAGGGCTCGTCGTCAGGTCGCCTCGGGAGATCAAGGTGCACATGTAAGAATCGTGGGAGAAGACGTCGCAGCGGATCAGCTCGCTGAAGAGAAGGACCAGACTGGCGAAGGCTCGTCTGTCGTCAATCGGGCCATGCTCGTCTGAAGGAAACAACAAAGTTGACCAATTCGGAAACTTTCATAGACCTTTCCTAGGTTAAAGCTACAGTCCATCATTTGTAATTTGTGCATTTTGTTCGTTTGAAGCAACAAAAGAGTTCAAAATCTAATGAAGGATACTGAGCAACTAACCTGATGAAGTTTCAGCTAAGCTTCAGCTGTACATTCCGAGAAATACAGCATTCTAAGATCTCAATTTCAAATCAAAAGTTACTGAATCATGTTTTGAATTGTTTTGAATTGCAGCTATACGCGACGTCGCGTAGCGCACTGATCCGACGAATTATAACAACCGCGCACACGTGTGCGTCGTTCCAAACCTTGTGCACGCTTCGCTGAATAACAAAACGAACTACTAATTTAAATTTTCCTACGGTGCTTCTTAAGAATCACCGTTGGAAATGCCTTCTTTCGTTGATTACTTCAAAATGACAGCTTCCCAGAAAGAATAATTTCACAGGGAGTTTAGTCCCCTTACTATCTTTCAACCAAGTTTGTTTTTCAACAGTAATTACGCCAGTTACTTTTCGGATGGCTGCAAATGATGGACTATAGCTTTAATTATCGGTGTGTAAATTGATTACAACATGTAATCTACACTCAGGAGAGTCTAATTTCTGCACCTTTCAGAATGCTCCGTTTTCAAACAAGTGTTCAAAGAAGTGTCCCAAGCTGGAATGGCTGCCCCTGATTCAGTATACAAGCATTATATTCACTGTGTGGACTTCCGAACAAAAGATGTCCACATAATCCAGGTTTCAGATACGTTGTGTGGACTTGCCCACGTCCACACAAGGTTTCTCCCTCTCTGAAGAACAGGTTTAGGGGCATTTTTGGGTTAGGTTAATCTGTTGCAAAATGAAGAGGAACACACAAGGGAATCATAGTAAACAAAGTTGGGTTGAAAGAGTTTTCACAGTGTGAGTAAAATGAGTTTTTTTCACGGGTTTTTCTTACCTGCATGCACGAAAACAAAGGAATGTCCACACTAGGTATGTAACGTAAACATTTCTGTGCCAAAGCAGGCATGCATTTTTACCTGATAAAGGCCCATCTCGGTACATTTCTATTCCCATTTTTAAAATGGCAACATTTCAAATGGATTATTCTCAACTTTCCAAGTACTCCCTTTTTGATGTGCACATGTAGAAATAAGTTTTAGCTGCGTGAACGATGTATATTCTGAGAAAACAATATTCTAGGATCTCCGTTTTAATTCAAAAGTTGTCGAGTCATGTTTTGATTTGCGCCCGAAATCAGCGTCCGGGAAACATTCTCATTCAGCTTATTGCAGCTACGGGATGTCACGCACTGAACTGACGAATAATAGCGACCGCGTGCGCGTGTGCGTCGTGTCGATGCTTGAGCGCGCACCCATTCATGGATTCGCCTAACTTCAAACCAGCTACTAACAGCAGTTAACAAAATGCGTCACTAGATGCATCTTTGAAAATGTTTTCTTCAAAATGACTGTTTTCTTCAAAATGACAGCACGCTAGAAATAAAACAATTTGACAGGGAGTTTAAAGGGAACATACATCATTTGCTTTTGCTGTAATTTTCAGAAATGGATGGAATTGGGGGGTTGGAAATATATAGCAAATATAGTTACACTGACTTTTTTGAGGTTTTGGGTTCGAAAATGCTATAAAAACCAAGAAAAACAATCATTTTCCTGTAGTCTGGTTCCCTGACTCCATATCAGAAGAAACAGAGCAGTTTACATACATTGGGGAATTGAAAGGTCAGGGAACCAGTCTAGCTGGCTTGTACCCGTTCATAGGTGTGTAATCGATTGCAAACAAGTGCGATGGTCAAATGGGGCCAGTATTTGGAAAAAAGCCGACCAACGTTGGAAATTGATACAAAAATACCACTTTTCTTGAAAATGACAGTATACCAGGTGCCATGATTTTACAGGATGCTTTACACTGTCATTCACTAACAGTCCAGCAAGGTATTTCAAAATGATTTGGTAGTTTTATTTTTTGATGTTTGCAAATGTTGTATTTTCCCTTTAAGTTTAGGTACATATAAACGTTGCTAATTAGTGCATCTGTAACTGCCATTGTCCATGGCTATGGCTAGGCAACATAATAAGACTTTAGCAAAAATCAAATCTGTAGCCGCGAGATACTTCATTAAAAAAATGGCCCATGCTGAAGACTACTTACCAACATAGATTGGTGCCTGGGTGTCCAGGAAGTGCGTGAGAAGGCCCTGGAGCATGGGCATGGATCCCGGCATGAGGGAAACCGTGGAGAGAGATTCCTTCTCCTCCAACAAGTCTGCCTCTGCCTTCTGAGGAAGTCAAATGAATATTCAAGATGCATGAGTCATAATACGTTTCATGGCCCCGGAACATAGGCATGGGTCCCCACATGAGGGAAACTGTCGAGAGGGATTCTTTCTCCTTCAACAAGTCTGCCTCTGCCTTCTGAGAAAGTCAAATGAATATTCAAGATGCATGAATAATTATAGGCTTTATGGCCCCGGAACATGGGCATGGATCCTGGCATGAGGGAAACCATGGAAAGAGATTTCTTCTCCTCCAACAAGTCTGCCTCTGGCTTCTGAGGACGTCAAATGAATATTCAAGATGCATGAATAATAATAGGTTTCATGGCCCCGGAACATGGGCATGGATCCCAGCATGAGGGAAACTGTTGAGATTCCTTCTCGTCCAACAAGTCTGCCTCTGCCTTCTGAGGACGTCAAATTAATATTCAAGATGCATGAATAGTAATAGGTTTCATGGCCCCGGAACATGGGCATGGATCCCCGCATGAGGGAAACTGTTGAGAGGGATTCTTTCTCCTTCAACAAGTCTGCCTCTGCCTTCTGAGAAAGTCAAATGAATATTCAAAAAGTATGAATAAATTATAGGCTTTATGGCCTAGGAAAATGGGCATGGATCCCGGCATGAGGGAAACCGTCGAGAGAGATTCCTTCTCCTCAAACAAGTCTGCCTCTGCCTTCTGAGGAAGTTAAATGAATATTCAAATGTATGAATATTAATAGGCATTGTGGCCCCGGAACATGGGCATGCATCCCGGCATGAGGGAAACCGTGGAGGGCTTCCTTCTCCTCCAACAAGTCTACCTCTGCCTTCTGAGGGGGTCAAATGAATATTCAAAATACATGAATAATAATAAGCTTTATGGCCCGGAACATGGGCATGGATCCCGGCATGAGAGAAACTGGATTCCTTCTTTTCCAACAAGTATGCCTCTGCCTTCTGAGGACATCAAATGAATATTCAAGATGCATGAATGATAATAGGTTACATGGCCCCGGAACATGGGCATGGATTCCGGCATGAGGAAACGTGGCGAGGGATTCCTTCTCCTCCAACAAGTCTGCCCCTGCATTCTAAGGGGGTCGAATGAATATTCAAGAAGCATGAATAATAATAGGCTTTATTCGCTCTTTTCACACTTCCGCCATGAGCATGCAGAGCCTCGATCTGGCAACTTTACACAGTAAATAAAGCCGGCTCAGTGATTCCCATGTCGGGGTTCAGATCACTGAACCGGCTTTTTTTGTTGTGTAAAGTTACCAGATCGAGGCTGTGCATGCCCAATGGCAGAGCGTGAAAAGAGCGAATGGCCCCGGAACATGGGCATAGATCCCGGCATGAGGGAAACCGTTGAGAGAGATTCCTTCTCCTCCAACAAGTCTGCCTCTGCCTTCTGAGGAAGTCAAATGAATATTCAAGATGCATGAATAATAATAGGTTTCATGGCCCCGGAACATGGGCATGGATACCGGTGTGAGGGAAACCGTCATGAGTGATTCCTTCCGGTCCAACAAGTCTGCCTCTGCCTTCTGAGGACATCAAATTAATATTCAAGATGCATGAATAATAATAGGTTTCATGGCCCCGGAACATCGGCATGGATCCCGGTATGAGGAAAACTGTCATGAGTGATTCCTTCCGGTCCAACAAGTCTGGCTCTGCCTTCTGAGGAAGTCAAATGAATATTCAAAATGCTTGAATAATAATAAGGGTATAATCCGGTTCGTAACTGACTTCGTCGTACACGCGCACGCACCACTGATTACAAGCGCCCACTGGCTAAACACTCAAGTTGCGTAAAGTTCTGGTTCCATTCGTGCTATGCTACACCGTGTGAAGTACGCATGGTTAAGTTGAAATGACGTCACATTAACGAACCGGATAGTGTGGCAGAGCAATATTAAATGTCTGCTTTAAACCAGTTAGGGGCCTGGTCACCGATAATGGCCCGAGCCAGAATCCCATTCGTTAATATCTATTGGTTAAAAACTTCAAGAAAAGTCGAAAAATTGACAATTTAAACAATCCTTTGTTCAAAAATTTTACTCCATGTTAACCACTTCGCCCGGGAGTATTTTTGCCGAAAAATTTAGATTTTCGCAAAAGGCAAAATTTTCCAGCCAATTTCTGATATTCTCTCCGGGGTGTACACTGGAGTGTAAATAGTACAACAATAGGTTGTGCACAACAGCCAATACAGGATCAACACACGGTTCGACTCCACAGACTTCACAGACTTTGTGTGTGTGTACAAAAGGCATGAAGGATTAGCGTGTTTAGATGTCACCCGGAGGCGAGCCGTGCCTGCGTGTACAAACAGCCAATGCCTGTTATCACGTCCTCCAACGCGAACTGGTTAAGGCCACTTCCATGGCTTTCCACTGCACGCAGTTGTGGTAGGCACACACAGCGCATACTGCACCAACATGGCATGGCCGGACTGCAGCGTCTCGCGACCAGTTTTAAACAAAATAAAAATCAAATTTGTTGAAGACCCCGGTTGTATAACATTCAGAGCTGTAAGATCGGCAGCTTCAGAAAGACTTTTAACCAGTTCGCGCCGGGATTATTTTGACGTGACCGGACCCGGGCGCGGGATTGTCGCAAACCTCGATGCCAGACGAGTTCAAGCCGTCATCTGCGGGTAGCACACCCTGATATTTCCGGCCTCGCTCGCTGGGAGCGGGTCGCAGACTGATATTTCTGGACTCGCTCGTTGCGTGTTTATCCGTCATCTGTTCCGAATACCGCAAACCTTTGCGTGTATGCGCGTCATCCGACGTGAACTGGTGTTTTGACCCTGTCAAAATCCTCACCTCGCTTTCCAAGTCAACGACACGTTTCTCCAGGAGCTGGGCCACAACCAGGGCTCGGTGTTCACCGTTACGCTCTGAGCAGACTGCCCATTCACACAGCAGCAAGATAATGGGATCGTCACTCATCGGCAACTAGTGAAAGAGACACAAATACCCAGTCATAATCACTAAGAGTACCCAACTTTGATCCATCAAAACCTTACTTGTTATGTAAGCTGTGTAAAATCTTTCATGTTGTGAAAAAGAGCTGCGGTAGGAGATTGGAATCATTTGCCTGGCTATCTGTCATCATGGTATTAAAGCACCATTGTTATATCGATGTAACCCGTGGTTCACCTTCATCAAGCAGGAACCAATTTCAAGTATCTAATTGAGACCTAATTGAGGTCGGGGTTACATCGATATTACGCGATTATTCAATGTTATTTTGATATCGATATCGCCGATAGCAAAGTTTTAATATCGAAATATTGAAATTTCCAATGTTGAGGAATGATATCGAATATATCAAAAATGCATCAGATTATCGTCAAAATAAATCTCCCGTTTGTGCTTTTACAATGTGTTTAACGTTTGCTGTATAATGAAATAAAAGTTGGCGGCAACTTGTGCTTGTGACTCAAAATAAAAACATTGCAAAATGTCAAGCGGCGATGCTTTGGGCTCTGGGTTCGCTAGAATTCACAGTCCCCCCATGTAAAACCTCAATAGAAACCGCCCGTTCTGGACAAACTCTCAGTGCTGAGATTTGTTATAAAGTTTGAGCAATATGCTCCAGAGAAAGCCGTGGCAAATTGGGACTTAAATTATTTTTTTTTAAATCAAAGTGTCATCTTTACGGTCTTTAACTTTTACATGGGATAATCGATATGTCGAATATTCTCGATATTGGATTCCGATGTATCGATTATTGAAAACTCTGATATCAACGGTACTTACATCATGGCAAGACCTCAGTTTTAATGCTCAAGGGCAAATGATTCCAATCCCAACCACAGCCCTTCATTCACAACATGACGGATTTTACACAGCTTACATGACAAAGCACAGAGATTGAACTAGGCAAGGAACTTGGTCACAGTGTCCAAAAATGTGGTTGCGATCAATTGACCACTGTGCAATGATGCGTGAGGGAAATTGAATAAAACTCATAGGGGATGAGGCCAAGGATTAGGAGTATCTGCACAATTTATAATATTCAAAATTTACTTAGCGGTTTAGTTGTTATTTCAAAAATATTTAGACAGACGTTATTTGGGGGACATACTGTAGTTTGGTATGGACCATAGAGCTATATTGTTTCTGAAATGAAAAAAAAAAATGAAATATTATATTACTAGAGCGCTAACTCAATGTACAAAGAGATGCCTGCTGGGCGCATCCATGTTTGTACACAAACCTATGGAGAACTAGAAATTTTGTACGGCTTTTGTATGGCTATTCGCATATCTGCGTTTGTACTCCATTGCGGTGCGTTATCGAAGCCAATACGCCCAAAACCGAAATGCACGATCAGCAAATGAGCGTGTCATTTTGCTCTACGCAAACAGCGCAACACGTGCGCGTATTCACTGCAGATGCTTTTTGCTGTCACGTTTTTTTTAACCGTCAATGACGCGCTTAAGTTGTTTGCGTATGTTCTATTTGCGCGTTGCATGTAGAGTACACTTTCAAAATTCAATCCATCTAATTTCATTATGTTCTTCAAACACGCACATGAATTCAAAATGTCTGTGCCCAGGACGGCTTCAAAGCGTCTCTGCGCGCAAGAATGGGGAGTTAGCACTCTAGTAATTTAATATAGCTCTGAGGTATGGACTTACATCGGCTCCGTCTTTGTTGGGAGGGCTGTTGAAGATTTTATTGTACAGGGAGTCCAGGCAATTGGTGGAGTCGCATCGGTCGAAGCAGTGTCTGTCTAGCAACTCCAGCACATGAAGCACACGACTGATTGTATGACCTTCAAAGAAAAGAAACAGGCGCTAGGTTTGACCCGATGAAAGGTTTTTTTAGTAGCAGCAGAAGTCTGTTAACTACAGAAAGTGTGCAAGCTTGCTTTTACCACTGAGGCCCAATTTCACGGCTCTGCTAACCACAGAATTCCGCGCTTACGATCACTGTTCTGTGCTAACAGTGCTAGCAAAAAAAAAAAGAAAAGAAAGTGTACTGTAGTATCCAGACGCCACTTCAGTGGTTGCGTACAAAGTCTATGGAGAGTCAGGAACATTGTTTAAGTATTTCCTAACAAAATTGGAAATGTTTCTCAGTACTAGATTTATGTCTGTTCAACATTTTTGCAATGTCTGACCTTCACTGAAATGATATACAGTACATGAACATGTATGATGAAAAAAAGGGGCGTCAGGATGCAACATCTTTCCAAATTCTGTGCTAACCCTGTAAACACAGAATCCTTAGTTATGGACACATGCGCATGAGCCAAAAATTCCTCGCTAACCCGGAAATAAGCTTATCGTAAGCACATAATTTTTTGCAGTAAGCGGGGATGTTCCACTAATGGTCAGCAGGGCCATGAAATTTGGTCCTTCCTTCTTTTTTTTTTTTTTTTGCATATTCGTTTTGATGACTTGTATAACTTGATAGGTTTGATACTAGTCGCTAAACAACTTCTAAAAAAATAAATGTACTTTTGTATAACTAAGTTTTGACTTCCCACAATGTGTAAACATGGACACAAATGAATGCGACATCCAAAAATGATCAAAATCTATTGACTTTGTGACAAAAGCAAGCGAGACCCTTTGTAGGTAACGGACTTTTGCGAAACCAAACCTGAATATGAAACTTTTAAAAAAGTGAAATACTTCATAAAAAAATGGATTAATAAATAATTAGGAAAATAGTTATTGTCAAGTCATTAATGTTCCTCAATGTGATCACCTCAATGGTTAGTAAAGAACCACAACAATGAAAACAACGAATGAATTATAATGAACCGATGAACAAATCTTAACACAATGATTTACAAACGTTAATGACAAAGTTACGTGCTTTTATTCAAAATATGTAATCCCTATATGGTATTCACAGTCCACACATCTGCATATGACTATGAGTATTTTGAAAAAGTTATGTAATTTCTTTATTTCTGTGCAGTAATGACTAATTCAGCTGATTCACGATGCAGTGCGCCACCAAGAGTTTGCCACGGAGAGTTCATTATTCCCAGTGCATTGTGGGAGATGGTCGACAAATTCACAGCGCGACACAGTTGAAATTGTTAGTTTTTCCTGTCAGTAGTTTTGTAAGCGTATGATTTGAGTAGCTGTTTACCCTTTTCTTTTCTTTTTATCAATATGGTGTTTTTGGTAAGGCGGCAGAACGCAATGCCCAAACTATAACAAATTAGCTCAAGTTGTCTACTGACACTCATTCAAATGGGCCGTGTTTTGTCGACCGTAAACTTGAAAAATGGACTCTCCATTGCAAACTCTTGGTGGCGCACCGCATTCTGAATTGCCCGAATTGTATAAATTTCTACGGCAGTGCATAAAAAAAATAAAGGTTCTGAAGTTCATTTTGTTTGCAGGAAAAGGCATTCATTTTTAAACATTATACATCTAAAAAGTCAAGCCTGTTTTAGTATGCATAGGTCTTGTTTAATTAAGAAACAAATGTGAAAAATAGGTCCATCACATTTCTTGATATCAACTTCACCTCACTTTCCCATTTGTGCCATGCTTAAATCAGCCAGAAAGCTGGATAAATTCAATCACTACTTGTCACCCAAATTTAAAAAAAGAGGTTACAGTATTTGAAAATGGATTGGAGTTCCAGTTCAAAAAGAAAAAAAACACACCACATCACAAAAAAAGTGCAAACAACCACCTCTAAATTGACTATTCTGCCAGCCACCTACAAAAGTAGATTGTTTTAGTCAACAGGAATAAGGAAATTATCAAGATGGACAATTTGAAGAATGAGTTTAATCGTAATAATCAATCGCGATATGCGTGCCGTCCAAGGTTCTGCCCACTGCTACCAGTACTTAAACTGGCCAGCTGACCGTGGTAAACTCGGTGGTCGAGTGGTAAGACCTCTGCACTAGGAAGCAGGAGGTCGTAGGTTCGAGTCCCACCCGAGTAAACTTGTGAATTTTCTTCTCGCAAGCCCTCGGACACCACTCAGTATACAAGGTTTATACCTGTACAAATGTCGGCGAAGGGCAAAACCTGAAATTTACCACTGACGCAAATTCCCTCTGACAAAAATGTCCCAGAGTTATCAAGTCTTGTTGGTTTAACCACTTCGCGCCAGGATTATTTTTGCCGAAAATTTCGATTTTCGCAAAGGCCAAATTTTCCAGCCAACTTCTGATACACAGCCAAACGCCACAAATACTGATTCACAAGAGTCATTTCAACAGTATTTGTACACGCATTCTTGCTGAAACCTCATATGTTTCAATATTCCGGGGTGTGCACTGGAGCGTACATTGTACAACAATAGGCCGTGCACAACGGCCAATTCAAGATCAACACGCGGTTCGACTACACAGTCTTCACAGACTTTGTGTGTGTGTACAAAAGGCACGAGGGATTAGCGTGTTTAGACTTCACCCGGAGGCAAGTCGAGGCAATGTTGATGTCTTAACCCATCAGCCGTGCCTGTGTATAAAAACAGCCAGTGCGCGTTATCACGTCCTCCGACGCGAACTGGTTAACACAAACATGTATAAGGATTTAACTCAAGGGTCATTCTGTGTCAACCTCTGGGGGGCATTCTCATGGATTTTTCTTTAAGGTTGCTAAAATTGTTTGGTCATATGATATCAGAAACTCCTAAACCTAAATTGTGTGGTTTGTGAGTTTCAGGTTGTTGAACTTTTGACCGTACGCTTTTTTTCGCTATAAACTTAGAACGTCTGTATCTCCGGTTAGGAATGTCCAACAACATGACTTAAATTTGAAGCTTTAACTTCGGAATTATCAACCTTGCAAGTGAAAAAGAAAAAAAATTAAAAATTGAAAGTGCATATTTCTGGAATAGTTTTCGATGGCCAATGGGGAATCTGTCTGAAAAATATCGACAAAACAAACATAAACACTGAAAACTGATAAAAAAAACCAAACAGGTGTAAACGTTAGGTATACAAACTAGAACCAATCAACTTTGGATATTTTTAAGAAAAACTTGTAAAACCACAAAGGATGTTGCAGCCACAGCTTGCATATATATATATATTTACCTCCCAGGTTATACATTGACATATCAGGGTTGTTGCCATGGTAACAAAGGGCGGCCATCTTGGAGTCTGGAGTATGCAAAGTCACCATGGAAACGCAAAATTTACAGCAAAATACAGGCAGGGAATCTCTCTTTCACAGAGAAACCGTGGACATATTTTAATTTCATTTTGTGAAAAGGTATTGGCAGAAGGATCTGTTAATCAGTAAATCTATTTTGTACTGTTTAAAATATGAATATTTAACATTTTTTCAATTCAAATATGTAAAACCAGACATCTCATCGCTTTATAAATGTATAAGTTTGTCTACAACCTTAGCTACATTTTCTTGAATAACAAAGAAATGCTTCCAAAATCTGAAGGACGTTGATCAAAATTTGTAGCCAACCACAATTAAAATTACGCACACTGTTGGTTGTGTACAATAAATCGAATCCAGAGTTTGGGAACCAAAACACCACTTACGTGTATTAAAAAAATTCTAAAACTAATCCTACTTATACTCACTGATCTCTATAAAAAAATCTGGATAGCCTATTGGTTGTTAGAAGTAAAGTCACCGTCCGCCATATTACTACTCCCGTTACAATAGAATTGTAAACAAATCTATCATAATTTAACCGCAATCTTTACTTTCTTACTAAATGTATTTGTTTTTTTAACAGAAAAAATATACTTGTGACTTGAAGGTAATATACAACATTTAGTTTTGCTGTAATTTTCAGAAATGGATGGATTTGGGGGGTTAGTATTTTATAGCAAATATTGGAACACAGACTTGTTTGAAGTTCTGTGTTTGTAGCTGGAAAAACCAGGAAAAACAATCATTTTCCTGTATTCTGGTTCCCTGACCCCACTTAAGATGAAACAGAGCCATTTATAGACGTCAGGGAATTGTAAGGTCAGGGAACCAGTCTAGCTGGCTTGTACCCGTTCACAGGTGTGTAATAGATTGCAAACAAAATGCGGACTAGCTAAATGTGGAAAACTGAGGGCAGCATTGGAAAAAGCCAGTATTTTACAACGCTGATCAGCCGACCAGCGTTGGAAATTGATACAAAAGTACCACTTTTATTGAAAATGTCAGCACACCAGGTGCCACGATTTTACAGGATGCTTTAGACTGTCATTCACAAACAGTCCAGTAAGGTATTTCATAATAATTTGGTGGTTTTGTTTTTCGATGTTTGCAAATGTTGTATATTCCCTTTAAACATTTTTCACATTGTATTATGTTGAGATAAAAAAATTGTTTAATATAATAAAACTTTTATTATAAATGTATGATGAGAGTGACTATACTGGTTTCCGTATGATATTCGAATTGAGAGATTGGGAACCAGTGCGTAGCTTCAAATATGTGTACAGCGCGCAATGGCCATTGAGCTATCCAGATTTTTAAACATAGAGATCAGTAATTATACTCCACACCTGAGCATGCTTAGGCTGTATTGACTGAAGCCAAGGAGATCATATTGCTAGGTACCTGTGGTTGATTCTTGACACTTGTCTGACGACCACCTCACCTCAGCGGCTCGACTTCTCATTTTGATCTGGTGCTCGGCGTTACGGATTGAGGCCCGAATCTACATAGATACAAAGAATAAGCTTAAAGGGGCACTCTCATGGTGTCAACAGATATACAGTAAGAGTTTGATCAGTCAAATCTCAAAGGAATAGATAAAAACAAATCAAGACACCAGAATTTTGAGTTAAGCAAAGATCCTATTGGGGAAAGAATGTTGCAACCTGACGCTGTTTTTTTCTTCATATATCATCTCAATGAAGAACAGTCATCGCAAAAATGATGATAAGACACGAATCTGGGACTGAGTAACATTTCCAATTTTGTTAGGAAATACTTAGAAAATTGTCTTACTCTCCATAGACTTTGTGCACGACTGCTGAAGTAGCGTCAGGTTGCAACTTCTTTCCCCTATTAGATTTCTATGATTATGTACATATGTATGTACATGAATGGCTTCCATGGTCCACCATAACTCACTATGCCTGGCTATAAAGTGGCTGGTTATTTGGCTCACTTTCCCTATTTCAATTGATTTTAATGATGTATTTTTTCAATCACAGATCATCATTTTGCTCAGATTTTATGTTTTTGCTTACCTAAAGGTGTCTGCTCTATGGAAAAATAACAATAAAACACTCAAATTGTGTAAGTTCGTGTAGCAAATCTTTATTTCGTGTCATTTGTTGATGTCTAGTTTAGTCTAGCGATCGCGCGATGCATGGCACCACGCTCGGGATTTTCAAATGTGCGGTCACATGACCAGTCCTATTTGATCGATAAGGGCGTGCTATCGGGTAAGCTGCAGCTAGCTGGGCCTGCGGTAGCAATAAGGATATTAACTCGAAAGTCGGGGGCGCATTTTCAACGTTACAGTTATTTCAGCATCAAAAGTTGCCAGAATCTTGGATATTTTGCTGTCATACAATGTAAATTTGTTTTCTTCGGTGATTCACTGTTGTTTCAGTACATGACAGTAAAACCAATGAGCAAACTTTTCCCACAAAATGTTTTCAACGAGCAAATTTTGGATTCACTATTTGAATAGAAAACCCCTCAACTGAACAGTATCTTCCTGAAATGACATCACAGCATCAGTGCCCTTATTTGTCCGGAAAAGTACGGACAATTGTAAATCTTTAACCCTAACCCCCCTGAATCCTTCAAAATCCTCTTTGCCAAAGTGGAGGAATTTGAAAGATTGAGGGTACATGGCAAAAGTGCGTTACTGATTTCGTAGGATGCACTTTGTCAAGGTCTTGGGCCGGACCTTGTGTTGTTTTTGCTCAGCTATGCATAAATATAGGCTGCATTATGCTTGAAATCCTCCGCACTGCTCCAGGATGTCACTGGCCAAGCCTCAACATATTGACAGTCACTGCCGTAGGATTTTGCAGGATTAAGAAAGTGGCCACCCCTACACGGACCATACTCAAGAAATAATTGAGGAATTTGAAGGACTGAGGCTATTCATCCACGAGTCCAATTGGAGAATTTTGCAGGATTAAGGCTACATCCTAGCAAAATGGCCTGGGGAATTAGGGTTAAAGCCAGAGTCCATCATTTGCAGCCATCCGAAACATAACTGGCGTAGTTATTGTTGAAAAACATACTTGGTTGAAAGATAGTAAGGGGACTAAACTCCCTGTGAAATTATTCTTTCTGGCAAGCTGTCATTTTGAAGTAATCAACAAAAGAAGGCCTTTCCAACAGTGCGTCTTAAGACACACAGTAGGAAAATTTAAATGAGTATTCGTTTTGTTATTCAGCGAAGCACGCGCAAGCATTGGCACGACGCACACGCGCGTGCGGTTTGCTATAATTTGTCGGATCAGTGCGCAACATCGCGTATAGCTGCAACCGGCTCAGTGAGAACGTGTCTCGGACGCAGAATTCAGGCCCAATTCAAAACATGTTTCAGCAACTTTTGATTAGTAGTTCCTTTTATTATTCAGCGAAGCACGCGCAAGCATTGGCACGACGCACACGCGCGGGCGGTTTGCTATAATTTGTCGGATCAGTGCGCAACATCGCGTATAGCTGCAACCGACTCAGTGAGAACGTGTCTCGGACGCAGAATTCAGGCCCAATTCAAAACATGATTCAGCAACTTTTGATTTGAGATCGAGATCCTAGAATGTTGTTCTTCTCAAAATATGTAGCTGAAACTGAGCTGAAAACTTCATCAGGTTAACTGTTCAGCATCCTTCTTTAGATTTTGAGCACTTTTGTTGCTTCAAACGAACATAATGCACCAAATACAAATGACGGACTGTACCTTTAAAAAGAAAAACAATAGCACTGGTTCCACTTACATGGTGGTTCTGTATGGATGGCTGGCCAGGCAGGGGCAAGCTACTGGGCGCGCAGGGCAGGATATCCAGCGGGGAGCCGGGGACGTTAATGCTCTTGCCCTCGCCGATGTTGATCCACACGAGGGCGCTAGGACAGAGCAGCGTGATGTGCTGCAGGATGATACTCAGCCCTACGATGATGGGCCGGTGCTGCGGGCAGGAGGTGTACTCGGCAAAGATGGCCGCCAGTGGTTGCTGGGGGGTGGGCTGGTTTGTCGGCATGGTTACACTATTTTGGGGGGGGGGGGCAAAAAATGTAGAGTTTGAATCCTTGTCCAAGTTCCCACTATGGACTCTGATACATGAACGGTAGATAATGCTTTGCGACCACTCAAAACAGCTCAATAGACTTTATTCACGAATCAGCCATATTAAATTAAAAGAGAGGTAAAATCTTCCTTTTTGGAACTTGCAAATAGAAAGGGAATATACAGTAAACCCCGGCTAAGTCGGCACTCTCGGGACCCGAGAATTTGCGACGACTTATGCGAATGCCGACATCTGCTGTAAATCGTCATTTTGCCGACTTACATGAATGGTCTGTTTGCACACATGATTCAATGCACTAATTGGCTTCGATTTACCCTGGATTATCTCCTTAATGCTCGAGTTGAATCCAGCAAATTAATCCTCGAATTGTATCATCATGTTTGGGATATTGAATATATACGTTTGGGATAGTGGAGACCACGTGTACAAAATAGTAATACATGTATTATGTATGTGCACAGTAACAAATTAAATGCGTGCGTGGTCCGGTATATACCATGCATGCATTGACTGCAGCACTAGTCATTCAATAAGACGACCCCCAAAATGGACAGAGCGCATGCGTACAGACGAGAGGGGGTACTGGTATTGATATGCTCACGATGCACATGCAATGTACGCAGTAGGACACCCTTTTTCGACACGGATGCATGCAGCGATCACGGGCCGTGCCAAACCACTTTTCACTCGACACTTCTTGCCAACCGCAGTACAGGAAGTCGATGTTTTGAATGTCGACTTATACACAAAGGAATTTGTAATACTTTTTATGGAAAGGGGACCGAGAGTAACACGATGACTTGAGCGAAATGGTGACTTATAAAAGCCGATTTAGAAATAAAAAATTCAATGGAAATGCATTACAGACAATCGGGACTTTTTCAAACGGCCGACTTGAGCGATTTGACGAGTTGTACGCTGTCGGTTTAGCCGGAGTTTACTGTATATATTTTACTATCGATTGTGAAGATTCCTCAATCCGGTGGCTATTGAAGTGTCTGGGAGGGCTGGGGTGAAGTGACCCGTGAAATGACATTCATCTCTCACTGTTCATCCCCTAGATGGCTTTGATCCAATTGAGAAACCATCTGGTACTGAAATGCGCATAGATACAAGAGCCCATTATTATCTTCAACAGCTCCTACCTTGTGGGTGACGTCACCATGTGTGGTGATGGTGTGGGTGGGTTGGTGGCGCATGCAGCATCGTTGATGATTGCCGTCAGACGACGGACGCACATGTAGGCCAGGCGACGAGACAACATCTGACTCCGTAGGAACTCCATCAAAAACTGAACACCAAAGGGAAAAAAATTAAACCTTTTGCTGGTCCTGTATTAAGTGATCTTTGTTGATAGCACTTCCGATTCAAAAGTTACCGTTTCATTTTTTGTTTAATGACACTCAGGCATGCAACTTGGAATTAACAAAAAACAAGGAAATTCCAATTTGTACAGTGTTTTTCAATTTTAAATGGCAAAAGTCTGAAGTAAAAAAACAAGGAATTCAGCTGATCTGAGGAAAAGTTGCATGCCTGGCACTGTCGTGTACAATCTCAAAATCAGCTCTTGGGACATGTTTCTCATTCAGCTGGTTAGAGTGTACTAAACAACAAGGGTTTTTTTTTTCAAAAAAGGGTGACCGCAGGCATATTTTTTGAAATTACCTTCAATTATTGTTTTCTTCTGAACAACACCATTTCAGGTGGATAATTTCACAAGGTACTTAGTATCAATGTGATGCGATCAAACTAAATGAGTCGTTTGTCGGGAAATTTTATTTGGAGATTCAGGCCAAAATAGGGCCACTTCATCACATCATTTCATCACATTTCTCGGTGTTCCGACTTTTTGAACTAAAGATGGTACCAGCATGCAGTTTTCACAGCAGTAATGCTGAGATTGTGCTCTTTTCAAATCTGTAATAAAAAAAAATTGACCAGTGTCGACAAACGACTAATTTTTTTTTTAGTTTGATAGCATCAAATATGTTCTTCCCTTTGAACAAGGTTTTTTACATCACAAATCTGTATGACCAATGTTCCTTTGTCTTTAAAATGGCTGGGTTGTTCATGTATCAAAAAGTAATCAACAGCAAGTCCAAAATAAACGAACAAATCCAAAACATGAGCATTACCTGTAGATTGAACGGCAGCACCATTCTGAACGTGTTGTCGTCGTGCGGCTTCACCTTCTCAGTGATTTCCACCAGCCAAGACAGAAACTCGTGGCATTCCAGCATCCCTTCCTGAAAAGTGACCAATAATTGTGCTTAAACTTGCATTCCTCGTGTTATTTTTTACTTTTATCCCGAAAAATAGGTTCCTTTTCTGAACTGCTAAAGGGCTTGCTCAATGATGGCCATCTCTATAGGAGAACTGCAACTATGTATTTTACGCAATCAAGCACGCATTGCACAGTGTCGAAAATGGTCCAAACACGCGTGCTTGTTGCTTGAAATGTGTTCAATATGCGACGCAGCCGATGCGTGTTATGCAAGTTAATGCTCAAAATGCCGATGCACGTGGATGGTCTGTAGGAAATGACGTCATTTTAACGAGACCTATATTGTTCTAGCAACACAAGAGTTATTCACGTTTGAATGAGACATTGACCGAAAAAAAGTTGGCCATGTTTAGTGTTTGAATTTTTACGTTACAAATTATTGGCTACCAGACAATAATTCCATTCTCACAGGATAGGCTGGTTCCCGCCCCACAATCAGTTTGATAATGTAGGGACCCGGAGCCAGTCTGCTGGCAAAGCAGATCTAGCTGCTTGTGCCAAAACCAAAACAAATTTTTTTCAGAGGGCTGAAGATGTCCGAAAGAGGGAAAAAAGAGGTTTCTTTGGTTGGAATACAACATACAAGTGCAGTCCTTCATTTAAAGAAAATCCAGGAGAGCTATAAATCGCTCTCCTCAAATATTCGAGGAGAGCAAATCGCTCTCCTTAAAATCTACGGATAAACAGCGGTAAAACGACGGGTTACCATTGTTTTTATTTTATTTTGAATATAAGGATTTATTCAAGGGGCTGCATTATTATTAGTTTTTGCATAATAACATATGCTCAAGTTGCATTACTTTTTTCGTTTTTGTAACTGTAAGACAAGGTAAAATTTATTTAAAAAAACTAACTAAATGGAGATTAATAAAAGGTTTGACTACTGCTCAGGCTTTCATTTTTTAATACAGGTGTCAGTTGGTTCATCACTTGATTATACTTGGAAAATGGAGAGTTAATAAACGGCACATAAAGCAACTGAAAAATTGCTTTCAGATTCGTTAAAATTATAGGAAATTTTAAGCCTGAACTTATTTCAATTGCTCTACGAAAGCTTCACAAAAAGGGCCTCAAAATGACACAAACTTGCCTCAAAATGACACAAACTTGTTTGTGATGCACTGTGTGTGGTGGGCCGGCAATGAGACTCGTTTTACGGTATAGGATTTCGGTGAAACACGCTGCATCGTTTCACTTCACATACCAGTAAAACTTCCTCAAAATAAATTCATGAACACGGGAAATACATACACAGACAAGAGAGATCAAGTTTTGTGAATAAGCTTGCAAAGATCGTCCTTCTCAATCGTTGTTTTCTTGGCATTTTTACGACGTCTATTCCGTCCAGCCTGCACGCAAAACACTGTACGGCAGGCAGTGCATTGCACCGCGCAGGACTATTACATTGACTGGTTACCGCATTTTCATCATGCCTTCATTGGGACTTAGTGCGCGGCGCAGCGGGAACCAGTCATTGCTGCACTTGCACGTACGGGCCCACGTGTTTTCATGCAGCTCTACGCGATATGCAGATTGTGCACGCACAGTATACAACCGCTGTACACACACGATCTTATACAGTAAGTACGAGCTCGGTGTTCGTTCATTTTTAGCGATGTCCAGCGGCATATTAACGTGAGTTTGGGCATTATACCAACGAAAAATACGTGTAGCTTAAGACTTAAAATCCTTTGCGTTTTTATCACTTCTTATTTTTAAACTTCCCGTGTTTGACGAGCCCTCTTTTGGATTTCTGAGGAGCGCTATTTTTAGCGCTCCTTCGAGACAGTCGAGGAGCGCAGTAGGAGCGCCTGCGCGATCGCGCTCCTTAAAAATGAAGGACTGCAAGTGGAAAATGTATTAACCCTAACCTTCCCAAATCCTCTAAAATCTTCTTTGCAGAATGGAGGATTTCGCAGGATTGAGGCTATAATGGCAAAATTGTGTGGCTGATTTTGGAAGACGCACTGTGTCAAGGTCTTAACCCGGACCTTGTGTTGTTTATGCTCAGCCATGCATAAATTTACGTCTAGATTATACTTAAATCCTCCGCACTGCTTCAGAATGTCACTGGCTATGCCTCATGATATTGACAGTGATTTTCTGAAGCATTTTGCAGGATTGAGGCTGTATGCAATTTTAACATGGAGGCAGTTGGAGAATTTTGCAGGATTGAGGTTAAATCCCAGCAAAAATGCCTAGGGAGTTAGGGTTAAACACACAGCTGTGAGTGTCTTGTATCCACCTTGATAAATTGCACAATAATACGCTCCAGGACAATCACGATTTGCTGGTAAGAGGCTATTTTTAGTCGCTACGCCACAACTTATGCCATCTAATTATTTTGTGCAAGTTATACCCTAATTTGTTGCATAAGTCGCAGACTTACGCACTATGAATCTTTCGTGAAGTTGTCATAACTAAAATGTTGCGCAAAGAGAAATGCTGCACAACTTACGCGATAAATTGCAGTATTCGGAACGGATGACAGATAAACACGCAGGGAGCGAGGCCTGAAATATCTGTCAGCGACCAGGCAGCGAGCGAGGCCGGAAATATAAGTGTGCTGACCGAGGGTGATGGCTTCAACCCGCTTGGCTTGAGGTCGAGTGAAAAGCAATCCCACGCCTCAGTCCGTTCTTGTCAAAATAAATCCCGGCGTGAACTGGTTAAGATTCGTGAAATCAGCTGCTGGTACTTTTCTAAATTTCACCAACGCTTTGCAGTCACTCACCTGATACAGGTACCTGGTCAGTCGGCAACTGTACTGCCACAAATTGAAGGCGTGCTCTATCTCCGAGGGCAGACTAGAGGGGGCCGACAGAGACCCCAGGCAAGACATGGCGGCGGACTGGGTGGCGGCTAAGGTGTGATGGTACTCGATGATCTTGGTCAGTTGGTCCCGCAAGAACTTGGTCAGCATTTGGCACCAGTCTAGGACACACACCGTACAAGGGGGGAAAAAATTGACTCTCCCAATCATTTCCTTTCACTCTTCAACCCTTGTTTGATCTGTCACAGACGGTCAAAAAAATATATCCTTTTTCCTGCCATGCTTTTTAGACAGACTAGTCACCAACAGTCAGATCATATTAAGGAGCAAGCACTGTGACAAGTCAAATTCAGTCAACAGACAAAAACAGGACAAATGGTAGGCACAGCTGGCTTATTAATCACCTACAATCTAAGTGTTGCTGTATGGAGTAAACGTTAACAGTCACAGCCAGTTAATCCTACTTTATGTAGGCTGGGAGCTCTTAACTAAAAAAAACTAACTTGATTGATTTTGATTTAAAGAACAACCTGGCACAGGTTGTATGTTTGCATTGGAGGGTTAAATGGTTAAAGGGTTCATGAGATGAATTGTTCTTAGGAACATAATTTGTGCAACTTTCTACTCCTCTTAAATGTATGAATACATGAAATGTATGAATGTATGAAAAAGTACACTTCTTTAGACAAGTTATATTGTCCCATGCTCTTCCATACAACTGAGGGCACTGTTACTGTGATGTCATTTCAGGAGAGACACTGTTCAGTTCAGGGGATTTCTGTTCAAAAAGTGAACCTAAAATTTGCTTATTGAAAACATTTTGGAGAAAGGGTTGCTCATTGTCCTACTACTTACTGTACCGGTACTTACACAACAACGAATCACCAAAGAAACAAAAATTTACAACAGCAAAATATCCAAAAGTGCATGTGTACATTGTTACATGCACAGTACACAAATAGGCTAAGGTTTGCAATGACATTAACCCTAACCTTCCCAAATCCTCCAAAATCCTCTTTGCAAAACGGAGAATTTTATAGGATTGAGGCTACTTGGCAAAAATGTGCGGCTGATTTTGGACGATGCACTGTGTCAAGGTCTTGAGCCATAAATTTAGGCCTATGTTGTACTGAAATCCTCCACAGTGCTCCGGGATGTCACAGGCTCTGCCTCGACATACTGACAATGATTGCTGGAGGATTTTGCAGGATGAGGCAGTGGTCACCCCTCCAAGCACCACATTCAAGAAATACAGGAAGATTTTGGAGGATTGAGGCTGCATGCAATTTTTCATGGAGGCAGTTGGAGGATTTTGCAGGACTGAGGTTGCATCCTAGCAAAAATCCTAGGGAGTTAGGGTTAAGTCCATGTGTCACAGAGAAAGTTACAAAGTTGGGCAGTCTTTTGACTATTTATTACCCAACTACAGTACCAATAGTAATGACATGTTCTTCTTCTCATGAACAGGCTTAAAGCTATAGTCCATCATTTGTAATTTGTGTATTTTGTTCGTTTGAAGCAACAAAAGAGTTCAAAATCTAATAAAGGATACTAAGCAACTAACCTGATAAAGTTTCAGCTAAGCTTCAGCTGTACATTCCGAGAAAAACAGCATTCTAAGATCTCAATTTCAAATCAAAAGTTACTGAATCATGTTTTGAATTGCAGCTATACGCGACGTCGCGCACTGATCCGACAAATTATAACAACCGCACGCGCGTGTGCGTCGTTCCAATACTTGCGCGCGCTGCGCTGAATAACAAAACGAACTACTAATTTAAATTTTCCTACGGTGCTTCTTAAGAATCACCGTTGGAAATGCCTTCTTTCGTTGATTACTTCAAAATGAAAGCTTCCCAGAAAGAATAATTTCACAGGGAGTTTAGTTCCCTTACTATCTTTCAACTAAGTTTGTTTTTCAACAATAATTACGCCAGTTACTTTTCGGATGGCTGCAAATGATGGACTATAGCTTTAACAGTGTCCTGTTCTGTGTACGAACAGAGTCAAAAGGTTGATTCTGTAAACAATTTTGTTTTAAATGACCTTGTGAGGGGTCGTTCGGTGCTCGCTTCTTCATCTTGGTCTCAGACATGGCGGCCGAGTGGGCGGCGGTCATCTTGAGGAACCACGTGGCCCGCACCAAGGGTACGTCGTACTCGCACAGGGTCACAAAAATGTCATCCTTCTTGTTGAAAAGGGGGACCTGGAAATGACAAAAATCATACAAAACTAACTAGAAAGCTGGCTGATGTAATAGGCCTGGGACGTAATAACTTTGTTTACATGTGCACTTTCTTATGGGAGACACGTTCAGACGAGAGCCACCAAGCTCCCTTAAGAAACTGCACATTGAAACAATGCGTGATGTCATAATGTCTCTGGTCTATTTGTGCTATAAAACCAAACACTGACTTGGACGATACAATTCACACGGTGTTTAGCCGATAACCCATGTTTGCTTCGTAAATCATACTTGACCATACAGCAGAGTGTGTCCGAGATCTTGGCTTCATTATCAACAACCAGCTTACTTTTCTGAGCATATCCAAGGCATGCAACTGGGAAATCACCAAAAAAAAGAGGAAATTCCCCAGAAAATTCCCCAGGAAATTCCCCAGACTTTGTACAGTGTTTTTCTATTTTCAATGGCACACATGGGAAGTAAAAAAGGAGGAAATCAGCTGATCCGAGGAAAAGTTGCATGCCTGATATCCGCAAGACCTGCAGATCATCCTGGGGAATTGTCAAAATCGGCGAGATCAGGAAATATCTGACCAGTCACTCAACTGAGAGACTGGTCCATGCACTCGTTACATCTCACATTGATTATTGTAACAGCCTGTTGTCCGGTTTGGCCAAGTCAAACATCGCTCCATTACAACGCATTCAAAACTCCGCTACCAGAATGGTCACTCGGACTAAGAAACATGAACACATTACACCAGTCCTTCGGTCTCTTCATTGGCTTCCGGTTCACGAACGCATCATCTTCAAAACACTTCTCCTTGTTTTCAAAGTCATCCACAACCTTGCCCCATCATACCTCCAGAAGCTCGTAACTACCCGGTCCACAGCCATTTCACCTACATCCCGCCACCTCCGATCGCATTCTACAGCCCATCTTCAGTTACTGCCTGGACCTAAAACCAAAACCCGCTATGGCGACCGTGCCTTCTCTGTGCTAGCCCCGAAACTCTGGAACTCTCTTCCCATCCGCATCCGTGAAACTGATTCATTGGACTCGTTTAAGATAGTACTTAAGAGCTTTCTTTTTTCACAAGCCTTTGATCAGTAAATTGATATTTGTACAAGAAACAACTGTGCGCTTTGAAACATGGTGGAAAGGGCATTATAAATGTTGTAAGTTATAGTTATAAGTTATAATCTTCTCAATGCGTAGCAAAGTTCGGAAGGATTTTTCAATGCTTTGTTTTTTATTTACAGGATTTATAATGAAATCAATAATATGGATTTACACGGTGCGCATATCCACCGAAAGACCATCCAAAAACAACCCAAAGACCATCTCAGCTCCCTGGGGAGTATACAGCTTAATGCTGCTGTCTCTGCACAAACGTCTCAATCGAACCACCCAATCCCTCACAGATACCCACTTGCACCAAGGGTTGACACACTACAAACCCTGGACTCCCATCCACAACCTGCAGAGTTACCATAGAGCTATATTAAATTACTAGAGCGCTAACTCTTCATTCTTGCGTGCGGAGACACTTTGAAGCCGCTCTGGGTGCAGACATTTTTAATTCTTGTGCGTGTTTGTAGAACACAATCAAAATAGATGGATTGAATTTTAAAAGTGTACTCCAAATGCAACACGCAAGTAGAAGATACATGTACGCAAACAACTTAAGCGCATCATGACAGTTCAAACAACGTCACGGCGAAAAGCATCGGCAGCGAAGGGACGCGCGCGTTGCGCTGTTTGCGTAGAGCAAAATGAAACGCTCATTTGCTGTTTGTGCGTTTCCGTTTTGGGCGTATCGGCTTCGATGACGCACCATTATGGAATACAAACGCAGATATGCAAATAGCCGTACAAAAGCCGTACAAAATTTTGAGTTTTCCATAGGTTTGTGCACAAATATGGATGCGCCCAGCAGGCATTACTTTGTACATCGAGTTAGCGCTCTAGTAATTTAATATAGCTCTATGAGAGTTACCCACAAGATTATGAGTTCAACACTCTTGACGGCGAGGCCACGGAACACCAAAACATTTAGGATGTTTGTAAAGGTTGAATAAAGGCCAGGTGTACAGAAAAGGCTTTGTTGGGGAATCCCAAGCTGGCTCTTTACTTTCCCAACTCACCCTCTTTGCCAGGTAAGGCAGAGGCTTGCTGCCTGCCAGATCCTGGAACCAAGCCTGCAATCCTGCTTTGGACTTGGTGGTCTGTGTCACCTGAAAGAAAGAGAAAGCCAAATTTGACAGCTGCTTTCCTGAAAACTGAAGACTATAAATAAACCCTTACTCCTTTTTGGCATTGCTTTCAAGCAAGCACAAATGTGATGCAATCAAGCTACATGAGTCATTTGTCGACCCTGGTCAAATTTGTTTTATTACAGATTTGAAAAGAGCAGCACAATCTCAGAATTACTTCTGTGAAAACCGCATGCTGATACCATCTTTAGTTCAAAAATTATGGAAGTCGGAACACCAAGAAATGTGATGAAGTGATGTGATGAAGTGGCCCTATTTTGGCCTGTATCTCCACATAAAAATTCCCGACAAACGACTCATTTAGCTTGATCGCATCACAAATGTACATCCACCAACAAACTTAAGTACAGCCTGGTATGGGCTCCGCGCACAAGTACTCCTTCATCGGGCAAAAATGAAGAGTTGGGGGAGACCTAGACTGGTTCCCGGTCTATCCACTGCGTATTTTGAATGATCCAAAGTTATTGGGGGCGGGAATTAGTCTGGGAGACCATCGCAAGTTAAATTCGAATGTATTCGCGCGCTGACAACGCCTGATGCTCACGCGAAGACGCTGTGGCTAATACCATGGTAGCTTTTGCACATTCAGGAAGTTGTGCGTACTTCGTGCGCCAACCAGTACAGTATAGTACATATACCCTGTGTGTCCCGTCCACAGGGCTCTCAAAAGTGGGCCCATGGAGCCCATACCAATGATTATTAACAATGTATTAATTTTGTAGTGGCTGTCTAAGGGGCAACTATGCTGAACAAGCGTAGGTAAAAAAAGTTATACTAATACTGAGGTGTCAAGCAAGCGAACAGAGAAGACACATGCAGATGAATTTTCCCCTTGCAAAAATAGGTATCTCTCCCCAAAAGTTGAAAGTATAGCCCGGAAGCTTTCCCCGAAAAAGGAGGTGTTATAATTTTTGTTCACTTCCCCACAAACTCTTCTACAAATTTGTTCAACAAATTAGATTGTCTGTTTGCTAAAATAAAAGAAATTAATCTTATTAGTTTAAAATGAATCTCTTAGCTAACTCCTATGTTATGATTTAAACTTTGTGTTATTTGAACATTTTGATGTAACCCTCCCCAGGGTAATGGGGTGCGTTCCTTTTTGTGGAATAAAACAAGAATACTAAACTGAAAAATCTATTAATTTTGTCAATGCCAGGATAGTAAGCAGAGAATTCTGTGGTTAGCAGAGCCACTAAATTGAGCCCTGATTTGCTTAAAAATGAATAGTAAAATAAATACTACAAACAGTGGAGAATCTTACTGGGTAGTAGTTGTCCTTGGAAATCTGTATTTTCTTCTTTCCTGAGTCTTGGAATGTGTTGACCTTCTGTTTCTCGGCCACGAGGGTGCTAAAACAAGCACCGAACTGGACAAGTGGGAAAAAATAGAGGTAAACACTTCACAAAATGTTCTTTGAGCATAAATGTGTGTTTACTGATCAGAACCAATGTCCATCTCTGTAAAATGCAACACAAATATAACTTGTTTTTAAGTTAATGCAATGATGTCTATAACTTGTTTACAAACACTAACAGATTGCCGTGCAAAGCACAGCACTCACTATCTACAATCCCGGCCAAAATGGTTGGGACACTTCCTGAGCCTGCCACGCTCACCCACTGCCCCGCTCCCCCGGTCAATGCTGTTCTCTCCAGCTGATGGAGCACACACCGCGCAATGAGAGACAACATTGAACGGGGGCCGGGGGGTTGGAGGCCCAGCGAGATTTGGCCAGGATTGTAGGTGGAGTAACATACTTACTTTGACCTCAATTTGCATGTTAATCCCTAGTGGGCATGTTAAACCTTGGTGAAGCAATTTTGCCACATTTTCATCATCAACACTTTGTTCTGTGTAATAGCTTTAGATGCGTCTTAAAGTTTGCCAAAATAGCTAAACAAAAAACAAATAAATCATTTTTCTTGACATGCCAACTTCAGACAGTGAAATTGGAGCATATACAACCATGGAGCTATAAGATAACTAAGCCTCTCCATTAGCCCTTGTATCTTGTAGTTTCGTTCACTCTTTAGGACTCTTACAAAAAGTAAAACTCAGACATTACATCACATAGGCAAAGAGATGCTTTTAAAGAATATTTGTCCCAATTATTTTGAGCCCTCCCCTCTCGGACTCTGCACTCTCCCCACCCCCCACCCCACCTCCGTCTGACCCCACCCCTTTTCCCTGACAACAATTTTGAAATGTTGGTCCCCCAGCATTGGATGACGGTACACGAACACAGTTTTACAAGACCAGTTTTATTTGTGAGTTATTTTTTTAGTAAGTCAATAATCAAATCTTGAAACTGACCTTGTTCGGGTTGATGTGACTGTTCCTTGCTGAGCCATACTGCAAAGGTACAAGAGACGAAAAGAAATAGCTTTAAAGGGAAGATACAACATTTGCAAACATCACAAAATAAAATGATCAAATTATCATGAAATACCTTACTAGATTGTTAGGGAATGACAGTCTAAAGCATCCTGTAAAATCGTGGCTCCTGGTGTGCTGTCATTTTCAAGAAAAAGTATATTTTTCCAACGCTGGTCGGCCGACCAGCGTTGGAGATTACTGGCTTTTTTCAAAAACTGCTCCTATTTTTTTATAATTAGTTATTCTGCATTTTCTTTGCAATTGACTACACACCTGTGAAGGGGTACAGACCTGCTAGACTGATTCTCTGACCTTACAATTCCTTAAAGTCTATAAATTGCTCTGTTTCATCTTAAGTGGGGTCAGGGAACCAGACTACAAGAACATGATTGCTTTTCTTGGTTTTTCCAGCATCTACAAGCCCAAAACGTGAAACAAGTCATTTCAACAATATTTGCCATAACCATGAAAACATACAAATCCTCCAAATTCATTTATTTCTAAAAATTGCAGCAAAAGCAAATGTTGTACATTCCGTTTAATTTATTGAGTGCAATGCAGTACCTCCCAAAAATAAAAACGAATCTTCAATGTGTGAAACAGTGCAGTAAAAAGTTGTTTACTGTTGTCACTGTTGTCAAACTATATTCAACAATTTTGAAGGACTAATTTTTGTACTGTTCATATGCACTTTTGACAAGGAGAACCTTGTGTGACAAAAGCAAAATAGTGTAATACACGTATTAATGAAAGAATTCGCTAACAATTGAAAAAATACCACTTTCTTGTCACTTCCAATGAAAACAAGTAGGGTCCTATTAAGATCTTGTATTGTTGCAACAAATATTAATGTGCATGAAAACAAGATGAGCTGAATTTCCACGGCATGTTTCCTTTAATTTCTTCAAGAATTTATGTCTTTCTATAGTCCGAGTAACTAGGACTCTACGAATCGCCTTTTTTAACATTTGGAGATGGTCGGGCAATAGAAGGGTCCTAGGATCATAAAGTACATGGCGGTATCAATAACCTCTTTTGACCATTTTCACTCGTACCCCCTTATCGAAATCTTCGGATTTCACTCCCAACACAGTCCTCAAACTATCTGATGCGCCCCCTGAAGGCTTCAGTGGGAATTGAAAATACAAATGGTGGTGGTTAAGTTCACATATATTTGGGAAGAAAAGAGAAATTTCACCTTCAATTCGGGAAACATCCTTGTCACACACGCCTTGTTGGAGGCTGCCATTTTGGATTCAGGAAAAATTGACTGGAATCGGGCAGACCAATCACAGGGCACTTTGATTGGTCACCTGGATTGGTCGCCATGGCGACCAATCAAATGATCCTCGGACCCTACTATCGCCCGTCCATCTCCAAATGTTAAAAAAGGTGATTCGTAGAGTCCTAGTTACTCGGACTAGTCTTTCTACATGTTCACTTACCTCATCGGATGCGAAGGCAGGCTGATTGTTGAAGCCTTGCTTTACATTGGTTGCTGTGAGCTCATCCTGGGAAAGCAAAACATAAATTCAAACAATTAAATTTGGAAGAAATTTTGAAACCTTAAAGGGAAAATACAACATTTGCAAACATCAAAAAATAAAACTACCAAATCATTTTGAAATACCTTGCTGGACTGTTAGTGAATGACAGTGTAAATCATCCTGTAAAATCATGACACCTGGTATACTGTCATTTTCAAGAAAAGTGGTATTTTCGTATCAATTTCCAACGCTGATCGGCCGATCAGCGTTGGAAACAACTGGCTTTTTTTTCAAATACTGGCCCCAATTGACCATCGCACTTGTTTGCAATTGATTACAAACCTATGAACGGGTACGAGCCAGCTAGACTGGTTCCCTGACCTTACAATTCCCCAATGTATGTAAACTGCTCTGTTTCTTCTTATATGGAGTCAGGGAACGAGACTACAGGAAAATGATCGTTTTTCTTGGTTTTTATATCACCACGCGATGTACCGCGAGCACGCACAGCGTGCTGAATCACAAGGCACAAACCGGGCAGGAAAATTAGAAATTTTCTACTCCAAGAAACTGTTCAAAATTGCAAAATGGGTGTCATTGGAATTGAGAAAAGTCGGAAAGATTTCCATATACGAAGTTCACTCAACACCCTGTGTACAAACCCTATGAGATTGGACTGAAAAATTCTAAGTGTTTTCTAAGAAAATACTTGTATTTTCTCACTGCTCAAATTGACTTTGATGACATGAAATTGCTATCTGGGGGCTTGTTAGTCAATACAGAGGAAAATTAGTGAACTTCGTATATGGAAATCTTTCCGAAAAGTCTGCTGATTTGTTCAAAACAAAATAGGGGCCTAGGCTACGGTCGCCAAATGTCAGCGAAAAACGAACATGACGAAGTAGAAAGACATGCACACAATTTGCCGTAAATCTCAAAATAAAACATCCTGAAAATGACCTTTATGTAACAAATCAGATCCTGGTATTTTCATACTTACTTCTTTTTGTTTTGGGTCCTGTGGGTAGACGTCTGGGGCCCCTAATCTCGGTCTTTTTAGCGGCCGATTTCCGTAGTGGACGAAAGCCGCCATGACGGGCCCTGTATGTTTTCCCCCCTCTGAAATTGAAACAGCCAATGAAGCGAACAAAAGAATGACAAGAGAATACTGCCACCAAGGGCTCGTCTTTTGCCAGTTAATGGATTTTGAGCTGAGCGCAAAAAGTGTTTAGAGGCAGGTGCGCCTTGAATGACTGAAAAAATATATTTACAATAATAACGGTAATAATAATAAAAATAAAAATTAGGCCGGCCCAGCTATTATCTCCATGAATCATCGTTTTCGCATTGAATAAATATTAGATAAGGCCAATTCCGGCGTGACAGATGGGACAGATTTTCACTACCTTTTTTACCAGGCCTGCCAAAACCAATACGACAAGGTGTTTGCAATCTTTAGAAGTTATGTATAAAGTCAAAGTCAACACTCTATATTTCAAATAAAAAAACAATCCATGAAACTATAACAAATGGGTAAAATGTGACAGACGGGACAGAGTTTGAGATGAAATATCAGATCAACTATCAATGGATATGTCTATTTTACTTTCTAGGTGACTGAGGTCACCCCATTACAAAAATGTCCCATGGCAAAGCCATGGGATCCCCATGGGACCCCATGGGGAACCCATGGGAATCAAAGGGATTCACATGATGGTCTCTTAAAACACCATGGAGATCTCTTAAAACACCATTGTGTCCCATGGAAACACGATGGACAGCTAAAGAAACGCCATGGTATCCCATGGGAACACCATGAGCAGCTACTGTAACCCCATGGCACCACCATGTGGTCTCATGGTGGCCTCCATGGTGGTCTCTTAAAAGTTAAAACATCATGGCGATCTCTTAAAACGCCATGGTGCCCCATGGGAACACCATGAGCAGCTATGCTGTTAACCCATGGCACCAACATGTGATCATGGTGGTCTCTTTAAATACCATGGTGGTCTTTTAAAACACCATGGTGGCCCACGAAAACGCCATGTATAGTCAAAGAAACGCCATATGCGGTGTCCCATGGGAACACCATGGACAGCTATTGTAACACCATGGCACCATGCACCATGAGGTTTCAAAACCACCATGAAAGCACCACCATGAAATGTTGAGGTGACCACCATGGGGACCATGGTGACCAATGACATCGCCATGGGAATGCTTTATTTCTACCCAACGGATTTGCGCGCATAGGGAAATACCATGGTACACACGATGGGATCGATGAACCATATGGGGATGAACACCATGGGGATGAACACCATAGAAGATAGGAATTCAAGTTTGAACCAAATTATCTTTTCATGTAAAAAATACACAACTTGTTATCATGTTTTGTTTTGTGTTTCATCTAATTTGTTTTGTCGGAGTGTCATCTTTTGGTTTAAAATTGTGTAGTGGTGGAGGGACGGCATCAGACTTCATAGTTAACCAAAAATAAAATCTTTGAAGCATAAGAGAGGAACTCAAATTTCCATAACAAAATAGAGGAAACGTATAAGTATTGTTTCTCGAAACTTCAATCCTTGATAAAGAAATAAATCCAAGTGCAGAAGAAAAACAAAAACTGTCTTTGAACACTTGGTTTGTCTACTTTCCAAGAAAAAAATCATTTGCATGTAGAAAATGTACTTTGAATACTCATGAGTTCGCAACTCTTATCCGCAATTAACCATAACTGTTTTCTTTTGTTTTACTTTTTATGAAAAAGGACCAGACCGCGCTGTACGTCACTTTACGAAAGTAATAAAGTAAATTAATTGTATGATTAATTCGGCCCCGCCATGGGCAATTCTACTGGGACAAGAACCGGGGGAGGGATTACCAAATAAAGTTAAACCTTATTTCGTAATAAATTTCTGAGATTTTTGTTACTTTAAAAAATTAAAAAACAAAATCAAAATTTTAAAGCCGCCCATCATTGAGGAAGATTTTTTTTGGTTGGTAATGCGCTATGCGCGATGAAGCTCAACACGAACTTGGTCAATGTTTGCCTAGTCTCTGGTCTTTGAATACCTACAATGTTCACTTGGAAAGCATTTCATAATGTGTAAGGGTGGGGGGGGGGGGGGGGTGATGAGTGCCAGCAGTTTGTACCCGTCATGTGGAGTATGAGTGATTCCTGGTGGATCCGCCCCTGCACATGGAGAGCATTCCATAAGGGGGACCCGGGGGTGATGGTTGTGCCTTAAGTTCCAGATTTCACTAGCTGCCCTGCCTACGGAGTATGGACATGGGCGTCACCGCTGGGGGACGGGGTGGACCCCCACCCACTTTTTAAAGTGGGGGATATCATATCGTTTGTTCCCCCACTTTTTTCGTCCCTGAACAAAAATTGTAGCCAACATAAGCTCAGAATAGCTGATCAATGACTCGAACGGACGCGGTAACTATAAAGCAAATATTTGTAAAGCAATATTAATTACACGATCGAGGCAATTTCAACAGGCAACTTAAACCCAAAAAAAAACTCGGATAAAAATACTATGTTTTTTTTTTTTATGGGGGAGGGTAAATAACCGGCCGAAGGCATGAAAATTAAAGGCGGATGAACTGAAAGTTAAGTAAGGCAGGGTTTATTTCACCGCGGGACATCCGACCTCTGCAAAATCAAAAACGGCCGGAGGGAGTCTGGGGGTGGGGGTGGGGGGGGGGGGGGGTGGGGTGGGGGCTGGACACCATCTTCCAATTGGGCAGGGACGCTGTTCAAAACCAACATCATCATCAATGTCAGACAATGATCCGCGGCCGCGTTTCGCTTTACGCGGATGGCCAAATTTCTTCACATAATTGTGCCTTGAGGACACAAAGTAAAACTTGCATGGGCTGAATAACTTGTTATTTATGGACAGGGATATTTAGAACTTACCAGATTATAATTTCCTGAGTTACTGAATTAGCGGTAAATATTTTCTCAGACTTATGAGCACTACTTTAGTTTTTATTTTCTACTTACTTCAATTTTTATTAACTACTTAATTTAGTGCTGTCACGCACCAACTATCGCATCGGTCCCAACTATAGTTGGGACTGTCCCAACTATAGTGCGGCAGTTGGGTCGGCCCAACTATAGTTAGGACTGGAGTTGCGCCGGATGCTTCATGCTTGATAGATCTTGTTGGATTAATGTTCCGCGGCGCTGGCACCGTGTATTCGTCGTGCATGCATGCCGCAAGGCTGGCCGGTCACGTGGTACTGCCTAGTTGGATGAGTTGTCCAGCTGCTGGGTTGATTGTCCAGCAACATTTTGCAAAATTCAAAGATTGCCATGGCCGGCCAACTAGTATAGATGGGCCCCACCCATAGCTAATGTCAAAGGTCCCAAGTAAAGTCGGACAGTATGTAACAGAGCTGTAGGGAATGTTTTATAGTCGTCGTACATCAATGTAAACTATAGTTGGGACCGCCAAATAAAAATATTGCGGTGGCCCAACTACAGATGGTCCCCACCCATAGATAATTTCATTGGTCCCAAGTAAAGTCAGATGTGTATTAGAGTTGTAGGGAATGTTTTATAATCGTACAACAATGTACACTATAGTTGGGACCGCAAAATAAAAAGATTGGAGTGGCCCAACTATAGATTCGCCCCATCAATAACTAATTTTAGTGGTCCCCAGTAAAGTCAGACGTGTATCAGAGCTGAAGGGAACGTTTTACAGTTGTACATCAATGTAAACTATAGTTGGGACACCGCAAAATAAAAAGATCGGAGTGGCCCAACTATAGATGGGCCAGCCCAACAATGGAACTTACAGTTGGGACCGTCCCAACTAGGGCCAGCCCAACTGTGGAACTACAGTTGGGACAGGCCCAACTATAGTTGGGACAGGCCCAACTCTAGTTGGGACCGATGCGATAGTTGGGGCGTGACAGTGCTACGCAGCACCCCATTTTGTTATTGCGCCGAATGAGGGCATCGGCAGATAATTAATATTGCCTAAAATTTACTTTCTGAAACTAGTCGTCCGCGGCACTGCGAGCGAAGGCTTTATTAGTTCAATCATCTTTCCAATTGACAAGGATCAGTCGCCCACGGTACAGCGACCCCGCGTGTTTGTAAATAAAAACACGACTCGGACTTTACCATCAACTGAACTTCGAGTCTTCGCTTGATTGTTTATCAAATCATGCAAATAAGGTGACGTCTCTGATGAATATTCAGCATTTTGGCCTTGTAGTCTGGTACCCGCCCAACCGTTAACGGTAATAAGAACAAGAACAAGGTCGGATTGCAGACCAGATAATATCCGACATTTTGACGAGGTTGCGACGCCAAACTGTACGAGCACAAGCAAGATTTAACCGGTAAAATACTTCTATTTATTATTGTGGAATTTGTTGTTGTTGACATATTTGCTTCTTAAGTGTTTGGATCGATAGGTTCTGATTTTGATCGTTAAGTTACTGCCTAAAAACTTAGAAAACTGTCAACGATCAGTGAGTGACTCATTCATCATTGGTTGACATTGCACTGTTTATATGCAATGACATTGACATGTGTCCGAATACTGGGCTCCCTCCGTATTGACCTATCGCGCGCTGTTTGCGAGTTTGCCACGCCCCTCAGACAACCGTGTTGTTGTTTTTTTGGGTACAACTATAGAATGCAGGGCCACTTCACTCTACATCCGCGCCTCTGTACGGCTGCGTGGAGGCGTGGAGCCGCAGTCGACCTACCTCCGAGAATTGCGCCCTCTATCGGCGCGCGTCTCTGCGACTCCGCGCCTCCGCGCCTCCGCGACTCCGCGCCTCCTCGGTGCGCGTCTCTGCGACTCCGCGACTCCAGTGCCCCGCGTCTCCGCGACTCTGCCCTCCGCGCCTCCGCGTCTCCGCGTCTATGCGACTCCGCGACTCCAGTGCCCCGCGTCTAGTCTCTGCGACTGCGCGACTGCGCGACTCCGTGGCTCCGTGCCCCGACACATTTACAAGCGCCCTCCCTTCCGATCATTGATGAGAAGACAAGTGCATTCGCTGTACTTAGCACTTATTATTTTGTAGCCTATTACTCCTATCCTCACATCGCCGGCCTCCATCCATACCTCCAAGCAGAATAAAAAAACCTTGCTCCGGCGTGGCCCCGGGTCCCCCTTATGGGGGGGGGGTCTTTTTCTTAGTTTTAACAATTTTTTTCACTCATATGTTATTATTAATCAAATCATTTGTTTTTCATTTAAATAGATTTCATTTTCTGGCGATCGTGAAGTAGGGCCTAAGTCAAGTGTAGGGCCCCTGACTGTTTTGTTTTGAAGTGCTTCATGCAGAACTTCACTAAAACAGTAGTCCCGACATTTTGGAGGTTTTTTTTTACTCGCCCTGTATACTTCTATTATGCAGGCTAGTCTCAAAACCACACTAGAATTAAAGTCAGAGCCAGAATTGAAAAGATTGATAATGAAGGTGTTTTTTTTGGTGTGTTTGTTTTGCAGCTAGAACCATGAATCCAGCCTATCCACACCAGCAGTATCAGCAGCCGAGTGCACCACCTCCGGGTAGGTGTTGTATAACTGTAGAAAATGTGCAGGTGTATGCATAGTCTCTGCAGTTCTTTTCTGTAGAGTTAACTTAGTGCTTAATATCAGACTTTCATGTACTCCTACTTTTTCTTATTTTTTTTAGTGCATAAACTGCCGATTCTGAGACAATTGGTGCTACACATAGAGCTATATTAAATTACTAGAGCGCTAACTTCGTGTACAAATTAATGCCTGCTGGGTGCATCCATGTCTGTGCACAAACCTATGGAGACCTAGAAATTTTGTACAGCTTTTGTACGGCTATTTGCATATCTGCGTTTGTATTCCATACCGGTGCGTTATCGAAGCCAATACGCCCAAAACCGAAACGCACGATCAGCAAATGAGCGTGTCATTTTGCTCTACGCAAACAGCGCAACGCGGGCGCGTATTCGCTGCAGATGCTTTTTGCCGTCACGTTTTTTTTAACCGTCAATGACGCGCTTAAGTTGTTTGTGTGTGTTCTACTTGCGCGTTGCATGTAGAGTACACTTTCAAAATTCAATCCATCTAATTTCATTGTGTTCCACAAACACGCACATGAATTTAAAATGTCTGCGCCCAGGACAGCTTCAAAGCGTCTCCGCGCGCAGAATGGCGAGTTAGCGCTCTAGTAATTTGATATAGCTCTATGGTGCTACATGTAGTCTAGTCATATCCGTGTCATGATTCAGTCCATCGCAAGGCCAAGTCACAAGGATTTTGGAAGACTCGGGATGGTACGGAGCGAAAACACCCAAACCCCACTGCATGCCTTTCAGATTTTTTCACCCGATCACCGGTACTTTTTTTCTCACCAATGCGGAGACTGCAGCGTTACCCGCACACATGTCTAATTCTGTTTGATAATCGGTCACATGATGATCAGTCACACAATGACCAGTCACATGATGACAAAATGGCAGCCGTCAAGTTTGTGTCATGTGACTTCATTCAAGAATCTGATTGGTTAACATAAAAATCACGTCGGGCAAAATCGGAGTGCTGCCCGCACACTTTTGACGGTGACATCGGATCCGAAGAAATCGGATGCGGACAAAATCAAACGTGTTTGATTTCATGCGATCACCCAGTGTACGGTCAGATCGGGCCGAGTTTTCAGCGCACACTTCTCCGATCTGTACACTTGTCCGATGGCCCGATGATCTGCTGAGCCAGTAAAATTGGAAACGTTTGCAGCGGGCTTTAGGAATTAGGATTTAGTCACAATTTAGTTACCACATGGTTTGACCTAAGATCATTGTAGAATGCCCTGGACCAGAAGTTGCGGTGTTTGACTCATGTGCGATGGCACCTGGGTTTGAACCCTGCCAGGAACATGGTGTTTGTGCCCTTGGGCAAGACACTTAACTACAATTGCCTCTCTCCACCCAGGAGTATGATTGGGTACCAGTGAGGGTAGAGGACCAAATGAGGGCTGATATCGGCTGCCATGTGGTCTTGTGGCCTGATGAACGGGAGGAATAATTGTAAAGTGCTTTGACATTGTTGAAATGATGGAGAGCACTATACATGTATCGGTATTATAGTTTTTATGCCCCGCGGCGAAGCCGAAGGGGCATACTGTTTCCGCCTTGTCCTTCCGTGGGTGGGTGGGTGTGTGTGTGGGTGGGTGGGTGGGTGGGTGTGTGTGTCCGGACAAATCTTGTCAGCGCGATAACTTGAGAAATACTTAACATATGAACTTCAAATTTGGTTTGTGGATTGTCCTTGGTAATCCTAAGAAGCCTTTTGCATTTGGGGCCGAAAGGTCAAGGGTCAAGGTCACAGTGGCTGAAACAATAGAAATTTTGTCAGCGCGATAACTTGAGAAATACTTAACTTATGAACTTCAAATTTGGTTTGTGGATTGTCCTTGGTAATCCTAAGAAGTCTTTTGCATTTGGGGCCGAAAGGTCAAGGGTCAAGGTCACAGTGGCTGAAACAATAGAAATTTTGTCAGCGCGATACCTTGAGAAATACTTTACATTTGAACTTCAAATTTGGTTTTTGGATTGTCCTTGGCAATTCTAAGAAGCCTTTTGCATTTGGGGCCGAAAGGTCAAGGGTCAAGGTCACAGTGACTAAAACAAAAGAAATTTTGTCAGCGCGATAACTTGAGAAATACTTTACATATGAACTTCAAATTTGGTTTGTGTATTGTTCTTGGTAATCCTAAGAAGCCTATTGCATTTGGGGCCGAAAGGTCAAGGGTCAAGGTCACAGTGGCTGAAACAATAGAAATTTTGTCAGCGCGATAACTTGAGATATACTTTACATATGAACTTCAAATTTGGTTTTTGGATTGTCCTTGGCAATCCAAAGAAGCCTTTTGCATTTGGGGCCAAAAGGTCAAGGGTCAAGGTCACAGTGGCAAAAACAAAAGAAATTTTGTCAGCGTGATAACTTGAGATATACTTTACATATGAACTTCAAATTTGGTTTGTGGATTGTCCTTGGCAATCCTAAGGAGCCTATCGCATTGGGGGGTCGAAAGGTCAAGGGTCAAGGTCACAGTGGCTAAAACAATAGAAATCTTGTATTTATTCTGAGATCATAGGGATTAGGGATTAATTCATATAAAACCTACAGAAGACACTAATGCTGTCAATGAACGTTCCATGTGACCAAGGTACATGTAAGTTGATGTTAGAGTGGTGTTATGTCATGGAAACAGTCACGGTTGCGGGGCATTTGTGTTTGTAAACACACCTGACTTGTTAATTAATGAATTTTTTTAAATAGTTTTTATTATTTATACGTATATTATAAAAAGCATCGTAGGGTTGTAGAAACACTGTTTTTTTACACAGACACATTTGAAACAAGTGGATGTTGAGTACTAACTGTCTTTTGTGCTTTTATGATGCAGCATATAACACCCCTACCAATGCTGGCCAGCCCCCGCCCATTGGATTCAACCCCAGTGTGTATGCATCTCCGCAACCTGCCTATGCACATCCAAGTAAGTCAATTTTTGTTTTTTAAATTCAGCGTTTTCCGAGGTGATTAGAAGAATGTTATGAAATATGTAACTTTACTGTCATTGGTCCTTGAACTGTGACCGTTGTGTATCTGGGCATGTGCTGTGTATCAGAGGATTGTGGAATACACTTGTTTGTTTCCTTCCAATTTTAATTTTTTTTTTTGTGCTATTTTTGGAGCATTTGTCAACTGCATAGTTTCTTCTGGAGTGTCTGTTACTGGCTTACATGATGAACCAGACTAATTCTCGAAATTAATGGCCAAACTTGCTAAAAAGTAGCTACGTAAAAAGGAGAATACACGAGAAAGTGTGGATTTGTAATTTAAGAATTCGTAAATTAACCCTAACTCCCTAGGCCTTTTTGCTAGGATGTAGCCTCAATCCTGCAAAAACCTCCGATTGGCCTCATGGAAAAATAGCATATAGCCTCAATCCTGCAAATTCCTCCGTTATTTCTTGAATATGGTCCATGGAGGGATGACCACTGCCTGAATCCTGCAAAATCCTCCGGCTATGTCTGTCAATAGGCTGAGGCAGAGGCAGTGACATCCTGGAGCAGTGCGGAGGATGTCAAGTATAATCAAGGACTAACTTTATGCACGGCTGAGCATACACAACACAAGGTCCGGCCCAAGACCTTGACACAGTGCGTACTCCGAAATCAGCAACGCACTTTTGCCATGTAACCTCAATCCTGCAAATTCCTCCAATTCGCAAAAAGGATTTTGGAGGATTCAGGGCGGTTAGGGTTAAGAATCCACACTTGCGAGTGTATTCTCCGACTTAAACCATTGCGTCAAAAGAAGTATTGTCATTAACAGTCCAGTGAGTGGAGATGAAAAGACTTGCATATTTCGTGTCGAGTCTTGGCCACTGGGGTAATTTACTAGGGAAATTTTCGAGGCTCTTATACATAGTCAAGGATTTTGGCGCGTTAAGTATGTCTATCGCCACACCCGTACAACCAAGTCATTTTGTGTGTGGGCTCTTTCGTCAACATGGATAGTTCAGACGACGGTTTCTTTCGGAGTTAAAGTAGTTTTTGCAGCGACGGCGGAGAATCTGACAGTGAAGATGCATTGGTAATTTCGGAAGGAAAGTTTTCATGCAGACGGTCCTATTAATGCTCATTATGGAGAACAATTGTCCGACATGTTCAAAGTGTGGATTCGTAATTCCGAATCCACACTATACTAATGATTCGTCATTCCGACTTCCGAATCCACACTTTTAACCCTCGGAGCCGCAAAACCAACATATTTACGCGGTGGAACCACATGGAGAATTTTAACACCACACAGTGTTTCTAGGTCAATAACCCCCTCATGCACAAGATATAGGCAGTCACATGGCCTTTGTGTGGGCCAGGATTGTTTACGACCTGTCTGAGCTCTGGGCAGCACAAGGGGTTGACACAGAGAGATCGGTGGCACAAAGGTGTTGGCACACTAAGATATCCAATTACTGCACAAAGGCATTAGGCGCCTCTTGGGGCTGCTGTCTTTCAACCCTCCTTACTCTGCAGTGGTTAGGGTCTGGCCAATGGGAGTCTACAGGCTGGTGGTGTATACCAGGGGTGAGGATTACATGGAATCTTGGCATTATTTGCCCATTGAAAAAAAAGTTATGGCCATATTTGGTAACGTGGAGAATTTTATCACCGCGTGGCTACTCTAGTATGACGTCATAGCTTTAGCAATGGTTTAAAGTAACTTAGAGGCCGTTTTGCCTTGTAATAGGGTACAACATGTATTCACAGTTGGATGTTTGTACATATTTTTTTTTAATATTTGTTTTACTTAGATCCTTATGCTGCGGCTGCAGGCCCACCGGTGCCTTACCAAGCACCTGCATACAGCTCTGCCCCTGCCTATAGCTCCGCCCCCGCCTATAACTCCGCCCCAGCCTATAGCTCCGCCCCAGCCTATAGCTCCGCCCCAGCCTATGTAAACCAGTCAGCAGTCCCGTACAATGCAACAGGGGTAAGTTAGCACAGGATCTATACAAGTGCGTTCGATTACTTCCCTAGCTTACTCGCCCCTGGCTCCTCGTGTGATTACAGACATGCACAGTGGAGCTAAATAAACAAACGGTTTCGGTTAAAGTTTCGTGCAAACGGAGCTAGACAGTTGAACTTTGACATGACACGGGCTGCATCCGAATCAACTGTCTAGAGCTCGGTCTAGGTCCACGCCCATTGAAAACACGCGGGGACGCGCTGACAATAGACGTATAGCCGTAGCTCTGAAAGCCCGTTTCGGACAGGGCCTGAGGTGCCCGCCGGACGTCACGTTGGCAGCCATGTTTATTGCATGGCCTTATGGGATACTTACCCAAGAGTCAGTTACTTGGTCCAGGCATGAGTAAGCGCGATAAGTCACGTGAGAGGTAAATCAAACGCTCTCGCGCTTGCACGGGTAAGCGCGGGGGAAGTAATCGAACGCACTCTTAATGTGCAACATGTTGTAACGTTTGAGTAGCTCACCTGGTCGACTCGGGTAAAGGCAGACGGGTTAGCCATGACAGCCAGGCTAACCGAATGCTCAAATGCAGACCATCATGATCCTCATGACGAAAATTTTTTTTTTTCGGACTGAGCCTTTCTGTTGAGATTTACAGGATTTACGTCAATTGCAAAAAAGTAACAACGTCGGGCTGGACTAATAGCCTCTAAAGTCGCAATGAGATGGATAACTAATTATGTTGAAACTTCAAAGGAAATTGATATTATGGGTCAACTTTTCCTCTGATGACTCCTCCCTAATGTATAAGGCATATTTCACTGCTGTGAACATGTTATATATGTTTTTAGAATCTTCCTGAATCTTTTAAATAGGCGAGTGAGGGTTTAAACAGAATTGAATCCAAAGGTGTTGACGTTCCTTGAAATATTGCATTTGGGGCAACATATGGGACCCAAAAAATTGGACTGGTATGTGTGTAATACATACACTCTACATAAAAAAACTAGAATAAAGCGCCCTCATCAGACAAAAAATACAAAAAATGCTGCACAAAATTCCCATGTATACGTAGTACCCGTTGCATAGGGTGATGATAGCCTTTAATTACAGAAAAAAGACTTTCTACAGAATTATGTCGTGCGCCAAACAGTTAAAACAGTCTACAGGCATCTACCATGTACAGAAAAAGTCTACATGCATCTACACTGTATAGAAAAAGTCTACACACATCTACACTGTACAGAAAAAGTCTACAGGCATCTACACTGTACAGAAAAAGTCTACACACATCTACACTGTACAGAAAAAAGTCTACACACATCTACACTGTACAAAAAAGTCTACACACATCTACACTGTACATAAAAAGTCTACACGCATCTACACAGTACAAAAAAAGTCTACACACATCTACACTGTACAGAAAAAGTCTACACACATCTACACTGTACAGAAAAAGTCTACACACATCTACACTGTACAGAAAAAGTCTACATACATCTACACTGTACAGAAAAAGTCTACAGACACTGTACGGAAAAAGTCTACATGCATCTACACTGCACAAAAAAGGTCTACACGTATCTACCCATGCGTGTTGTTTCTACAGGGTATGTAGACCTTTTTTGTACAGGGTAGATGCGTGTAGACTTTTTTGGTGCGCAGTTCGGATGCATCTAGATTTTGTTTCTACAGGGTAGAGATATGTGTAGACCTCTTTTGATCAGTGTAGATTAATGATGTGCAAACTCGACCCGAAACCGAAACCGACCTCGGGGCGGTTTAGCCATCTTTTGAAAAAACCCCGAAATAAACCGAAATAAACCGAAACAGTTGAGAAATTCAGGTGATCCAACATTATTGACAGTCACTGTGACCGCAGCCCTAGTGTGGTGTGGCCACCAGGCGCACTATCAAGTTCCCACGGTATTAATTTCTCCAGTCAGATGGGACTGACAGTGAAATAGATACACTGTAACAGTTTTCATGATACCGCGTGATGATACCATATGCGTTTGTTCAATAAGCGGAGTTACTCTCGATCAACTCACTGAGTATGACAGAGAGAGAGACGATGGTTTTGCAAAAGAATTCATGCCATGTGGGTAAGGGCAGGCACCAAAAAAGTGATCACTTTGTCCAAGCAAGGTATTCAGGGTTTTTTTCGGGTCGGTTCGGGTCGGTTTTACCTTCCTTTTTGTCGGGTCGGGTCGGGTTGGTTTTTAGGGAGTTATGCTCGGTTTCGGTTCGGATTCAGTTTATATCTCTAATGTTTCGAGTCGGTTTGGCCTGGTCAACCCGACCCGATGCACATCATTAGTGTAGATGCCTGTAGACTTTTTTTTGTACAGTGTAGATGTGTGTAGACTTTTTTTTGAACAGTGTAGATGCATGTAGACTTTTTCTGTACAGTGTAGATGTGTGTAGACTTTTTCTGTACAGTGTAGATGCATGTAGTAGACTTTTTCTGTACAGTGTAGATGTGTGTAGACTTTTTCTGTACAGGGTAGATGTGTGTAGACTTTTTCTGTACAGTGTAGATGCGTGTAGACTTTTTCTGTACAGTGTAGATGTGTGTAGACTTTTTTCTGTACAGTGTAGATGTGTGTAGACTTTTTCTATACAGTGTAGATGTGTGTAGACTTTTTCTGTACAGTGTAGATGTGTGTAGACTTTTTCTATACAGTGTAGATGCATGTAGACTTTTTCTGTACAGTGTAGATGTGTGTAGACTTTTTCTATACAGTGTAGATGCATGTAGACTTTTTCTGTACAGTGTAGATGTGTGTAGACTTTTTCTGTACTGTGTAGATGCGTGTAGACTTTTTCTGTACTGTGTAGATGTGTGTAGACTTTTTCTGTACAGGGTAGATGCATGTAGACTTTTTCTGTACAGTGTCTGTAGACTTTTTCTGTACAGTGTAGATGCCTGTAGACTTTTTTTGTACAGTGTAGATGTATGTAGACTTTTTCTGTACAGTGTAGATGCCTGTAGACTTTTTTTGTACAGTGTAGATGTATGTAGACTTTTTCTGTACTGTGTAGATGCGTGTAGACTTTTTCTGTACAGTGTAGATGCGTGTAGACTTTTTCTGTACAGTGTCTGTAGACTTTTTTTGTACAGTGTAGAAGTGTGTAGACTTTTTTCTGTACAGTGTAGATGTATGTAGACTTTTTCTGTACAGTGTAGATGTGTGTAGACTTTTTCTATACAGTGTAGATGTGTGTAGACTTTTTCTGTACAGTGTCTGTAGACTTTTTTTGTACAGTGTAGATGTATGTAGACTTTTTCTGTACAGTGTAGATGTGTGTAGACTTTTTCTATACAGTGTAGATGCGTGTAGACTTTTTCTGTACAGTGTCTGTAGACTTTTTTGTACAGTGTAGAAGTGTGTAGACTTTTTTCTGTACAGTGTAGATGTATGTAGACTTTTTCTGTACAGTGTAGATGTATGTAGACTTTTTTCTGTACAGTGTAGATGCGTGTAGACTTTTTCTGTACAGTGTAGATGTGTGTAGACTTTTTCTGTACTGTGTAGATGCGTGTAGACTTTTTCTGTACAGTGTAGATGCCTGTAGACTTTTTTTGTACAGTGTAGATGTATGTAGACTTTTTCTGTACTGTGTAGATGCGTGTAGACTTTTTCTGTACAGTGTAGATGCGTGTAGACTTTTTCTGTACAGTGTAGATGCGTTTAGACTTTTTCTATACAGTGTAGATGTGTGTAGAATTTTTCTGTACAGTGTAGATGTGTGTAGACTTTTTCTGTACAGTGTAGATGTGTGTAGACTTTTTCTGTACAGTGTAGAAGTGTGTAGACTTTTTCTGTACAGGGTAGATGCATGTAGACTTTTTCTGTACAGTGTAGATGCCTGTAGACTTTTTTCTGTACAGGGTAGAAGCATGTAGACTTTTTATGTACAGGGTAGATGCATGTAGACTTTTTATGTACAGGGTAGATGCCTGTAGACTTTTTTCTGTACAGGGTAGAAGCATGTAGACTTTTTATGTACAGGGTAGATGCCTGTAGACTTTTTTTCTGTACAGGGTAGATGTCTGTAGAATTTTTCTGTACAGGGTAGATGCCTGTATACTTTTTGAATGGCGCAGGACATAATTATGTAGATGTACCGGTACATGTAGTCTTTTTTTCTGGAATTATAGGCAACGGGTACTACGTACATGTAGACATGGGTATTTTGTGCAGCATAGTTTTTTTTGTCTGATGAGAGCGCTTTATTCTAGTTTTTATGTAGAGTGTATGTAGCTACACACGTACCAGTCCAATTTTTTTGGTCCCATATGTTGCATGGTATAAAATATTGGTACAGATCAAAAATTACATTTTTATCAGTTTTTGGTTTTAAAATTCAAGTGAATTACTGTTATTGCTAGTGTTTGTACCCATATTTGCTCATAAATATGGCCAATTAACTTATAAAGATTAATTTCTTCCGATTGATTTCAGGCTTACACCCCCAACCAGCCGACCTACATCCATCCCCCAGCATCCAATCTGACTGTAGTCCAGCCCACCAGGACAGTCTATGTAGCCGACCCAGGGGTAAGGCATTCTGGAATTCCTGCGCACAAACCATGGGTCAAGAGAGGATGGCTAGTTTCCGTTATAATGATGTGCAAACCCGACCCGAAACCTAAACCGACCCGACCCGAAACCGACTTCGGGTCCGGTCGTGTCGGTTTGTCCATCTTTTCAGTGGGGTGGGGTCAGTTTCGGTTTTGCATTTACATTTTCAGGTTGAGTCTGGTCAGTTTAGCCATCTTTTGAAAAAAACACACAAATAAACCGAAATAAACCCCCAAAAAACCAAAAAACGAAACAGTTGAGATATTCAGGTGATACAATATTATTGACAGTCACTGTGACCGCAGCCCATTGTGTGGTGTGGCCAACGTACGTACTATCAAGTTCCCACGGTATTAATTTCTCCAGTCGGATCGGGACTGACAGTGAAATAGATGGATTGTAACAGTTTTCATGATATCGTGTGGTGATACCTTGCAGAGTTACTCTCGATCAACCCAACAGAGTAAGAGAGAGATGATGGTTTTGCACAAAAATTCATGCCACGTGGATAAGGGCAGGCACAAAAAGTGATCAATTAGTTGGTCGTGATAGCGCCCTCTCGCGGTGGCGGGTTATCGCGACGGCGAGTTATCACGTATCATACCATAACAACCTCTAGCCCCTAGACTATGGGAACACAAGTTGATATTGCGAACAAGTTTCAAATTTTTGGAAAAAGAAGGGACAGTGTTTGAAGTAGTAACAGAAAACTTTGTAAAATTTAATAAGTAATATATATTTGCTTTTGCTGTAAATTTCAGAAATTGATAGATTTGGGGGTTGGTATTTTCTTGCAAATATTGTTACACGGACCAATTTAAAGGTTTTGCGGCCATAGATGCTGGAAAAATTAAACGAAGCAAAAAAAAATGCTGTTCTTGTTAGTCTGGTTCCCTGACCCCACTTCAGCAATTTAAAGATGTTGGGGGATTGTGGGGTCAGGGAACTAGACTAACTGGCTTGCACTCATTCACGGATGTGCGACAAATTGCAAACACAATGTGGACTAACTACATTTGGTAAACTGTTGGGGCAGTATTTAAAAAAAATAACTTTTTTCCAACAATGGTCGGCCAACCATCATTAGAAAAAAAGAAGACTTTTTTATAGAAAAAGTCCACTTCACTTGAAAATGACAGCACACCAGGTGCCCTGATTTCACAGGATGCGTGACACTTTCATTCACTTTACAGTCCAGTAAGGCATTTCATAATAATTTGGTAGTCCTGTTTTTTTTAAGTTTGCAAATGTTTTATATTACCTTTAACCCTAATGTGCCCGAATCCATCAAAATCCACACCCCTGTTTCGGGGGATTTCGGCGGATTCAGGATACTTCCATATTGAAAAAAGTTGGGGGATTTTGATGGATTCAGGACATGAAGCCTAGCAGTACTGCAGGATTTTGATGGATTCAGGATACTTCCATATTGAGCAGTTGGGGGACTTTGATGGATTCAGGATCTCACCAAATTTACTCCCGGCTAACTGGTGGATTCTGATGGACTCACTGGCCACCAAATCTTTTTTTGCATGGCAAAATTGATGGATTTTGGCGGATTCAGGACACTTTCTAGTAAATATACCCAAGGGGTTAGGGTTAGTGATCTGAAATTGTCCATAACGATTTTTTTTTTTCACCCAACAGCCGAGCGTAGGCACTTCGGTCGGTCTAGGACTCCTTGCTGGTGCTGCGTTCGGCAGTCACCACCATCACCACGGCTATGGTCATCACCACTCCCACGGATTCGGACACCATGGCCATGGGTTTGGTCACCACGGTCACCATGGATTTGGTCACCACGGCCACCACTGCTAGGCTGCCCTCATCAGGCCCCCTAGCTCACTTGTCGACCAAAAAAAAAAAAGAATTCTCACCAAGAGTTCCACAGAATAGGTATGATCTCAAGTGTTGTAGGCGGTTCGCTCTGCAAAGTTTTTCAGCAGAAATGCCGAAATTGTAGTGCCCAGTACATTACCAACTATTAAAGACAGATTTTTTTTTCTAAAATCATGTGTTATATTTGATCGTACCAATCCTATTATTCAGATCATGGGCCAGTTTTGTGGCTTATATGGTTATATCATGGTTATATCTGATCATTATCGCTTGGGTGCTTAGACTTGAATAATGTATGATCAGATGAAACCAGATGGAACTGGATAAGACAGGTCCAAACCATATATTTGATCATACCAATCCTATTACTCAGATCATGGGCCAGTTTTGTGGCTTATATGGTTATATCATGGTTATATCTGATCATTATCGCTTGGGTGCTTAGACTTGAATAATGTATGATCAGATGAAACCAGATGGAACTGGATAAGACAGGTCCAAACCATATATTTGATCATACCAATCCTATTATTCAGATCATGGGCCAGTTTTGTGGCTTATATGGTTATATCATGGTTATATCTGATCATTATCGCTTGGGTGCTTAGACTTGAATAATGTATGATCAGATGAAACCAGATGGAACTGGATAAGACAGGTCCAAACCAAAGTTGGGGCAGGTTTATACTGCCTAGATACTTGAATGTGGCATTTTGTACAAAGTTTTACCTACCGGTAGATCTGTTTCTTAAAAGAGTATCTTGTTTATAAAGAGTGGCATGACTAAAGTTGTATGATCGGGTTAAGACTAGACCGAACTGGATAGAACCGGTCAAAACCAACATCCAGGCAGGTATATTGGCTCCGTGCGCCAACAAAAGAAGGCGTGTTTTTACCTCTTTTGAGAGCTCCGTGGACGGGACACACAGCTTGCGTGTACTGTACTCTACTGGTTCGTGCGCGAAGTACGCATGACTTCCTGAATGTGCAAAAGTTGAACCACCGCGTCTTCGCGCAAGCGTCGGGCGTTGTCGGCGCGTGAATACGTTCGAATTCAACTGGCGATGGTCTCCAAGACTAATCGCTGCCTCCAATAACTTTGGGTACATTGTAAATATGCAGAGGATGGCTTGGGAACCAGTCTAGGTCTCCCCCAACTCTCCTGTTCTGGCCGTTGATGGGTACTTGTGCTCGGAGCCCATACATTCATATTGTCTCATTACATGACATTTTCAATAGTCTTACCCAATCTCTTATAGTAATTTTTTTTCAAAGAGTGGCAGGACTCTTGAGTGAAGTGCTATCAACACTAGTGCATAAACGACCGCTTCTGAGACAATTGATAGCTAGATTTTTCACACACCTTATGGGGTGAGAGTGTGACACAACAAAAACATGATTTTGTACACACAATTTTAAAAAGGTGGAATGCATGTCAGACGTAGAAATCATGCTTTAAATCAAAGTTTTATGTAAATGAAGTAACTGTAATAAAACTTTCAAATGGTGTCTATACCTTCGCACTCGCAATATTTGGGATAGCCTTGGTCAGAGCGTTCGTCATTATTCGTCGGTACGTGGTAAACGATTGGCGGCACATCCTCGTTATGCAGTGCTTTAAAATTAAAGTGAGAACAGCGACCTCATGCGGCCACTATTTCATGCAAATCATTTGGATCCAGACGAACGCCTTGGTTCAATCGTCCCTGTGAGGTTTTGGGGGTGGTGCTTTTTATGCTAATAGCCTAAGCTGAACTTAAAAGTCGTTTTCTTGTTGGTTGGTCGTTGCGTGGAAACTTGCATATGGTTAGCGAGCGGTACTGGCATGTACTGTACATAATAAATACACACACGTTGTTTGTCCATGTCTCACATTATACACAGCACCAACGCACACAAAATGTGGTTTCTGACACGTCAGCAAAGGGCAAATACCGGGTGGCTGCAAATGATTTGATGACGTTGAGATTTACCAAGGTGTGATTGGACACTCCACATATGAGCCCCGCCTACACCTATCTGTATTCGCATATGAGCTCGTGCGCTAGAAATCTAGCGCAAAATAAAGAAAAACATGAGCTTTTGCAGACAATTGGAGCAAGGTGTTCATCAAAATCCAAATGATTTGCATAAAATAGTGGCTGCATGAGGTCGATGTTCGCGCTGTTACATGTTTTTAACGCACTGCCTAACGAGGATAGGTATGCTGCCGATCGTTTACCGCGTACGGACGAATAATGATCGATGAACGCCTTGACCAAGGCTATATTTGGGATTGTTTCTGGCACACGTCCAACTTTGCTACTTACTGTATGTACAGTTTAGGTTTAAAGAGACATGGATTTCTTAGCGTGTGTCCAAAATCATGACAAGGATTATTGTAGATTTATAGTCAAATCACCTGCAACTCAACTCACGCATTTTAATTTACTTCACTAATCTTTAATTAACAACCTTAAACTGAAGTCTGATGAGGATGCAAAATAGTTTGGGCAACATCAGCTCCCCTGCAGATCTGTACACTTTCTGATTGGTTACAAGGCTCAGTTGATATGGCAAGTGTTCAAAATTTCTCCTTTTCTTTATAGAAGCATGTGTGGTATTTATGAAATATTTAACAAATAAATAGGTGAACTAATCTACTGAATATTACACCTTAAGTTACCATGTGAAATTAGAGAGGACCATAGGACACTTTCTTTGCACCCTATTGTCTACATAACTTCAGCACTTGTGTATTGACCAATCCGGGCATGCTATCAATTCTATCACCGAGGCCCCCTTCAATGGCAAATGCATTGTGCTAGCTATTGTTCAGATAAAATGCACGATGGTTTCTCCATTGAAGGGGGCCTCGTGCTTGTACAGTGGTCCCGTGCCTGAATTCATCTACACCCACGTGGCCAGTTTCAATCAGTACTTTATTATACAGGATGAGTCAAAAAGAAAGTGACCTGGATTAATATTGTTAACTGCAGGATAGCAGCTCAACAAAGTATCATGTCTCTCTGTTAGTCCGTTGGTTAGTTAGTTAGTAACAAGCGTTGACATAGCTCCTACATATATTGACCGATTTCAACCAAACTTTCTCAAAAGTATCAGTAGCGCACAGCGTTACCACTCACTCACAAAATCTGAAAAACCCCAGATTTTGCTCGGAAAAAACACTAGAAAAACACTAGATAGTAAAACATGATTAATTTGTTCACATGTGCATGCTACACCGAAGCACAAGCTCGATCAGTGATGCTCAGTGCAATGAACCATGAACTACATAAGACAATGCCCACATCTGACTTTCTAATGGAGATCAATGTCTGTCATCACGCGACACGTCAAGCACGGCCGGCCAGCCACTGTGACGAGACTGGTAACCCTGTCTGAAAGTGGTTTGTTGGTCAAATACTGGGCTAATTCAAATGGGTGTAACCTTTTTCTCTCAGTTATCTTCTTGTGAATGGTATAAAAAATTATGTTTCATATACATTTGTATTTGAAATTCTGATTTTTAAAAAAAAACACCAGATTTGGCGATTTGAAGAAAAACGGATGCTAGAACCCCAAATCGGACCAAAAAACCCCAGATCTAGTGTAAAAACGCTAACAGTGGCAATGCTGGTAGCGCAGCCCAACATGTCACATGACCAAAAAGGGGTCAAAGGTCATCATGGGGTCACTGGGGTCAAAAACCCAATTTTTGTTACTCAAAACACTACTTCCAGAAATTGCATGGCACAGTCACGTGACTCATGCATGCACACAAATTCGTTGGCCCGCAGCTTCCGAGATATTTCCGATCGAGCTTGTTTTTCTCTTAAAAAGCAATCAAATGTTACACCAATGAACTATGCCTGAAAAGAGTTTCCACTCATCTGACAAAAAAAAATACTTAAATTGATCCATGCTATCAGATATTACATGTACACATTTTTTTTACTAAAAGAACTGGATTTTTATAGCTAAACATGTAATGCTATTGGAAGCTATTGAGCTGAGTGAGAATAACAGATAACACACATGCATTCAAATACAAATACGATTTTAATTATTTTGAGTCAAGACTGAAGCATTTGTACTGTCAGATTTTGTGTTTTGAATGTGAGGAACAAGTCAACTCTTATTTTTTCCTGAAATATTGATGTCTTCTTGTCTGTTTTCTTTGCAAGTTTTCGTTCGTTCATGGAGGTGGGAAAACGTCCATGTTTCATTGTATTTAATGGGTATTCATCAGTTTGTAGGACAATAAAAGATCAGTGGCGGACAGCTGAATTCTGTGGTCTTTTTTGTTGAAACAGACATAACTTGGAAATAGAGTAAGCAAAATACCTGAAATTTTCAGTTATTAGTCAATAACATGTACTTCATCCCTATGTTATTTTTATAAAACGGAGCGAGCCACATAATTTTAATTTTTTTTTTCTATTTCGGTCACTTTCTTTTTGACTCACCCAGTAGACCTAGAGTTGGGATGTTTAACTCTCCATTTAAAGAGTGCAGTACTAGCACGGCAAACTAAACACCGCAAAAAAAGAAATCCACACTCATTGGAGGGGTCATAATTTGAATCTGATTGTCTCATGATGACGTCATTTATATAGATCTTTGGGGAATGTTGTTAGCTACATTTTGATACCGTTTAGCTACCACAGACTGGAAATCGTCCAAGATTGACAACGAGTTATGAAAAATCATGCAGTTGGAAAAGTTGTAAATGTTAAGATACGCGAGGAAAAATTGCAAGTGCAAACACACACATGCTCGTAGTTCATTGGCCTTTATCGACTGCCCACTAGTGCAAGAACAAAGCCCGGGTTATTCAATTTCGTGTGCTTCCATGCATACAAGCTCTGTGCGATCGATATTCCCTGCCGTTCGTTTCTGTCAGTGTCACATGCAGCAATTTCTACTGGACTCGCATACTCTTTCAATTTTGGCCAAGTTCGCGCAAGGACTATAGTTGACCAATGGTTAACTAACGTTTGCCTGAACTCTGTCTAGTCGACGATGGTTGACTACGCTAGTCGACTATTTGGAACCAGCCTACTGGGGTTGGTTGCTTCGCTGGTAACCAATAGCCGCGCGCATTCATAACGCTAGCAGAGAGCCAGGATCCAGAAGTTTTGCGATGACATTTTGACCAGCCTTTGACTAGAGACGTTCGCACGTTGCTACCAGTGCGCAGGCGTAAGGTACGTCACAAATCAACCACTAGTCGACTAATGGTCCTTGCCCGAACTTGGCCTTTGCAACTTTTTGCAAACTGCATCATTTTTCACAAACCGTTGTCAGTGTTGGACAATTTACAGTCTTTGGTAGCAAACGGGGCATCAAAATGTAGCTACCAACATTCCCCAAAGGTCTGTAAAAATGACGTCATCATAAGACGATCGAATTCAAAATTATGACCCCTCCAATGAGTGTCGACTTTTTTTGGCGGTGTTTATAAAAACTGGTACTGAAATAGAATGTATTGTATGTCTTAAAAAAAAAAAATTACAATGAGTGTAGATCTAATGTGATTTTTACATTGGGTTTCTATATCATTTTTATATAAATAATTATGAAGTCTTTAATAATCAGCTATAATCTGTAATTTGGTTAGTCTTTTAATAAATAGATTTTATGTTTTAAATTTTCACTATCATGTAAATGTTATCCAGTGCAACAATGTTGTATTCTTATACATGTACATTGTAGTAACAATGATGGAACTTACTTTCAACTACATGTTCTGCCTCATAGTATGCAGGGCCCAATTTCCAGTTGTGGGTTGGGAAACATGGTGGAAAATGTGGATTTTTCAGCTTTAAAGAACTTTTCTCCGTTGACAATTTCATTTTTAGTTTGGAAACACATTTATCTGGTTATTAATGCAGGAAAATGAAGTTTGGCATGAAATTCAGGCTTTCAAGTATTCCTTCTTTTACTTAGTTTTTTTTTTTTTTATCTTGCATCAACTTTTCTACCTTTTTCCCTTGAAATTCCTACTTTTTGCTTCATTTTTTGTCCCACAACTGTGAAAAATGAAATCTTGTTGAACTTTTTTCGTAACGCAGTTTTACACACTGCCATAGGTAAATCACACAATGAAGGGCTTGGGCGCAGGAGTACTGCAACTGTACTTCCAAGAGCTTAATTGAGGATGGAACACAAGTGTTGTGAGAACAGAACATGCCAAATGAGGCTTATGATGCTGTGAAAATGCGCGAGTATCAACAAAAACACTCCTGAAAGCCCACAAAAAGTCCTACATGTACTTTTATCCTGATTTTGTCCTCCAAAATTTCGATTTTTACTTTTCATATGGGTCTGCTTGAAAGCCTGGAAACTTCCAACGAAAAAGTTTTGAGAAAGAACTAATACTCAAAATTTCGGAAATTATTACATGGAAATAAAGACATCTGCGAATGCCCAATATTGTTTTCCTGTTTTAGTAATCACATATTTAGTGTTCTTCCAAACCAAAAGTATAGTTGCAAAACTGTATATTTTTGAGCTGAAAAATGCAAAGTTTTCCACACCTTGTTTCACTGTGGGAGTGGGGCCCATGCAGGATACAAAGGCAATCCGGTATGTAGGACCTACAGTATTTATGGAGATATTTTGCTCGACTTCTAGTCGAAACATCCCAACTGTTTTGCGGTTATAGTCCCAACCATAGTTGCAACCATGATATAGTTGGGATTAAATAACACCTCATCCCACAGATTCTGTATCTTGATTGGCCGAGAGCGAGTCACATGACATTTTCTATTTTTACTATCTTCCTCTCTATGGCCCAAAAGACTATACAACGGTTGAACAGGTACTGTACGCATAGGGTATGGTATGCACGTGTACGCAGCTAGCTATGGGCGTTGCATGTTCCTGTTGCTATATTAATTGTTCCCATAAGCTACACAGTTGCGTTTCACCACGTCATGAAGGGGTATTTTGCAAAGAATGCAAGTAATGTTTCAAGTAATTTCATATTGATAGAAGTACATTGTAATGGAATTTGGTTAAATTAATCGGTGATCTCTTAACATTAAGCAGAATCTGTGGGAGAGGTGTTATAAAACAAATACCGACTGCTTTAACCCGTGGTCTAGTAAAACTAGCCTTGCCCGGTGATCCATGGAGCATTCTATTTGCCTCAGCTTCGCCTGGGGGAAACACAGAATACTCCACGGATCACATCTGGGGCTATTGTTACTATACTAACTGAAGCAGTCAAGAAACCAAGGTATTTGGAGTTGAGAAAATATCCTGGAATAGGATCGAGATCTTGGTCAGCTTCCAGTATCATCTGAACTGTAATAACTCGCGTGATGTTTTGTTGGACCATAACTCATGCATATTCGAGAAGTATAGAAATACTGAGCTGTTTAATTCATGTGATTACATAGTCTTGATCCAAGGCTGAATTTGTATTTTGTTCCCGTAACGCATCCGGGCTCAGTCCAGTGTGGTCAAATAGTCACGGTGGTAGAAGGCACTACTAACAAGATGATTCAAATCCAATCTTGGAACATTCGCAGTGAATGCAACAGATTCCAAGTACACATCACGCGTAGTATATTGAAGCTAATGGGTGGGTGCGTGTGAGATACATGTATGCTTGGCATTCCTTGGATCCCAGTGCCAAAGTTCCCAAGATTGGATTTGATTCATTAATAGCGCCCTCAACCACTGCGATGGCATGACGGTGCTCGTCAGTACCAACTGCATGAAAGGGCAATGAAGTCAAAATCCACTTTTGGACCATGACTACGGCTGCATCCGAATCAGCTGTCTAGAGCTAGGTCTAGGTCTGCGCCCATTGAAAATACGCGGGGACGCGCTGACAATAGACGTAGCCGTAGCTCTTGAAGCCCGTTTCGGACACGGCCTAAGTTCATATGTCTGTGTTACACGAACACATGCTGGAACAGCAATGTACCAGTCTATTTCCCCTGGTTTGACCAATCAGGGTTGAAATGAATATGCATGAGGTATGAACCCGGAGTTGTGACAGCAAAACCATATCACTGCATTGATCATAGGTGTCTTAACTTGTTTTTCATTCATCCTTATAGGGTTAATTTCCCACACATTTTGCAACAAAGCATGATCAAATAAATTATTAATTGAAAATAAACGTTTCCTGATATTCAGATTTTTTTGTGTGGTTTGTTTCCAATCTTAAGTTGAAGGTGGGTCCTTTTTTTAATATTGGGAAAAACAAAGCAATTTCAAAAAGTTTTTTAAATGTTGCATTTAAATTTTGTGTCAATGCAAAGACGTAACTGCCAAATTTGTTAAAATTCAGCTTTTTGTGAATTTTTATTTAGATTTACCCATAGACTATTATGGAAACAATGAGAAATATTAAACATGCTAAAGTAATGGGGCACCAAAACATTGTATCGCGACGAGTTTGACGTTTTGAAAAAATGATACATAGCGCGCCATCTCAAGCAAAAACATGCATGTTGATGTCGTTCATTTAAAAAGTTCTTTTTAGGCCCAAAAAAAAAATATTTGGTCCCTGGTCAGACCAAAGTTCTGGAATTGACGCGGCCACGCGGCTTTTTTTCTTTTTCTTTTTTCTCTTTAAGCTTGGATTGTACGGACAAGGTGGGTACTATTTTGCTTTTTTGGTGTCCTCATGTACATTGGTGTCCTCCATAATTTGCCTTGGTGCTTTCGATCATTTGCCTTGGTGCAACTTCCCATTCCTTGGTGCTCTTTGGTAAAAAAATTGAGGTGCGGAAATAGAGGGTGCTGTTGGAGCTACCGCAGAACATTTTGGAAAAAAAAAATTGACGCGCGCGCTGACCAGAGACTGACTTATTTTTTTTTTTTGCCTAAAATCACGCGGGATAACAAAGACTTCAACATATTGAACACGTTTCTGAATAAGTTATCTTTCTGAGGTTACACAATGTACATGTACCATTTCTTATTACCCCTAATTAGCACGAACAATGAACCATGTGGAGTTCCTTCGCTGGCTCCTGTAGAAGAGTCTGTGTGCTAAAGATTTTAAATTTACAAAATAAAATGGACATTTTAGACGAATAACTGAATAAATAAGGGAATTAATGTGTGTTTCGGAGGTATTATAACACTCTGTTTAAAACCGGTGTGAGTCTGGATGGGTGATCAAAACAAGTCAAAAACTAGACGGTGTTAACCATTTTGTTCAACAATTTTACCTCATGTTTTACGAAACTCCCCTCCGACTATAATATGGAATGCCCCTCCACAATTGCGTGCGCGTTGCGCATTCCACCTCCATGGTTGCGCGTACTGCAAGATGTCGCGCAAAACGCAGCTGGGCTTGTGTAGTGTGAATATCTAACAATGAAATAATGATTCACTGGTAGTATTGTGCATGCACACGTGGGGAATTTAAACTTTCAACCAATGAAACGCTAAAAGGCACCGGATTTCATGGGAGCCCAAATTTCATGTATCACTGAAAAAGTGTTTAATACCAGCTAGCCATGTCTTTATCATCTGTTTAAGACCGGCCACGTGACGGGCTCTCGACCAATAGGAATGCGTAAACTGTCTTAGGTATTTATGAATAATAATTGAAGATTAGAAAGAACCTGGTTGTTTGTTAGTCTATGGAAGGAGAAGATTCGGCGATGAATATGCAAAACAAGACCGTGTCTTGACCTTGAGATTCTGACCATTCAGCAGGCGCCTTCTATCGGGTCTTCCATCATCCGTTGTGTTACAAAACCACGTCAGCCAAATTGACCAATCAACAGCTTTGTCCACATTTCTGATCGAAACGATGTCACAATTTCTGAAGTCGATTCCGATTGGCTGGCGTGCATAAAATTTGCTTTGCTCAGTTATATCAGACGTTGGTTACTGAGAGGGTTCCGTTGGACAACGGGTGATACTCAGACTAGGTGCCTGTTGGTCAATGGTGCGATCAAAAACCTTTTTCTCCGTTTTCAAAACTGGACCAGCAGTGACACTGTACATGTAATACTGAAGCTGAGATACACAAATTCAAGAATATAAAAAACAATCCTTCACATTCAAGACAAATTTTATGAAGGTGCAGAGTACACAATTTTCTCAGTGAGGCACGCTTTGGTGTACGGCAAAACTTAATACAGATCCAACTGTCCAAGTTCATCACTTTCTTGAGACTTTGGCAACCTGGCGTTTCTAGAGGGGAGGCTGGCAAAGTGAATTCGGAGGTGGTCCAGGGCTTTTCTGATGGACCCATTTTCTGTCTTCTGCTTTTCAAGTTTTGTCCTCGCTTCCTCCAACTCCTCGTACAAACTCTTGATCTGTCGCTCGTAGTCCAGTCTTATTCCATCCTCTCTGACGATGCTCTCGAGCGCATTTTTCTTGTTGACTCGTTGGAGCTCGCTTTCAAGCTTCACTCGTGTTAATTTCTCGTCGCTGAACTCTGTATGCACATCCTTGAGCTGCGTTTGAAGTCTGCGCTTGCCTTCCCGAAGCTCCCCGATGTCCTCCTCTAGAAACTTTGCCGTCATTCGTGAATGCTTCAGCTCAGTCTCCAAATGGTGGCAGCGGAGGGATAGCCTCCCAGTCTCCTGTTTCCTCTCCAGGAGCTCCGTGTCCTTGGCAGCCAGGGCTGCTGACTGTCTCCTACATTTGCGAGCGAGTTTGTCTCTTTGCTTGCCGGTGATGATAAGCTCTGCTTGGAGACGGCTGTTTTCTTGCTTAGCCTCCTCTGCTGCCTTGCGTAGGATCTCTAACTCCTCAGCAGTCCAGATGCACTCATCATCATCCCTTTTGGAAGGGGTCTTCTTCCTTTCTTTGGATCTTTTGGTAGACCGAGGGCAAGGCGATGTCTGAGGGAGATGCTCCTTCAGTGGCTCTCCTACCTATGAGTCCAAATAAAACAAGTCAATCCACTTTTCTCCACAAGACCAAGATCTAAAAGAAATTGTTTTCAGAGTTGGTCAAACATAAGAAACAATGACGATTACAACTGCAATAATCTGAATCATATCATCCAATTTTTCTGAGTATGAGAGCTTTTTAACCAGCTGATGGCTGGCAAGAGCTGAATCCTTTATACATGAACCCCTAGCAGCTAGCTGAATCCAAACAAAAAATTCAGAGCAACTGAAAGTGTAATGAAGTACTGCTTTTATCACCGATTCTACTGATTTTGACAAGATCCTTCAGTTATGGTCGAACGTAGTCACCATCTTTCAAGGTCCAATCCAACTCTGATGTCACTGTCTAGGAGCAAGGGCCTTGCTAATGGGAGGGATGGCGTTGGGGTGTGTCCATAGAGCTATGTACTAAATTACTAGAGCGCTAACTCCTCATTCTTACACGCGCCTCTAAGCCGTCCTGGGCGCAGACATTTTGAATCCATGTGTGTGTTTGTAGAATAGGAATGACATTTAAATTTGATGGAATGATTTTGAAAGTGTTTAAATACAACATACACAAACAGCCTAAGCGCATCATGACGGTTAAAAACTTCACAGCAAAATTTTTTTCGCAGCGGATACGCGCACGTGTTTGCTTTGTTTGCGCAGAGCAAAATGAAACGCTCATTTACTGATTGTGCGTTTCGGTTTTGGGCGTATTGGCTTTGATAACGTACCTGTACTGCAAAAAAAAATCGTCATCCTGTCGGCAAAATGGTGAGTCTGTTAGCAAATATGCTGCAATGACAAGTGCCACCTATTGTCCGATAGTGTGCACGACCATCTGCTTTGAGCAGCACAAACAAAAGTTAGATGGTGTTCCGTACCCGATGGTGTCGTTACCAGTCATATTGTGTTCCCCCCCCCCCCCTGTGGTTTTGCTTCATCTGGACTGGAACAATTCCTGGCTGCCTTCCAGCATGGTAGTCTGAGTATTACCAGGGTTCCATGGAGCCCTATTTCCAGTCGAACGTCTCATATATCCAAGTATGCAGACTTATGTGACCCCACGCGACAGCCAGTCGGAGTCAATTTTAATGACGTCATTTCATTCCGAAATCTGGACTAAGTTTTTGATTTGGTCGATTCAGATGCAGTGTTTTTGTAATGCAACAACGGCCGGGCATAGATCTACAAAACCTAGACACGACATTGGCCGGCTTTATTATTGCTTAGCGTATCGCATAACATGTCGTTACAGAGCGCGTGACCGCGTACTTTTTTGCTCAATTCACAACGTAAAAAAGAATACTAGATCTAGGTTTTATTTATAGATATCCATGACGAGACCCGATATAGAAAGCGCCCGCTGAATGGTCAGAATGTCGAGGTAAAGACGCAGTCTTTTTTGCATAATTAATTGCCGAATCTGCCTCAAATATCTATCTTTGCATGGGTCTATTACATAGTCTATTACATAGTCTATTACATTGTGGAGTGTCATGGCCTAGCGGTTAAGAACACCGGACTCATGTTCTGGTGTTTCAGAGGCAACAGTGACGTGGGTTCGAGCCCAGGCGCAGACACTTGTGCCCTTAAGCAAGGCACTTAACCATTATTGCTTCGTCCTTCGGATGGGACGTGAAGCCGTAGGTCCTGTGTGTTGTATAATGTCTAATGCACGTTAAAGAACCCAGTACACTTATCGCTAAGAGAAGGGGTTCGCCCCGGTGTTTCTGGCAGTGCGATTATCTTCAGCCATGAAGTCTGCACTTGTAAGGAAGAAGAAGAAGAAGAGAAGAAGAAGACTACAAGCACGGAGGGTCTGTCGGCAAAATACTTTCTGGCGATACCTCCTGTCTAGGGGTCACAAAACTTTTGTAGTCAAAAGAACACCACGACACAAATCAAACCAACCCACCTGGATGCACTTTTGCCGTGCCTCCTTCTCTTTACGATTCAGTTCAATCCGGACCCTGTCATAAAGCTTCTGGATCCGCTTCAGGTCACCCTCCTCCTCCTCTTCGTCGTTAGGTCCCTTACCCTGAGATGGACTGGCTGTCCTTGGTGATGCTGTCTCATCTTCGCCAAGACTGAACGTGTAGAAGGGAGGGAACAAGTCCTCCACCCAATGCTTTTCCATACTAAGCTGACTTTGGATTGTGTTCTTTCTAGGAATCAATGAAAGAAAGAAAAACATGTAGTTACTTTTGAATGAAGTCTCCTTGATGACTGATTGGCTGATGAAAAACAAACATCTTATTTATTTTTTTCAGCAGCCAATCAGCTTTCATTATGTAGTGCTTTCACTCGTGTTGTGAGAACTACAACATGCACGTCTGACTGCAAAAAAAGGTAGAAAAGAGTCACATTTTCTTTGAAATGAAAGTGCTTTTAAAAATAAGTTTATATGAAGAAAAAAAACTGCATTAGCCTGGACAGTCATCTGTCAGTCATGGTACTGGACAGTCATCTGCAAAAGTCAGTTTTGAACAGAACTCGTAAAAAATAGAGGTGTCCTAAAGACAAGGATTACCCAAAATTTAGTCTAGTCTTGGATCACTAGGCCCTGCACAGTGACTTGGTCTTAAACATTAACTGATTTGTTAAATCAATTTTTCCCACCCCTCCCCCACATTTGATAGGCGCAATAATGACATCATTATATGGCCATGGAAAGGGAAAGAATTCCATATATGGCCATCACCAAATTTAACAGGGAAATATTGAAGCATTTACTGAGAAAACACATAATTTTTTAGACCTCTCAATTCTCATTTTAACACTCACCGCGAAAATCTGTCACTTCGGAGTGACCAATTGGTGGCGCCCTTTATATGTAACACGTCGACGACGCGACGGTCTGGAAATTTTGACAGCGTGCTGGTGCCGGGCGTTGAACCATGAACTGTACCAAAATGTTACCATCTGGTGAGATATGTAGGTTTAAATAAAGGCAGTAACAAATTGAAGTAATGCACCTATCGGGCGATGCTTTTTGAGCTTCCAAATTTTGTACAAATGCGTGATTTGAATTGTGTTGATCGAAATGAAAAGTCTGTCATTCATCATTTTCATATTGCCCAATTTCCGGACGCATGGGTCATGTGTCATGATGGTTTGTTTTTCTAGTTGATGCCATGAGCTGGGGTGTTTCCTTTAATGTAATGGCTATTGTTAGTTACGGCTGCCGTAATGCGATTTTCAACTGAGCGCTATTGTTACTTATGGTTTTGCGAAATCATCATTGCTTGACGAATCTTTGTCACATTATTTTTTCTAGCCCCATAATTTAAATTTGGCCAGTTTACCGGACTACCTCCGTAAATAAAGGCCACACTTCCACCCTGTACAAACTACAATTACTACAAAAAACATGTCGAACTTTGTCAAATTTTGATTTTCACATTTAGGCTTAGTTTGTACTGTAGTTTATTTTTGCTTTAGAAGCATACTCACCCTCTTTATAGTCTATTCAGAAAGTGCTGCCTTTTTCAGATGTCTAATTTTCGTGAAATTTCATGTTGAAATTTTGATACGCAAACGGGTGCAAACGAATCTGGAAATTTCACGAAAAATAGGCATCTGAAAAAGGCAGCACTTTCTGTTTAGCCTAAAAGAGGGTGAGTATGCTTCTTGTAAAGCAAAAATAAGCTACAAACTAAGCCTAAATGTGAAAATCAAAATTTGACAAAGTTCAAACATGTTTTTGTACAGGGTGGAAGTGTGGCCTTTATTTACGGAGGTAGTCCAGTAAATTGGCCACATTTATGGGGCTATATAATTACATGCTACACATCCAACCAGACCTGGGACTGGGTTTGGAACCGCTGCCGCGACTACATGGCATTTGAAAATAAGGCCTAGGATAGGAAGAAAATTATTTTTTTGGCTTTTTTTTTTTAAAGGGAAAATACAACATTTGCAAACATCAAAAAATAAAACTACCAAATCATTTTGAAATACCTTGCTGGACTGTTAGTGAATGACAGTGTAAAGCATCCTGTAAAATCATGGCACCTGGTATACTGTCATTTTCAAGAAAAGTGGTATTTTTGTATCAATTTCCAACGCTGATCGGCCGATCAGCGTTGGAAACAACTGGCTTTTTTTCAAATACTGGCCCCATTTGACCATCGCACTTGTTTGCAATCGATTACAAACCTATGAACGGGTACAAGCCAGCTAGACTGGTTCCCTGAACTTACAATTCCCCAATGTATGTAAACTGCTCTGTTTCTTCTTATATGGAGTCAGGGAACCAGACTACAGGAAAATGATCGTTTTTCTTGGTTTTTATAGCATTTTCGAACCCAAAACCTCAAAAAAGTCAGTGTAACTATATTTGCTATATATTTCCAACCCCCCAATTCCATCCATTTCTGAAAATTACAGCAAAAGCAAATGATGTATATTCCCTTTAAGTTGATTATTTTGTAGGGGTCTGCATGTGGTCCAGGGTAACAGGATAAGGGTAACTGGACGTTTTTTTCCCGAGAAGCCACCAAAATCATCAATATTTCTCATATTTTGGTCACTTTTGTTCTGTTTCAAGTCGATCATTAGCTTCGAGAATGACATGAGCTAAAAGTCAAATTTAGCAGGGAAAACAGTGAAGCATTTACTGAGAGAAAACACTTGGAATGTTTCAAACCAGTCTCATCGGGTTTGTGCACAGGGTGTCAAGTGATGTCCGGGTATGGAATTCTTGCCTAGTCACTTAATTTTAAGGGTTCTTCTACGAGAAAAATCCACCCTAAATACTTTGACTTTAAAGAATCACTACACAGAGTTGACAGAAGACCTGCTTCAAATGTAACGTGAGTCACCATGGAATTGCACACCAGATTATTGCAATAACTTTTTCTTTACAACTTTTTAGTTTCCATTCTTAGAATAAAGTACAAAGTCGAGAACATTTTTAATATATTTCCTATCAAAAAAATTCATGTTTTTCTCAGCGCATATACAATTTATGTATTTCCGTTTCAGATGCACATGGATGAGTGCCGAGTACGAGGAAGAACGATTTAGTCTTTGACTCAAATTCAGTCAAGTTTGGACCAAGCTGCTGCGGAGATAAACTTTCCCAAGTTCTTCAATGTGCAGTTAGCTCACTCAGTATGTACTGAGGAGCTTGGCTGTTTATAGTGCATGGAGCTCAACTGGAACTGCATAAACATACAGTATTGAATATGGTAGACTATGTTTGTGGTACCATCAGAACAAGCCCCATCTTGTCAAAACTGAAGTCCATCATGTTGGCATCCTTTTGCTTGCTTCTGCTGTTCCTGACTCCCCTGTGCAACTCCAAGACAGTCCGTGGGAAGTTTGACCCAGCAAGCGCAGCGACGAGCCACGGGCAGTACATCGGCAAGTTCTGCTTTTCAGGTGAGTGGTTGAAAGACTCGGGTCAGAGAATCGGTGAATTTTATTTGGATTTCTTCTCAATTCCTTGCAAGTTACTCAACAAGTTCATTTGTGCAGGGGTGTCGGAATGTAATGCCTACATGTCTTCTGTAGCACTTTTGCTTGAATGCATTGATTCACCTCGCCCTTGTACTGCAGGTCCGGGCGTCACGGTCATAGAGTGAAATTGATGTGATCAATGCCCGAAGCATTTTTATCTTCACACAAAGGGCAATACGTTCACTGTTCCAGTTGTTGTTCAGTTTAGCCAGTTGAGTTGTTTGCAATTGCTAGTCGTTTCTTGATCTCTGTGTCTGATGTAACATTTTCGTTCATATAGTGACTCCCATGATTTGAATGTTAACTGTTCTAGAGTCTTTCAATCAGCCATGTAATTCCACTTGTGGTTCATTCTCTTGTTCAATTGTGGATGTTGTCATCACTCCACTTTTGTCGCCACTTATCTCTGTGCCGTATGGAGTGTGTAGCCTTTAACCCTTTCTTTACCATGGGTGACTTTTGTCGACAAGAAGAACCCCCCTGCTGGTTCCCATGGGCGACTTTAGTCGACAAGGAAACCACACACAGAACACCCTCAACACAGATATATTCACTACTTTTCAGAAAGACGGCATGTTGATATGTTTGGCCGTCCATACATCAACCATATATCAGCTAAAAGAGTGTTTTCAGATCGTTCTAATGGTGTAGTTTATTCATAGTGTTGCCATTACAAAAAAATGAGAAAAGTGCTTCAGAAGTATCCACGCACAAAATGAGGTATGGAGTGGCATTTGGTCATGTGGTGAAATGTCTTGCAGTTTGATAAATGGAACCAGATGAACAAACAGGCATAACATTCTTATATTAAGACATATGGACTACATTTTTACATCACATAAAAGAGCAAGGTTCAAGGAACAAACTTTACACACAACACTTATGATTTAAATCACTCCTTGGCAGTGAAAATCTGTGTTGAAAAAAGTGAGTTTTGGACTTGTGGTCATTTTGTTTACGCTCTAGTGATTTCCGCATGACTGAGCAAACAATTTGGTCCTGGGGAGAGCCAAGTCAATAAACAATGTGGTAATGAAAGGGTTAAGATCTCTCCTTTCTTTCAGGCCAAAATGGCAGAATAGAGCACATCCGTCCGGACGACTCGCCATTCTCCGGCAAGCTGTTCCTGTTCACGGCCGAGCAGTGGGACCAAGGCTTGATGAAGAGAACGGAAGAGGGAAGCATAGACTGCGCGGGCAGGCTGGCAGTGGCTGAACATGTCGGTAAGTGGCCTTATTTAACCCTAACCGCCCCGAATCCTCCAAAATCCTTTTTGCAAATTGGAGGAATTTGCAGGATGGAGGTTACATGGCCAAAGTGCGTTGCTGATTTTGGAGTACGCACTGTGTCAAGGTCTTGGGCCGGACCTTGTGTTGTTTATGCTCAGCCTTGCATAAATTTAGTCCTTGATTATACTTGACATCCTCTGCACTGCTCCAGGATGTCACTGCCTCTGCCTCAGCCTATTGACAGTCATAGCCGGAGGATTTTGCAGGATTCAGGCAGTGGTCACCCCTCCATGGGCCATATTCAAGAAACAATGGAGGAATTTGCAGGATTGAGGCTATATGCTATTTTTCTATGAGGCCAATTGGAGGATTTTGCAGGATTGAGGCTACATCTTAGCAAAAAGGCCTAGGGAGTTAGGGTTAAGGCATACAGAATCATCATCATCATCGTCGGTCTTGAGGCCGTTGTCCAGTCTGTTCTGGGTTGGCCTGCTTTCTCCCTATGGCTCCTCTCCACTTGGCCCTGTCCGTCGCATCCCTCGCAGTGACTCCAAGCAGTCGCATGTCATCTGTCACAGAGCTCTGCCACGTCTTGCGCGGTCGGCAAACGGGCGTGGGCCCTCCCACCCTCCCACGACTGTGTTGGTACAACTCTTGACCCAGCTGGCATCTTTCTTCCTCTCCACGTGACCATACCACCTCAGCCTATGCCTCCTCAACACGACACCGATCCCCTCCACTCCAACCCTCCTCCTCAACTCCTCACTTGACAGCTGGTCAGCTACAGATACTCAAAAGACTCAGAATCATTTGCATTTATCTGAAAAGCAACCTACCGATTTATTATCCAAAAGCGTACTTGGCTGAGAGATTCAGTGTTTCTATTGGAGCTAGAGGTGCATGTGCTGTTGCCCACTGCATTCATACACACTCCAGTGGCAATATACATGTAGGTACATTACGTCCGGAAGCGTCCGGGCATCCGACTCCCCACCAAATGCAAGGTTTACCGAGCCGTTGTTCCGAGCTGCTTCTCTACTCATCCGAGACTTACACACTGTACAGACGCCACATACATCGACTTCAAGGAGTGCAGATGTCACATCTAAGACAACTGTTGAACATCAGCTGGAAAGATAAGATCACCAACGTTGAAATACGCAGGCGTGCCAATATGCCCAGCGTTGAAGCACTGCTGACAAAAAGCCAACTGCGGTGGTCCGTACGTGTCATCCGGATGGATGACATCAGACTCCCGAAAGCTGTGCTCCACGGTGAGCTGAAGGAAGGCAGAAGAGGAGTCGGCAGGCCAAAGCTGCGCTATGGAGACTGTATTAAACGCCACCTCGTAGCCAGCAATATTGACGCTGCCACATGGGAAGCTGCTGCCAATAACCGCTCAGAGTGGCGACGCCGAATTACCAATGCTGCAAGGGAAGTGGAAAACAGACTGGAAATTGAAACCCTTGGGCGCAGTTGTCGCCGAGCCAGCAGGACCGACTCCACTTGCAACCAGCAGGGAGAACATCTTCCCAAGTGCCGCCTCTGCGGAAGAACCTGCGCCCACAGAATTGGGCTATACTCACACGAGAAACGTTGCCGACGTCATACTCATAATGAGTGACAGCCGATGACATTACGTCTATAGTACGTTACTTGTAGTGTGCATTTACGGATGGTACGGGAACCGGGTACCCTATTGAAGTAAAACACAGGTACCCGGATACCCGTATAAGAAACCCAACCCCAAAATTCCAATCCTGGAATTGTCTGAAGGGTTTTATAGCTTTACAGTGTAAACTGCAACATTTTCGCGAGCTTCATCTGTTGTGCATTAAAATGCACACAAAGGTGAAATCTCTTTTTTGGTTTTCCATGCGTCCTGGTTTCCATTGTGAAAATTCCCCACCAATGGCATTCAAAACCTTTCTTTTTCATTGCCTAAGAAGTTACTAAGTAATTTGTTTAAAAGTTGGTTGCGGGTACCCGATCCCATAATCTGGAACCGGCTCCTGACACCAACGGTCGGGTACTTGGGTACGCGATTCTGATGCACACCGCTAAGAAATTGTACCCTGCACTCATGGATGACTGATTAAAACTGATTTCAAAACACAAGGTAAAACTACATTTGGGCTGATTCAGAGGTCTTATCCAGTGTGCAAACAGTGTAACAATGTCCTTGGGCAAGACACTTTATCACAACCGATTCGCCATCACGGGAGGCTGTGTTTGTTTCAAAATGGTAGGTCCTCACAGAGCACCGTTGAATTACGACCTCCCTGAAATCCAGCCACGGCCTCTAAACCTGGGGCCAATTTCACAGAGCTGCTAAGCACAAAACTTTGCTTAGCAAAAAAAAAAAGCCTGGCTTATAAAAGCGGGTTACCAGCGAAAATTCCATGTGATGTATATTGCTTGTGATTGGTATTCAGCTGTTGTTTGCTTAGCATGAAAATCACATGGAGTTTTGGCTGGTAACCTGCTTTTTTAAGCCAGACCTTTTTTGTGCTAAGCAAATTTTTGTGCTAAGCAAATTTTTGTGCTAAGCAAATTTTTGTGCTTAGCATCTTTGTGAAATTGGCCCCTGATTGTGAAGGATTTTCACAGAAAAGGGCCTAATTATTTACACGTCAGTTTTGACTTTTGCAGTTACGCTTACCAGCAAAGCCGGTAACCACACCCTCAAGGACCTGAAGAAGCCCATAGTGTTACACGCCCTCTACGCAGACATGTACACTTGCAGCAAGGCTCCGCCCCCCACCCAGCTGACCACGACGGACTTCGTCTTGCATTTCTTCAATCCTGATTCCCACGGGGAGACAGTGAACCATTTCAGCTGTGAGGAAACAGGTATTGTGTGGAGAACAAAGTGAAAGGCTTATTTGACCCGTGCATAGGTATCTTCTCAAGGGAGAGTTTATAGCGAGACCGCTTGGAAAGACATTTGAACGCATTGCCAAAGACGCGCGATGCTCAGACGAAGAAGCTATGGGTTTTTGCACATAATAATAATAAATAATCGGCATTTAACCCTTTCATGCCCACATTGTTTATTGACTTGGCTCTCCCCAGGACCAAATTGTTTGCTCAGTCATGCGGAAATGACTAGAGCGTGAACAAAATAAGCACGAGTCGAAAACTCACTTTTTTCAACCCAGATTTTCACTACCAAGGAGTGATTAAAATCATAGGTGTTGTGTGTAAAGTTTGTTTCTTGAACCTTACTCTTTTATGTGATGTACAAATGAAGTCCATACGTGTAAATATAAGAAAGTTATGCCTTTTTGTTCATCTGGTCCCAATTATCCAACTGCACCACATGACCAAGTGGCACTCCATACCTCAAATTGTGCGTGGATACTTCTGAAGCACTTTTCTCATATTTTTGTAATGGTAACACCATAGAGCAAGGACCCAACCACACCAATAGAAAGATCCGAAAACACTCTTTCAGCTGGTATATGGTTGATGTATGGGCGGGCAAACAAATCAACATGCCGCCTTTCTGAAAAGTAGTGAATATATATGTGCTGAGGGTGTTTTGTGTGTGGTTTCCTGGTCGACTAAAGTCGCCCATGGGAACCAGCAGGGGGGTACTTCTTGTCGACAAAAGTCGCCCATGGTAAGGAAAGGGTTAAGAATGCTCTTATTAGTAAACTAAATCACAGCACTTACAGTATTATTATTACCCCTGATCATTGGGCCAATTGAACATTCCAAATACCATCTCAGCTCCCTGGGGAGTATACAGCTGGATGCTGCCAAGCAAGCTTATTCAATCACAATAACCATCTCTGCCCTCACAGGTACCCATTTACTCCTGGGTGGAGAGAAGCAATGAGTGACTAAGTGCCTTGCTGACTTGTTTCACGTTGTGGGTTCGTAGATGCTGGAAAAACCAAGAAAACCAATCATATTCTTGTAGTCTGGTTCAGTGACCCCACTTACGATGAAACGGAGCAATTTATAGACTTTGGGGAATTGTAAGATAATTATCTTAAGAGAATCAGGCTTGTACCTCTTCACAGGTGTGTAATCAATTGCAAAGAAAATGCAGACGAACTAAATATGAAAAATTAGGAGCACTTTCCGAAAAAAAGAAGTTTTCTCCAACGCTGACCAGCGTTGGAATAATACAGTTGTTCTTAAAAATGTCAGCAAACCAGGAGCCACAACTTTACAGGTTGCTTTAGACTGTCATTCCCTAATAATATAGTGCGGTATTTTGTGATAATTTGATCATTTCATTTTTTTTTTGATGTTTGCAAATGTTGTATCTTCCCTTTAACATTTTGAATTACATTTTCCAGGTGTTGGTTTCATATCTAAACATCAACAGGTTTTTTTCTGATTTAAAGCTAATGTCCATCATTTGTAATTAGTGCATTTTGTTCGTGTTAAGCAACAAAAGTGTTTAAAATCTAATGAAGGATACTGAGCAACTAACCTGATGAAGTTTCAGCTAAGCTTCAGCTGTACATTCCGAGAAAAGCAGCATTCTAAGATCTCAATTTCAAATCAAAAGTTACTGAATCATGTTTTGAATTGTTTTGAATTGCAGCTATACGCGGCGTCGCGCACTGATCCGACGAATTATAACAACCGCGCGCGTGTGTGCGTCGTTCCAATACTTGTGCGCGCTGCACTGAATAACAAAACGAACTACTAATTTAAATTTTCCTACGGTGCTTCTTAAGAATCACCGTTGGAAATGCCTTCTTTCGTTGATTACTTCAAAATGACAGCTTCCCAGAAAGAATAATTTTACAGGGAGTTTAGTTCCCTTACTATCTTTCAACCAAGTTTGTTTTTCAACAGTAATTACGCCAGTTACTTTTCGGATGGCTGCAAATGATGGACTATAGCTTTAAACCTTATAAGCATTCAATTTTTTGAGATACTCCCAGACTAATGTTGTTGTTTTTTTCCTGTTCCTGTGTTTTTCCTCAATGCAGGTCTTCTCGGTTTTTACGAGTTACTAACACTGATTTACTTTGTTCTTGGATGCATCTGGGCACCTAGATTGTACGCAAATATCGCCAAGCGGGGTCCAATGCATGATGTAAGTACACAACGCAGCTGTTATATTGGCCAATTTCGCGCAAGGACTATAGTTGACCAATGGTTAACTAACGTTTGCCCGAACTCTGTCTAGTCGACGGCAGTTGACTACGCTAGTCGACTATTTGGAACCAGCCTACTGGGGTTGGTTGCTTCGCTGGTAACCAATAGCCGCGCGCATGCATAACGCTAGCAGAGAGCCAGGATCCAGAAGTTTTGCGATGACATTTTGACCAGCGCTTGACTAGAGACGTTCGCACGTTGCTACCAGTGCGCAGGCGTAAGGTACGTCACAAATCAACCACTAGTCGACTAATGGTCCTTGCCCGAACTTGGCCAAAGTTGCCAATGTAATTTTTAAGTATGCACGCTATTGCTTCAAATAAACAAAATGCACAAATTACAAATGATGGGCGCTACCTTTAACCCTAACTCCCTAGGCCTTTTTGCTAAGATGGAGCCTCAATCCTGCAAAATCCTCCAATTGGCCTCATGGAAAACTAGCATGTAGCCTCAATCCTGCAAATTCCTCCGTTGTTTCTTGAATATGGTCCATGGAGGGGTGACCACTGCCTGAATCCTGCAAAATGACTGTCAATAGGCTGAGGCAGAGGCAGTGACATCCTGGAGCAGTGCGGAGGATGTCAAGTATAATCAAGGACTAAATTTATGCACGGCTGAGCATAAACAACACAAGGTCCGGCCCAAGACCTCGACACAGTGCGCACTCCGAAATCAGCAACGCACTTTGGCCATGTAACCTCAATCCTGCAAATTCCTCCAATTTGCAAAAAGGATTTTGGAGGATTCAGGGCGGTTAGGGTTAAAATTATTGTTTCGCTGTTTGTGTCGGCACCTGTATTTGTAATAATGTGGATTTGTCTTCCCAGGTGTTAGTGATGCTCACTACAGTACTGTGCCTGCAAGCTGTAGGCTCCCTATGCATGTTCATTCACTTGTATGGCTACTCCACAGACGGCCAAGGCTCCCCGCTCATGGAGAACGTCTCAGAGCGTAAGTTAGTAAAGAAATTTAGTAAAGTTGGGAAAGTTTGAGTCCAGTTTCAAAAACCTGGGGTGTAAACTACTCTTGAAGACCGTTGGCCTCTGTTGCTAATGTTTGCAAACCGTTGGTGGTACACGTGCTGGTCTTGTTAGCACAAACGCTGCCAACTTTGGCAAACGTTAGCAATGTTCGCATAAGTGAACACAGTTTTGGATACTTGAACTTGAAAAAAATGTCGTTTTTTTTGTGTATCATACTTTTGTAAGATAAAATATGAAGTCTTTTATGGTATCTGACCATTTCCCCTGCAGAAGCCGGCTGCAGTTCGCAAAAGCTTTAAATTTGAAGCATTTTCAAAAACGTTTTGTAGTAATCGTGCTTTAAGAAAGGCATTGAACCTCGTGATTATCTCCCATTAATGACATGAAGTCAACAAAATTTTTACCCATAAAATTTAGCCGCACTTCAGAACAGTTGTGTGTTTAAAGGGAATATACATCATTTGCTTTTGCTGTAATTTTCAGAAATGGATGGAATTGGGGGGTTGGAAATATATAGCAAATATAGTTACACTGACTTTTTTGAGGTTTTGGGTTCAAAAATGCTATGAAAACCAAGAAAAACAATCATTTTCCTGTAGTCTGGTTCCCTGACTCCATTTAAGAAGAAACAGAGCAGTTTACATATATTGGGGAATTGTAAGGTCAGGGAACCAGTCTTGCTGGCTTGTACCCGTTCATAGGTGTGTAATCGATTGCAAGCAAGTGCGATGGTCAACTGGGGCCAGTATTTGGAAAAAAGCCAGTTTTTTCCAACGCTGATCGGCCGATCAGCGTTGGAAATTGATACAAAAATATCACTTTTCTTGAAAATGACAGTATACCAGGTGCCATGATTTTACAGGATGCTTTACACTGTCATTCACTAACAGTCCAGCAAGGTATTTCAAAATGATTTGGTAGTTTTATTTTTTGATGTTTGCAAATGTTGTATTTTCTCTTTAATAATAATAATAATAATTGTCCTTATATAGCGCTTTCCAACGTATCGACAATCTCAAAGCGCTTTACAATTATTACCCCGTTCATCAGGCCGTGGGACCATGTACGCGGCAGCCGATATCAGCGCTCAATCGGTCCTCGACCCTCACAGGTACCCATTTATACTCCTGGGTGGAGAGAGGCAATTGTAGTTAGGTGTCTTGCCCGAGGGCACAAACAGCATGTTCCTGGCAGGGTTCGAACCCACGCACCTTCGTACATGAGTCAAACACCATAACCACTGGACCATGGTGTTTCCCAGAATAAATTTGCTTCAGGTCCAAACATTTTTCGGAATATTTCTCAAGCTTACAGTCCCACATTTAACAACCACTTGTGCATGCCTCTGTACAAGTGTTTCTCTCTGACATATTTTATGTTGTTGATTTCCAATAGTGGCAGACATTGCAGCCCAGTTTGAGATGCTGTACATGATGTTGAGTCTGTCGTTGGGTTGGACCCTCGGTTCAGCCAAGACGCAAGTCAAATCCCAGATATGGAAGAGCTCACCCTTGGCCAAAGTTGCAGCCGGCATGGCCATTACACAGGTAGGGAGAAGACTAAGTGTGAGTATATTTATTATTATGTCGCTTCTTGCTTTGAAATTCCTGTAAAGCTTCTCTGATGGACAATAGGCATTAAGTACTCCTCAATGGCAGTACATCTCAAGTCCGTGTTGTTTTTTAATCGTACAATAAGGCGTGAATTAAGTCGGACAGTTAATAAAATGTCCGGAAATGGTTTGGCTGAGTCTAGCCAGAAGTGTTCCTTCTAAGTAGCCTTTTACCATATTCGAGTTTTCCCCTCATACAGAAAGTCCTAGGCATTTCTAGGGATTAAGTTCGCGGTATCGGTTCAGAGAAGCCGAATTTGTCTTCTCTTGAGACACCATCTTAAAGCCAGAAATTGTTATTTTCAGAGGCGAAAAAACAAAACGGAGCACATATTTCTGCAGGCTAGTGCGCTTACGCCCGAATCAAAACACTCTTGGAATATTCAATTTTGAATTCTCAATAACAGAGCGCAGTTGGGATGCATCATATGTTGGAGTCTTTCAGGCCCTTAAATGAGTGTTGTTTTTACTACACGGTGATGAACGAATTACTGAAACCAAAGGAATCATTCAATTTGTTTTTTTTAAAGTTGATCATTTTTTTTCCGTTGGTATATATTCGGTTTAAAACTGACCATTTCCCCGGCGCAGCAGTTATTAGTATTTTTAGCCGTTTAGTTGGTTAGTTAGTAACAAACGTTGACATTGTTCCTACATATATTGACTGATTTCAACCAAACATTGTCAAACATATTAGTAGCCCAGCCCCAACATGTCACTTGACCAAACTGGGGTCAATGGTCATCATGGGGTAAATGGGGTCAAAATGTGATTTTTTTTTAAAACTCAAAAGAGTACTCCTTCCAGAAATTACAGGACACAATCACGTGACTCAGGCATGGACACCAATTGGTTGGCCCGCGTCTATCGTAGGTAGACTCTTGAAGACTATTGCCACCATACGCCTGATGCCAATGAGAAGACAGTATGGTTTACTTATGTGTACATGTAGTTTGGCCGTATGTGCGTGAGTCAGTGCACTCTTGTATTACTGATATATACATCCCGAGGACAGACACACAAAGAGAAAAGAACAGATTTTTCCATGTCCTCGGCAGCTCATCTCTTGTTGAAAACAGTCCTCCAACGTCAGTGTATGTACTTTACCCCAACCTTCCAAACTCCATCAAAATCCACCCCTCCCCTTCCCCCCTTTGGGGGGATTTTGGTAGGCAAGCCATGAGTGCCAAGTCCATCAAAATCCACCTATAGCAGTGGTGGATTTTGGAGGATTGGTCCAGAAGCATTTTGTTAAGCAGAGTCAGTGATGGATTTTGGCAGACTTGGTACTGTTCTCAGTAAACCTCACGGTAGGGAGTTAGGGTTAATAGTCTGTGGGACAGTGTTGTATTATAGGGACAAAGGGAAAGACAATGCCTTGTCCTCAGATGTAATGGTAAAAATACAACTGTGCACCCACGTAGCGTTTCCCGCATACTTATCACTAATGAGTGATCGTGACTCAAAAAGTGCAGTTTACTTTTTAGGCCAAAAAAAAAAAGTCTCCGGTTTCTGGTATGCGCGCGCGTCGCCGTAGCCATGCGCGTCGGCAAAATGAAAAAGTTTTTTTTTCAATACAAGATGATGTATCAAAACCGCCAAACTCACTGGTTTGACTGGAATCCTGCTGCTGCACAATTTTAACGTGTTTTTAGATGGGGTTATGATCGAGAATAAGCTTGATGTGGCCTCTCTGGACTCCCATATATTTGCACTAAGTTTAGTCGGGCACCATTTGCAGTCATCAGCCGACATTTGAAGCAAAAAAAAAAAAAAAAAAGCCGCGTCGCCGCACCACTTTTGGGGCAAGCTCCATACCAGAAACCGGAGACTTTTTTTTTTGGCCTTAGTATTATATTTTTTTTTATTATAGGGTGTACTGATCCTTTGGGAGCAGATATGGTACTACGACCACAGCCCATACCATGCCCATCAGAGCCTGACAGGCCTACTGATCCTAGTCCTGAGGGTAGCCCTGGCCCTGCTCTTTGCCCACACCCTGCAGCAAGTCCTGCCTAATGAGAGAAGTGCCATGCGAAGGGAATTCTACAGTAACTTTGCTAAGGTCAGCGGCCCATCTCACAAAACTTTCATGCAATCGTGTTGCAAAATTTGTACTTACTTTCAGTACATAAGCTGCACAGCATGAACCCTAACCTTCCCAAATTCTCCAAAATCCTCTTTGCAAAATGGTGGATTTTGCAGGATTGAGGCGATATGGCAAACATATGTGGCTCAGTTTGGAGAAAATGCGCTGTGTCAAGGTCTTGGGGCGGACCTTGTGTTGTTTATGCTCAGCCGTTCATAAAGTTAGGCCTAGAGTATACTTGAAATCCTCCGCACTGCTTCAGGATGTCACTGGCTCTGCTTCAACATATTGACAGTGATTGCTGGAGGATTATGCAGGATTGAGGCAGCAGTCACCCCTCCAAGGACCACATTCAAGAAGTAACAGAGGGTTTTGCAGGGTTGAGGCTGTATGCAATTTTGACATGGAGGCAGTTGGATGATGTTGCAGGATTGAGGTTGCATCCTAGCAAAAATCCCTATATTTGCAAAGAGTGGTATCAATATTTTAAAGGTCTTGTGTTGCAGTGTATTTCCTAGATCTGATGTGGTGGTCTTGTTCTGTTTGATTTCCATAGTTCTGCTTCCTGTGGTTCTTTGCCTACCCGGTTCTGGTTCTAACATCACTTGTTTTAGCTCAGCACTTCCGAAGAAAGGTAGGAAAGTTGAAAGTCTTTCCAACAAACTGGTCGGCTTCATATTACATTTGAAAATCTGATGAACAAAATTCATTTAGGAATACCAAAACAAATACCCATCCAATGCAAATGGATTGCAATGGTGTATCTTTAGGGGGCCGACCCCCCCACCTCCCCTTCCCCCACCCCCAGACAACATAGCCATTTTATAATACTACTGCTTTTACATCTGACCATTTCCACATAACATTTCCACGTAACATTTGTGCTCCAAACTTTTGAAAGACCATAAAATAAAGAGCTCTACGGGCTCCATGCGCGAACAAGAGAGGGCGCTTTTTTACCACTTTTCAGGCATGCAACTTTTCCTCGGATCAGCTGATTTCCTCTTTTTCCCTTCCAATGTGTGCCATTGAAAATAGAAAGACACTGTATAAAGTCTTGGAAAGATTTAAATTTCCTCCTTTTTTGTGACTTCCCAGTTGCATGCCTGACTTTTGAGAACCAAGTGGTTGGGACACACAGCGTGTGCGTACTGGTCGTGAAAGGGTCCGTTTGAGTAGCTCACCGAGATCGACTCGGGTTAGCCCCGTGCCGTTTGATTAGCTCTGACATCATTTTCGGGGCTCACCCAGGTCAGCCAACACGGACCCTGCTCGTGGAGCAGTCATCAGTGGAAATACGTCACACGCATGCATTGTTCATTCCAAGAAACAGACAAATATGGCAGCCGGACAGCGGAAATCTCATGTGGATGCAAAAATCAACTTTATTTTGAAGTTTAAAGGTCATTATGTATTACCTTTATTTTTTGGAGTTTTGCAATTGACTGAAAAGCAGTAAATGTCAATCTCACACCCAGTCCAAAAGGGGCATTTTGTCAGTGGCTACCGCTGCGGCTACGGACATCACGTGAGGCTGTCATGGCTAACCTGTCTGCCTTTACCCGAATTGATCTGGGTGAGCTCCTCGAACGCACCCAGTGTGAAATCGTTCACAGTCTGCATGAGTGCACAGAAAAACACTACCTGTACCAGTGTTCTCCAAGCTGTAAAAATAACCTGGTGCCCCGCCAAGCTTTCTGAGGCACCCGCCAAGCTTCAAAAGCTGCCGCCAAGCTTAAAATGTTGCCCGCCATGCTTTAAAAAAAAGGAAAAAATAATAAAAAAAAGATTAGCGGGCGTGTGACTACCCTTACCCTCCAGGGTATATTTTGGCCAGAAACTCTGCCAAAAAGCAGTAACATGCAACACTTGTCAAACTGACAAGCCTGCCCATTGTAGCAATCAATCAGGTCAAAAGTCTCAAGGCCAAACTGCCTCAGAGTCCCTGGTCACTGATGATGTGTTAAAAAAGATGATGCTGAGCCAGTATTGTACTTAATTTATTAGTGTTGCTGTGTTAGAAATGGCCTTAAAGCTGTTATCCATACATAAATTACTTGTTCATCTGCAAATTGCACCCCCTAGTATAAAGAAATGTATGACTGCAAATAGCGCCCCCAACATAATAACAGCGGCCCCCTTCCACTTTTTGACGGCGCACCGACCTTTAATTTTCAAAGTTGGAGAACACTGCTGTACCTAAACATCTTAATCACCATGTAAGATGTGTTATTATGTCTCCCCACAGGTTGTGAATATAGGAGCTGTGACGGCCCAGACAGTAGCCGTGGTCCTTCTGTACCGGCTGTTCCTATCCCGGAGCCTGTACTGGGAGGTATCCGCCCTGTCCTCTGCAACCCTACCACTGCGAATGGACAAGAAAAACCTCAGCATTAAGCTCAGCTCATGACAAACAACTACCCAACTTCATATAAAACATAGTGATAGGCAATTAAGAAGTTTTTTTTCCAAACAGCAGGGTGTTTTTGGCCCCGCAGTTGACGCGTTTGCCGAATATCTTTGCAGTTAGGTTCAATTGCTTACTCAACCATAGAGGGGGCTGTTTTGAGCAACATCATGCAGGTGAAATATTGACGCGCTCGGTTCAATTGTTTTTAGCTGCTTTTTAATTTGGAAGTACAGTCGGCTCCCGTTACAGCGAAATCCACGGGACTGGTCAAAATGTTCATTGTATCGGAATTTCTTAATATCCGATACAATGTTTCCCGTCCATTGTTCACCTTGAATTGGCCCTATTGTGCACGCTTGTGAACGAACGTATTGTACCCAATGACTTTTTCCGGTTTTAAAACAATGCATAGGAATTTATGAATAGGAGTGATAGGCAGAAAAGTTACCATGTACAACAAGCAGTATTTTTTTCCAAGTTGTTGGAGCATGTGTGATGCTTGAATATTCTCCAATTCCAATAATGGGGGCAACAGCTTTTATTGATGGGGCTTCCAAATCGTCACCGACACCACGAACTGACACCCTCTGCATCACATGTGTAGAAAATTTTTTAAAAATTCAAATTTTCTTTTTTTGCACACATTAGCAGTTTGTATCATGAAGTTTAACATGATAAAGTTAAAATTGCTGAAATCATCTAAAATAAGCAAATTTTACTAATGAATTTTCAAGAAATTGGTCAATTCTGGTATTTTTTGTTACCACGAAGTGACCCTGCACAGGGTGTCAGTTTTCTCAGTGTTTTCGGGAAAGTGCGCGCATGCAATAGCGTTAGGGAGTGTCAGTTCATGAAAACGAAAATTGACGTGTTTTTGGAGAGTGCGCGCACGCATGCGCAGTGTGTGCGCGCACTCTCCCAAAATGCGTCAATTTTGGTTTTCACGAACTGACACTCACTAACGCTATTGCATGCGTGCACTCTCCAAAAACACGTAAATTTTCGTTTTCACGAACTGACACCCATCTTAATCATTTAATTGCTAATTAACTAAGCAGATTTTCACAGTATAACGTTTATAATTGAGTAGTTTAAGCATTTTCACGTTAAGTGATACTAAAACCTCTAAGATAGATGGAATTTTTTACTGAGTAAATTCCTGTCAAACCTTTAAAAGTGTTTTTCTTCGATTTGTATTTCTGCAACGCTGACCACCGGGTGTCAGTTTGTGGTGTCGGTGACGAAATGACTTACAAAGGTTTTTTTTCTGGGCGAGCACAAGTCAAGGTTGTGAGTAAGGTCATGTCCAAAGTTTCTGGCAGCTGCTGGAAATTAAAATCAAACACTTTCGATCTCAGGCTGTGCTCCTTGGTCATATATGGGCCGATGTGGCCGGCAGCCATAGGCGCCTTTACGTGCCAGCGGCCCGACCACGTTGTAGCTGCGTCCTTCGCAATTCAGCATACCAGCTAGCTGGGAGTAAGAATGATTAGCCTCCCAAATTATTATTATTATTATGTGTAAACAGATGACAATAGCAGGTCAATACATGTATGTGCACAAAGTCGACTGAACATGGGAACATTATTGGCTTTTGTACAGTTACATGTATTTTAGCATAACAACAAATGGATAATATGCATTATGAGAAAATAAATGATACAGTTCCTGGCTGAATAATTTCACAGTACCTACCTTCGTATTGGTACCAGTTCTACCTTCACTTTGAGGATTTTCGAGTTAAATAGATAGGTATGTTTCTGGGTTTATTGTAAATGTTCCTGCTGTAGATTCGTGCTACGCATGGAGGAGGCGAAGATGCAGAGTCTGTACTTGCATGAATGTACAGTCCAGTTTCGACTTAAGCTATGTCCTGTAATAATGTGGTGGTCAAGCAGACAGTGACCCGAAGTCGTTTCGATGCCAGCGAGCGTTGAACTGACAAGGCCAAGGGAGCAGGCTCGTTGTGGGGCAGTCTACCACAAGGCACACCCGGATTATCCAATTGGCACAGCAGTAAGCTCTGTGCTAGGGCCTACAGAAAAAAAATGGGGGCCTACAAAAAATATTTAGGGCCTGTGAAAATACCAGAGTGTACCAACAGGCTTTTTGAGGTGCCAGTTAAGCCAGGCTTGCCGAGTACAGCTTAGCATCGGCATGAAATTAGTGCTGGTGCCGAGGGCGGAGTAGGGGCTACGAAACACTGGTACCTAGGGCCTATGGAACAGTTAATCCGGCCCTGGACACGGGGAACACACTCTATAGCGCTGTTATGCACACTACAGAAACATGCTCGGGAATGGGGAACTTCCATTGAATTGGTCAGGCAACTTGGGGTCTCACTACTTTAGTTAATGACCTAATAAGGCGGGTCCTTAGGTGCGTCCTGCACAGGTACCCTTCCTAGTATGATATTCCCTCCCATCGTCAAGCCTTATAATGAACTGCTTTCCTGTTTCAATCAGGTTTCTCACTCACCGGAACTACGTCCAGTGCTCCTCCTGGGAGACTGACCACCGTGTGCTCTGTACTGCACACTCTTAAAAAACACGTTTTGCACCATTGCTCTTGAGAACAGCAAGAGAGGGCACAATGAATAGGGTGCAGTGGAAAAGCGCAGCATGGAAGAGGGTGAGCACACGGGTGGCATGCGCTTTATATACCCGCGCTGGGTACAAAGCAACTCGCTCGCAGTACAACGGACGGAAGTCTGTGTACCAACCAACTATGGCTGGCCTAGCTAGCACACCAATATTAACTGTTCCGCTAGATTGTATTTGCCGTGTCCGATTACATAATCTTAGTAAACACATCAAGGGTAATAAAATATTAGCTTACTGTAAGTGCTGACAGCTATCTTGTATTCTGTTTGATTGAAATAAACAAACCAATCAATATATTCTGACGGTGCACCTTTGACCCATGCTTAGTTTTATTTACCCTTGTGTTGCTTATATCCGTTCACCATTGTCATTCTACGAAACGATAAGTGAAATCATGGCGAAGGCATCTACATTGCAAGCTAGGCGTCAGGTTACGAGAGTGTCCAAGCAAAGCGAATGTGGATGGGGAATTGTCGTGGTCATTGCTGCCCATGTCGGCTTGGCATCGACTGGTATCCTGCGATGCAGTGGGATCATGTATCTTCCCTGGATGAATGAGTTCGACTTGAGCGCCAAGGAGACGGCGGCCATTCAAAGTTTCATGTCATCCCCAGCAGGCTTCTCAGGTAATCATGTTGAGCTAGTCTGAACCACTGATCTCTATAATACTGACTGACTAGCGCTTCGGCCTATGTGCACAAGGACATGTCGCCCTCTCACACACGCGGCGGCCATTTTGAAGCTCCCTTAAATCGATCCCCACAACGAACGGATCCTATAAAAAGCACAGAAACACAAAAGTTTAGGAAGCACGGATCATTCAAACGCGTTTTCATTTATTCATTTTGCCCACAGTGTTATTTACTCATTAATGTTTGTTCAAATATTTAATTGTATTCTATGACCTTGCATATATATTTACGTGGCGAAAGGGCTTCAAAATGGCGTCCAGTGGCTTCACCCCCCACGGCCGAAGCCCTATTAAGTCAGGTAGGCATATAATGTAGAGCTCAGTGGTCTGAACGCAGGCATGGTAGGCCTTAGTGGGGCATTTAAAGTCTGATACCGGCCAGCGCTCGTGATTGTTTTCCTGGGAGGGTTAGTGGCACTTATCAACCTGGTTTTTGTTGTTGTTGTTGTTGTTGTTTTTTTTTTTTAGAGTTCTGGAGTTTGTTTTTGAATTGGACGTTAAACAATATAGAGGACAATAGTGTCCCCAATGCCCGAGAGGTCCCCTATTTGGATTCGTGTACAAAACACATGGGAGGTCGTCCTATAAGTACAAACAGAGGGACAATAGGGGGTCCCCGATTGCAAGCAACGTGTGTGTCCTCGATTTACACTATAAACAAACGCATACGAGTTAGCATGTTAGACATTGAGATAGAGTTCCGATGGTGACAATCAAGCCGGCCTCAGGTCGACCGTGCGACGACACAAATCAGTCGCCGGACTGACTTTTCAGGATCAAGCTAAACATGTGCCTGAGCTACGACCGTCGGGAAGAACCCAGTCGCCGATTTGTTTGCGACCTGAGTGTAACTGCGACCATATTAAGACGATCGGCATCAGCCGACGCTCAAAAAAAGTCGCAAGAGTAGAAACATTTCAACTTCTGCGACGTGTTCCGCGACAATGCTTGATGCCGACAGTTCCGTCGGCGCAAGCAAATCGTGGGTCGACTTGTGGCCGGCTTTAGAGCAGTAGAAATACAATCATCGGTGTATTGTGATCACGCATTGGTTAAATTTCTAAATTGGTTGATTCCTTGAAACAGGATCGGAAAACAGGTCCAGAGTATTGGAAAGGTTGCATGCCTGTCATGTCTATATAATTAATCATTTAATTTACTGTAATTACAGAGGTCACTACGGAAGCGTTAAAGGGCATAATACAATAAACTAAAAAAAAAAGAATAAGTCATAATTATGACTTATTATTAAGTCACAGTTATGACATATCTTATAATAATGACTTAGCATTAAGTCATAATTATGATATAGGTTAAATCTCATAATTACGACTTAGTTGTTCAATCATAATTATGACATATCTCATATTTATGACTTATTATTAAGTCATAGTTATGTTTTATATCCAATAATAATGACTTATTGTTATTTCATAATTGTGACTTACATCTTATAATTACGACTTAGTATTAAGTTTCAATTACGACTTAGGATATTTCATAATTATGACTTAATACTAAGTCATTAATATAACATATAAGTCATAAATATAACTTAATAATAACTAATAATTATGAGATATAAGTCATTATTATATTTGACAATTACTAAGTCGTAATTATGAGATATAAGTCTAATCGTGACTTCATACTAAGTCATTATTAAGGGAATAAATGTGTGCTCCGGAGGTTTTTATCACTCTGTTTAATACCACTTAGAGTCTGGGTGCTGATAATTACCCGAGCCGGAGGCGAGGGTAATTATCAGCACCCAGACTCTAAGTGGTATTAAACAGAGTGATAAATACCGACGGAGTACATATTTATTCCCATTCATAAATACCTTTTCGGTAAAAAAAAATCATATAATTCGTTCAAAACATCCCGATTTTGTTCAACAAATTCACTTTATGCTTTTTGAATCATCCCTCCTGCAAAATAATGGAGTGTTCAGCTGGCGAGTAAGATGAAAACAACCCTTTTATGGAGATTGACGCGCGCGTATCATGTTCTATGCGATGTCGCGCAGAACGCACCTGGCGCGTTGCGTTTTGAATTTAGAACTACAAAATTCTAACTCCCTGGTAGTGTTGCGCATGCCTACGTGAGGATTGTGAACGTTCAACCAATGAAACGATAAGAGGCACTGGATTTTTAGGAGTCCACATTTTATTGTGACACTGGAAAAGTGTTTAAGACCAGCTAGCCATGTCTTTATCATCCGTTTAATACCGGCCACGTGACGGGCTCTCGACCAATAGGAATGGCTAAACTGTCTGAGGTATTTATGAATATTAGATATAAGTCATAACAATGACTTGATAATAAGTCATAAATGTGAGAGATAAGTCATAATTATGAGATTTTTTTGGTATTATGTCCCTTTAACGCTTCCGTAGTTCACAGCTTTACAGGTGCGAACCAGACTTTAAATGAGATAGAAATCCATGCCAGGTGTAACAGTTCGCTACATGTGTAGATCAGGCCCTGACCTGCCTTTACTGAAACAAGCATCATAAAAATGATCGATGAAACATAATTCCTCCTCGTTCCTTAATATTTTTAGGCAGTGGATATTTTGCCGGAGACGGCAAACTTTAGTAAACGTTAGCTTGCCGGATATGCACTGAACATGCGCAGTTACTGTGTTGTGTACTTCGCCAGCGGGATCAAACCCGGTGTCACGGTCTCACTTCTCCGGCGTGCTAGCTTCTCCAAGTTGGAAATTTCGCTATAACACACATGCACAAAATTGCGCAGTAGTGTTCACTGTCGCCAACTTTTATGTGTGCTGAGTTCTTTGGGGTTGTACTGGTGCACGTACGAAGTTAGGATGTTTGTATGTATACGTCACAGGGTACCATCGAATCCAGACTAGGCATTGTGGGGCGCGCAATTAACTCCCAACATCCTAATAACCAAAAAGACTTGAAGGATGCACATTTATTTTAATACGTGGTTGAACGCGTGGTAACAAATTTGACATCATCGTGTGATGGACCACGACCGAGCAAGGATATTGAATTATAAAAGATATGTGAAATAAATCAGAGAGCCTTGATTCATGATAAAAATCACTACAAGGAAGACCCAGGTTAAGTGACATTAAACAGCTGTCAGATTGAAACTCCATCATAACTGGTTGTTTAACTATAGGGCTTGACAAGGACTTCGTACTTTTTAGAATGCATGATTCACAATGCCAAGGAGGACGGTTCAACAATGATATTAACAAGATGCAAGGTCAAACGTTCACAATGCGAAGGTATATGGTTCATATTGCGAAGAAGCAAGGTGCAACGTTGACATCAAGCATGATCAATGGTGTACATTGACAAGATCAAACGTGAACATTAACAAGTTGGAACATTCACATTAACAACGGAAGGAACAACTTCCACAATGCGATATTAAGCTACGTGCAACGTGCATATTGCGAAGGTACAACGTCAATATGAAGAAGTTACAAGGTTCAAACTAAAAAGGTCAATATTAAAATGTCGTTCCAGGGCCACCGTACAAGAGTCTCCTTTTTGTACAATCTCGTGTTCTTACAATCTCGTTACAAACTCGTTTTCTCTTCTTTTTAGTTCTCATTGGAGGAGTTCTATGCAACCACTTTGGGTGTAGATTTACGGGTATACTAGGAGGGTTCTTGATGTGGCTTGGTCTCTTCTGTACCTATTTGGCCAACGACATAGTTCAGCTCTACGCAACTGCTGCCATAATGGGTAATATTTCTTCACTCAAGTCTCGGTTTATTATTGTGTCCTTTAACATGTAAGGCATATAGGATCATCTGCATTTATCCCAAATGTATAGCCTTACCGAATATTATCAACAAGCTTCCTTGGATAAAAGATCATACTGGTACTAAACACAAGGTGAGATTATTGACCTGGAATCAAGAAATGTATATGTAGTGATTTCCATAAATCAGTTGACTGATTTTGGAAATAAAGAGTGCTATTTGAAGACAAAATCGTGTTTCAAAATAGGTCCGAAGGTTGTGATTTTCACTGTTTTCTTGAAAAGTGTAATATCCTCTGAGCTGGAAGGTTATAGGCTCAGAACCCTCTCATTTGGATTTTTAGTGTTGTTTTATTGGAAACGAACAAATGCATACAAAAGCAAACGATCCTTTTGTGCCTTTAAGTTGATTTTGTGGGTAAAAAAGGTATCTGTGTTCTGCCCTCTTTTTGTGTGCATGCATGGTTTCGATGAATTATCTGACCGCATTATACGGTCTTGGAAAAAACCCCAATAGTAATACATACGGAATTCCAAACCATTATGCTATAAAAAGTCAATGCATGCGCAACAATAAGCATCTTTGTCAGATAATGTATCATTCATAGAATCGACTGCGATTTTCTCAGTGCTTTGTTCTTTTTGATAGGTATTGGAACTGGCATTGCTGTCAACGCGTCAAGCGTCATTATCACCTTTTATTTCACGAAGAGATTCAATGTGGCCAACGCTGTTACCTGCGCGGGATATGGGACGGGGATAATGGCAATCCCTCCGCTTCTCCAACTTTTGCTGGACAGGTACGGGTGGAGGGGTGCTTGTTTAGTCACATCCGCAATCATGGCAAACGTCATACTCTGTGGCGTGCTTTTCCGACCTCGTCAATTCGGCCTGGAACGGAACAAGACCGCGTCTGCAACGAACTCACAAGAGGATCTGAGACAGCAGCCCTCAGGTGAAAACGACGACGATACTGATGATGACGATTATACCGATGGAAGTACCGGTGAAGTTACAGATGAACCCAATAATTCAACAGCGATACCGGTACGATATATCAATATAAGTACGGGCGATAAAACTGAGTATAAGCGATCCAGACAAGTGGTGAAACTTCTTAAAAGATTGTCGGACGAAATCGGGCTGAACATCATGAGGAAAAGCTTCCGTTTTCCCTGACCTGTGTCATACAGTTGTTGTATAGCTGTGGCTATGCGGCATTTCCACTGTTCCTCATCCCACGTGCACAGACCATTGATGTGGCGCCCTCTAGTGCCGCATCCTTGCTGAGCATGCTTGGCATAGGGAGCGTGATTGGTTACCTAGGCAACCCACCGATGATCGGCTGGAGAATCTCAGCGGAGCACGTGACGGCCATTTGTGCGGGCCTGACAGGAATTGCGTGCCTTCTGGTTACTGCAGACGGCTATGCCTATTTTGCAGTGGCTTCATTCATTTACGGCTTCGCTTCTGGAGCTTTTTACGCCATCTTCTACGTTCTGTGTCGCAAATTTGTTGGTGTGCAGCACTACGCCCTAGGAGTCGGATTGATGAACGTTTTTATTGGCACCGGCTACTTCATAGGATCGATACTTGCAGGTAATGGCATGTGGGCTTTAGTTTCGTGTGTGCTTCAGTTATGTTTGCCTGGGAAACTGAGTGACTTTTTTTTCGGAGTGAAACAACGTTAAAGTTGCTGAAATTCAGCTTGATAAATTAGCAGGCGCGGATCCGGGGGTGGGGGTCAGATGTTAACCCCCCAATTCTGTCATTTTGTTTGTCATAGAAATTCTTTAAAAAGAATGCGACCCCTTTGCTCTGACACCCCCTAAAAAATTATACTGTTAAATGTACGTCTGTTCAAAATACGTACAGAAGCAGCTTAGATAGGGGTATTTGTACACCATTTGGTGTACAAATGATATAAAGTGGTAATAATCCTGGAATTAGAACAGCTTCCCCTATTGACAATTGGTAACCCCCCCCCCCCCCCCCCCCCAGTTCTTGATTTTACGGAGGCCAAGTGTCAAGATTTTTTGTTGATGAAACACACCCCCCCCCTTCCTGCGAAAATTCCTGGATCCGCCCCTGACTAGGCATGGCGGTTCAGGTCTGAGCCCCCCGCTTTTCATCATGCAGTGGCGATGCCATATGAAATTATGACTCCAATGAAATCGGGTCTCTCTTTACCTGACATGATCTCTCAGCCTCACACGTGAACTGTCACTGTCCAAAGTATCTTCACTAATAGACATGCGCGATACAAAGGCTGGTTCGAATATGCAACACCCATAACTTTGTTGCGAGGCTCTAGCGTCCAGATGGAAACACGTACCATCATTATTTTCATACCATTTTAAAACTTTGAATCTGAAGTTTATCCCTGGCGAGTATTGGTCTGATGAAGAGTTTGAATATTATTCGTGTTCACATAAAGGCATGTCGAAAACAGACTCAACTGATTTCAAGGAAAATCGATGATGCGGTACATCAGATGCAACACGGTAACACTATGATCGCGCTTTTTGAATAGGTACATACTTGCACGTGAATTTTCAAAATGAACTTAAAACGATAATGTGAATTCATTTAAGGTGTAGTCTACGTCACATTATGAAGAACCATTTCCACACAATGACTGATTTTCCTTGAAAATCAAACCAATACTCGCCAGGAACAAGGTTTAAATTGTATGCATTAAAATGATGTAAAAGTAATGGCGGTTCGTGTTTCCGCGGCAAAGCTAGAGTCTACAGAATTTGTTGCAGGTATTTTTGGACGCATGCTCTGTACAGGTATAACGCGACCAAACCATTTACTAAAGGCATAAAGTATCATGTGTTTTCATGCATTTTGTTCGTTTCCAATAATAACACGATAGACTCGAAATCCAAAGACGAATGTTGAAAACATAACCTGTTGAAATTTCAGCTCAGTGAATATTACACTTTTGCGAGAGAACCAGGCGCGGTTATAGAGCCAATATTTGGGGGGGGGGGGGGGGGGGGCTAGCAGGGCGGATCCAGAATTTTTTCAGGGAGGCGTGCTGACACTTAGACCTCCAAAAATCAATAGGGGGGGGAAGGCTCGTGCCATATTTTCAATGGGGAGCGCCAGTAAAATCCTACAATCAGGCACACTATATTAACTACAAATGCTCCCTTGTCACGACTATAGGGGGAGACCGTTCGCATGTACGTCACATTCCTTCTTTTTGCTGATGCAATTTTTTTTATTGGAATTTTTTTTTGGGGGGGGGGGCTAGACAATTTTTTTTTGGGGGGGGGGCTACAGCCCCCCCCCCCCCCCCACGTAGAACTGCCACTGGAGAGAACAGTGAAAACCATTGCACAACCTTCGGATCACAAAACACTATTTAATAGAACTGAGCACCTACATTTCTAGGTTCTTCTAAATGCCAGCGAGCGGCAGACGGAATAATATCACGATGTATTTAGTAAAAGTTCGATCTTCAATCCAATGAATATTTTGGATAATAAATCGGTAGGTTATAATTTGGGTGAAATAAATGAAAATGAATGACACAATAAACGATGCTTGTCTTCACAGGATGGATCTTTGATGCTACAAGGAGCTATGTTGCTGTGTTCTACATGTTGACTGGGGTATACTTCACTTGCGCATTCAAGTGTCTACTTTTACCTCTACTGAAACGCATAGAGCCTGGATTAGAACCCAAAGTATCGGATGAATAAAGTATCTGAATAGGGCCAGCTCAATATACTTTACGATTGCTCACGGACACGACATTTTTAATTTGATCTACTATATTCATGATTAATAGTAGATCTAATTAAGCCGGTGAAGGGCAAAAACCTATTGATTTACATCACCCCGACGCAAAATTCCATCTTATGAATACATGTAGTTGAATGGCGGTACCCACTGCTGTAATCTACATCAGATTTGAACCAGTTAACCGATCCCGCAAGCTCGGTGGTCGAGTGGTAAGACGTCCGCACTAAAAAGCAGGAGGTCGTGGGGTCGAGTCCTACCCGACTGATGTTTTCCCAACTTTCACTCGGGAGGTATTGTTTATACGTCGGTGAATGGCAAAAATCTATTGATTTACATCACCCCGACGCATTCCATCTTATGAATATATTCATGATTGTTTTCTAATTCTCAATTTTGATTGGTCATCTGAACTTAATGAATATTCATGTAATGTCACCATGCACTCTTGCATGCGTTCCTTCGACGAGAACATCCTTTTGATTTGTAACTCGCAACTATGTGTAATTAAGCAAAGTACTTTTTGATAAAACTATGGCATTCTGGTTTGTACTGTAAAATCTACAAAACGAATGAATAGGCGAATTTAAGTAATTAAATATTTCTTACTCGAATTTTACAATGAGTTTTGCGAATTTAGTTAAATAATAACTGAACAAAATCAGACTTTTGTATCGTTAAAAACTCCGATAAATAACCCGAAGGAGGAGCTTGAATCTGTACGGTAGGGGACTTTACTACGTGGGAGCTGCCAGCAGTCAGTTTTGAGATACATGCGAAGATCAATTCAAGACTTGGAAGACAAGATATGCAAATTTGATTGTCTATCGTTGTGACTTGACGAAAAAGCAGTGACAAGCAACAATGAAATTAAAATCGGCGACAAAATATGTGTCAACCTTGGTGCCAGACGTCAAGTTAAAAGTGGTGGCAAAATTAAGTGAAAGTTCAAAGTAAATTGAGGAATTATAAATTTACATTTTTATTGATCGAACACGATTCCAGCTTTGCAACGTTTGGGGTTAACAATCTAACACAACCATAGTTAATTGTCACGTGCGTATAATTAAATTAATTCATACTGAATTGTGTATCTGTATACAAAACCTCATTTAACTGTATACAATGCTTAGAACTGTATATTTTTTCAATATTAGAAATATATATCAAGAAGATTTCGGTTTTATTATCTCTTAGCAGCTGGTATGTATAAAACCGTTATAATTAACCGTTTTAAATTTCTGTCCACGGATCACAAAAAAAGGTAAAATGTTCTTTCAGCAAAACCAAAACAATTTACATTCGCCCCATGTAAATTGTTTTCGTTTCGCTGAAAGGACACTTTATAGCTTTGGCGCCCTTGTGCGGCTGAACACCATTTAAGAACAGCCGTCTTTGAGTACCTCTTTTAGGTTTTGTTCTTTGGAGCATTAAATCATTATTCATAAATACCTCAGACAGTTTAGCTATTCCTATTGGTCGAGAGCCCGTCACGTGGCCGGTCTTAAACGGATGATAAAGACATGGCTAGCTGATAAAGTCATGGCTAGCTGGTCTTAAACACTTTTCCAGTGTCACAATAAAATGTGGACTCCTAAAAATCCAGTGCCTCTTACCGTTTTATTGGTTGAACGTTCACAATCCTCACGTAGGCATGCGCAACACTACAAGCGAGTCAGAATGTTATAGTTCTAAATTCAAAACGCAACGCCCCAGGTGCGTTCTGCGTGACATCGCGCAGAACATGTTACGCGCGCGTCAATCTCCATAAAAGGGTTGTTTACATCTTACTCGCCAGCTGAACACTCCATTATTTTGCTAGAGGGATGTTTCAAAAAGCATGAAGTGAACTTGTTGAACAAAATCGGGATGTTTTGAACGAAATATTTGATATTTTTTTACGGATAAGGTATTTATGAATGGGAATAAATATGTGCTCGGTCGGTATTTATCACTCTGTTTAATACCGCTTAGAGTCTGGGTGCTGATAATTACCCTCGCCTCCGGCTCGGGTAATTATCAGCACCCAGACTCTAAGCGGTATTAAACGAGTGATAAAAACCTCCGGAGCACACATTTATTCCCTTAACAACACAAAGTGAAACATCATGGGGGTATGATGCAAGAGAAATACTGACATGAGGCTTGCCAACTGTACTTGTTTAGTAAGTTTGTCAATTACAAATGTAACACCAGTGGTGGAAACATCAGCATAATCCAAATTAATGAATGCTAAAGTTTGACAGCGTTGCCCGGATACAAAGGCAATTAGTATAACCAGTGTCATGGTAAGGTCTTTAATTGAAAGATCCTTGTTGGATCCAAGAGACTGAAGGTGATGTCAAACAATATTCATATCCCAAGTCGGTGAGTACGGCAAGAAAGTCAATCACTGTAGTTCCATTGGTCTGTAGTCCTTGTCTGACTACAGAAGTAAATTTAGCCACTTCCGTATTGCTGACCTGTAACATTTCCTGGTGGACGTTCGCCATGATGAAAAGATGATCGTGGCAGCTTGCTCTCGGAGTGTTTCCCCGATAAGAGGCAAGGTATCCTTAGACGATCCCGTAAGGGATGGTCTGTCTGAAAACTAGTGGTCGATCCCAAGTACGATCTTCCTCCTAATCTCCAAGACTTGGAACTGCTTCCCCGTTCCAATCAGGTTCCCCACTCACCGGAACTACGTCCAGTGCTCCTCCTGAGAGACTGACCGCTGTGTGCGCTGCACTACACACTATTCACCAACCACGGTCTGAGCGGGAAAATGACTGTGCTACGTACGGCACCAACAGCTCTAGAGAACAAGAAAGCGCACAATGGATAGGGCACAATGGACGAGTGCAGCATGGAAGAGGGCGAGCGCCTGGTTGACTCACGCTTACCCGCGCTGGGTACCAACCACTGATCTCTATATAAAGACTGGATAGCTAATAAAGAGCCGCACAATCATTGATCTCCATATATGGAGATCAATGCGCACAATGTACGAATTTGACGCCATATTGGTGAGACCGGCTGGTGATCTACAAAGGACAAGTTGCCGTCTTTATAGACAGCTTGATTTCTTTTGCAACGTCGCGGCTCACTTGACTTATATTTTGGCCACCACCACTGACCAACTGACCAAGGTTTACTACAATTTTTCTAACGTAGTGGTTACTTTTATAATGCCGCAAATCACTTTTTCGGCGTTTTTGAAATAATAATCACTACGAAAATGTGTTCCTTTTAGAACATCATAATATGTGTACGTGACCAAAATGAGCGTCAACTGTTGATACAACGCGCGCGTATTTACGCGTAGAACGTTCGTATTATACGCGGCCATCTTCGTGAGACCGGGGGCGAATTGGTCAATATGCAAAGTCTACTGTGTGAATGTTGTATGCATATCCGCTATCCAGTCTTTATATAGAGATCAGTGGTACCAACCAACCACGCAACTCGCGGGATGTAGGCCTACATGGACTATAGAATATTCAACCTCGTTTCCATGGGTACGATCTTGCTGCGCAAGATCAGGATGAGGGTTGATTTATGTTGAAAGTTACAAGTTCATACCATAAACCGTTCAGGAGGAATTCCGCGGAGATGTGTTGTCCGACAAAACCCCAAGAAACAAAGAAAGAAAGAAGATTTATAAGAAAAATACCAGGTTGTGCCCGACCACTCAACAAAGAAGATTTATCAGAAGAATTCTAAACAGTGGTCGGGTTGTGCCCGACCACTCAATTAGCAGTTAATAAAACTTACATTATACTCGGAAATACTCGGGCGCTATCCGATTGTTAACGAAATGAATTCGGCAAACTTCGGACATTTTCGGAAAAAGGAGGAATTCGTCCCGTTTTAGTCACGTGACATATATTTGTAATACAATGTATTACTGACGGCTACCTGACCTAACATTTATCAGGAATAGTAAGAATCGTTTGGTCTGGGAACCAGACTAGGGCCGTATCACGCATGTATTGAACCAGAAATTTGGGGAAGTTGTTTATCCTTGTGTAGAGAATCCGTACTGTAAGTCATTCATTCAATCAATAGACATAAGCATTTGCCCGTGGTCTCCTCCTCAAATTACACACAGTTGGGATCACTGGCTCCGCTCCCACCACAGCCCGTCTTTCCAGTGCTGCTGCTTTCAGTTCAGTGGTGTGACACCCTGACCATTCTCGGATGTCGTCCACCCAGCGCATCTTTGGCCGGCCCACGGAGCGACGACATCTCCCTGGTATCCCATCCACAACAGCTGCCTTCGTGCCACCCTGCCGAGCCACATGGCCCAACCAAGATATGCCTTTCGTTTCATCACAGTGCTACTGCTGAAGCACCACCGGTCGCCGATCATCTTCATCAGGCTTTCATTTGTTACATAATCTTGTCACTTGATGTAAGCGCTGATAAGTGCAGATAGCTATATCTAGTATACTGTTTGCTTGCAAATAAAATAAATAAAAAAAAACCAATCTGTTGTGATGATGCACCGGCCTGATGCCCACGGTACAAAGGTTAGTCTCAATAACACTGGTGTCATTTTTATTCGCTTATATAGATGATGTAATATGTCCCTTCCTGTATGCATGTGTCATTCTCGGTCAGTCTGTGCAACAATTAATAGGTGAAATCATGGCGAAGGCATCTAAATTGCAAGCTAGGCGTCAGGTTACGAGAGTGTCAAAGCAAAACGAATGTGGATGGGGAATTGTTGTGCTCATTGCTGCCCACGTCGGCATGGCATCGACTGGTATCCTGCGATGCATTGGGATCCTGTATCTTCCCTGGATGAATGAGTTCGACGCCAGTGCCAAGGAGACGGCGGCTATTCAAAGTTTCATGTCATCCCCAGCATGCTTCGCAGGTACTCATACAAACATTACCGTAATGATCGTATCTTGTATTGCTCCATGTTTAGCGACCTGCCATTCACAATGGCCGCCCGACCGGGCAATGTTTATTAAATGGCCGCCATTGGTCTCAGGAAATGACATACCAGCTCGGGCTAAAATGCATGCCACAGACAAAGAGGCCAAAATGATGTCACTGTTTACAATTATTTTTATTATCAGATCTCTATTGTGTAGGGAATATTAGCGTAGTGAACAACTGAGCAAGCTTGCCGCCAGGTGCTTTCTGTTGTTGCTTTCGATGAAGCGTGGGGACCATCCTTTTAATTTTGAAGTCTTGGAGTTCGAACTCCTTGGGTTTATGGTTTCACCTATATAGCTCATATACGCCGCACTGCATATAAATTATGATCTTATATACACAACCTCATTTTTGTTCTGCGTTTCAGTTCTCATTGGAGGAGTTCTAAGCAACCGCTTCGGTTGTAGATTTACGGGCATATTAGGAGGGTTCTTGATGTGGCTTGGTCTCTTCTGTACCTATTGGGTCAACGACATAGTTCAGCTCTACGCCACTGCTGTCATAATAGGTAATATTTATTCACTCATGGCTCGGTTTAGTATTGTGTCCCTTAACATTAAATGCAATTTATCCCAAAAGTATAACCTACCGAATATTGTCAATAATTTGCTTTGATTTAATATCATACTGATACTAAACACCCCGAAAGATTATTGACCTGGAAATCAGGAAAAGGATACTGATTTCCATAAATCAGTTAGAGTGCTATTTAAAGACACAATCGTGCCAGACCAAAAGCTAGATGAAATATGGTTTTCACTGTTTTCTTGAAAAGTGTAATATCCACTAACCTGAAAGTTGAGCAGGTTAGGTTTAGAACATTCTTTTTTAGATTTTGAGGAAGCCGCGGATCAATATGCTCGGGAATTTCCCTAACATTGTACACGCAAAAAGCAATCAACGTACGTGACTTGCAATGAATGTTTTAAAGGATAGGGGCGCTGAGCCTTATATTTCAAGGGTGCCGCAGGGCATGTCCAAGTTTGCTTATTGCCGAGAGTTTGAGACCTACTCTCACGTCAAATCAAGGTAATATCTGTCAGGGTTGATTTTTTTAGTTATTTTTGAAGGAAAAGAGGCATTTTGATTTCAACTTCCGGTCTGATGACGTCATCATTTTTTAGCGTGCAGTTGTTGTCTGCATATATGTACACTAATTTTAGAGTGATTACCGCGAACTTCGCCACGCACATCAACTTATTATTTACTTTAAACATTTCGAACCTGCCGCTAGAGGGCGCTCTAACATTTTATGACGTCATCCGTATTTTTTTCTAAAGTACAGCCTAGCCAGAGACTAACACCGTTAAAAGCAAGTTCACATATGTTTCCACTTACAAATTGTAAGGCACTTCCAATTTAGACCGAAAGGAAGGGTCACGTGATTAGACACAGGCGATAAAATGGAGACCCTGGATTATTCTATCAATTCCCGCAAAAGCCAAGTTCAGGTCTTTCGAGGTTGATTTTATATTGATTTTATAATATTGAATCTAGAAATCTTTAATCGCTTGTTATTTGACACCCGATGACGTCATCAAGATGTCAGAGTAACATGCACCACTAGACTATAGGGATGAGGGTTGATATAAAGTTACAAATTCATACCTTCAAACCGTTTAGGAGAAAACCCGCGGAGAATTATTGTCCGAAATGAAAGAAACAAAAAAACAAAAAAAAGAAAGAAAGAAAGAAGATTTATCAGAACAATTCTAAACAGTGGTCGGGTTGTGCCCGACCACTCAAACACCAATTATGGGTCACTTGGGAATGATATTGTCAAAGATTTGTGTACAATTTGTTTTTCAACTTCCCCAGGAATTTTGGTATATTAACGTTTAAACCGAATTTTGCCTCTAACTATAGGAGTTGCGACATTGAAATGTCTCCCTAATGTCCGGTGTCTCCCTAAGGGATAATTTATGATGACAAAATGTCTCCTTAAAGGCACATTAATTATGTCATGGAATTACAAACTATATAAGAAATGAAAAGGGACAGCCTTGCACATGCATCTTTGTGAGATAAATGTATCAATCATAGAATGGCAAACGATTTTCCTTAATTCTTGGTTTCTTTTTTCTTATAGGTATTGGAATGGGCATTCTCATGAACGCTTCAAGCGTAATTATCACGTTTTATTTCATAAAGAGATTCAATGTGGCCAACGCAGTTACCTACGCCGGACGTGGGATGGGCACGATGGCTATCCCTCCGCTTTTCCAACTTTTGCTGGATACTTACGGTTGGAGGGGTGCTTGTTTAGTCATATCCGCAATCATGGCAAACATGATACTGTGTGGAGTGCTTTTCCGACATCGTCAGCTCGGCCATGAACTTAACATAACCGAGTCTTCAACAAGTTCACAAGAGGAACTGAGACAGCAGCCCTCGGGTGAAAAAGGCAACGATGCTGACGATAACGATTATACCGATGGAAGAACCGGTAGAGTTGCGGATGAAACCGGGTCGTTTTCGACCGCGACACCGGTACGATATGCCAATACAAGTTCTGGTGATAAAACTTGGTACAACCGATCTGGACGATCAGTGGTGAAAATTCTTAAAAGACTGTTGGACGAAATCGGGCTGAATATCATGAGGAAAAGCTTGCGTTTTTCCCTGGTTTGTGTCATCTCGTTGTTGTATAGCTATGGCTATGTGGCATTTCCAATGTTCCTCATCACGCGCGCACAGACCATTGATGTTGCGCCCTCTAGTGCCGCATCCTTGATGAGCATCCTGGGCATAGGGAGCCTGATTGGTTCTCTAGGAAACGCACCAATGATCGGCTGGAAAATCTCAGCGGAGCACGTGATGGCTATTTGCGCAGGCCTAGCGGGAATTGCGTGCCTTCTGGTTACTGCAGACGGCTATGCCTATCTGGCAGTGGCTTCATTCATTTACGGCTTCGCCTCCGGAGCTTTCTTCGCCATTTCCATCGTTCTCTGCCGCAGCTTTGTTGGTGTGCAACACTTCGGCCTAGGGGTCGGGCTGATCTACGTTTTCGGTGGTACCGGCTATCTCCTAGGACCGGTAATATCAGGTAATGACAATGCTTTATTGCGGAGTTTGCTTTAATAATGTTTGCATGGGAAAGCCAGTGCCTTATTTTCCGAGGGTACAACAAACTTTACTTGTTGGAATTCAGCTCACTAAGCATGGAGGTCTGAGCACTCCACTTTTGATAATACAAGTGGCGGCATCATGACTCCTAAATCGGGTCTCTCGGTACCTGATATGAATTCTAACCCTCACATGTGACCTGTCCAATTTATCTTCAATTGGGCATGCGCAATACAAAGGCTGCTTCGAATCTGCTATTTGTATACCGCAACCGAACCATTTAGTAAAGGCATAGAGTATTATTTGCTTTTCATTACTGTTGCTCGGAGCCAATAATAACACGACTCGAGATCCAAAAGACGAATGTTCAAAACCTAACCTGTTGAAGTTTCAGCTCAGTGGATATTACACTTTTTCCCCCCAGAAAACAGTGAAGAACCATGCACAAGCTTTTGATCACAAAAAACTCAACTGATCTTCAGAAATCACTAACATTTCTCGTTTTCTTCTAAATGACAGCAATCGGCAGACGGAGTAATTTCACGGTGTGTTTAGTACCAGTACGATCATTAAAAGTCGGTAGGTTACATTTAGAGTAATTGCAAATGATTGATAAAGTACTGCTTGTCTTCACAGGATGGATCTTTGATGCTACACGGAGCTATGTTGCTGTGTTCTACATGTTGACTGGAGTACACTTCTCTTGCGCATTAAAGTGTCTACTCTTACCTCTACTGAAACGCATAGAGCCTGGATTAGAACCCAAAGTATCGGATGAATAAAGTATTTGAAAAGGGCCGGCTCAATTAATGGTGCGGCATAGCCCCAATACGCCAAAGTATTTTGCAGTTTTTGATTTTAGCAAGAAACTTCGCATTTTGATTCTTTATGCCACAAAGACCATTTTCAGATATAGAGGCATTTCATGTTGACCTCTAGTGACCTTTTGAGAGGTCAATGAACTTTTCACACTCTTTTCAAAGCTTTTGTTCTTCAAAACTTCACTTTCCTTTGACTCATGTCTATGTCATCTATGTCATAGGTCTTCATACAATAGAAATAATAATCTGATGTGGGAAGTGGGAACTATTCATATCTGACCTCTGGTGACCTTTGTAAACATGTTTATAGCTATTTGTTCTTTTAACCCCATCTTTTTGATTCATGTCTAAATGAAAGTACCCATGTTTTAAAGAGATTTTTCATAAATCGGCCATTTCTTATTCAACCTCTTGCAACCTTACGAGTGGTCATGACCACGGATATTAACTAGATGTACACGATTATAAATGATACTTTTTTTCAAGACCCAAGTCTAAAACTTAACTCTATGTGCCAAGAAAAAAAAATCAGATGTGGGGACATCATACTTGACGTAGTGCTACCCTTGGAGCGTTCAGTGAACTTTGTATATATTAGTTGTTGCTATTTATCAAATTATTCGTCAAAACGCAATTTTTTTTGGTAACCCAAACCTCATAAGTGCCAAAGAAAGGTATTGTTTACAATCACGTTATGAATTTAGACCCCAAAACAATTTCGAGTTGACCTCTGAACTCGTGTTTCCTTGTTTTTTTGGCAGACGCAATATGATGAGATTGGAATCAGAAATCTGTGGGTCTGTTCTGTTTTGGAAAATGTACATTTGTCATGCAATATTCTCTCTTGTGTGCTTATTACATCCTGCTGTATCCAGATGGACTTGCATGGCCACGTTTATATCCTTTTTACCAAGCCCAACGGTTAAAGAGTGATGATTGTCTGTTGTGCCTCTTATATTCTGTTGCGCTTGCGTCTGCCCTAATTAAAAAAAAAAATGAGATCAGAGGTCATGCAAAACAATTTCATTTGGGGTCTGACTTCATGACATGCTGTAGAATAATTATTTTAAAACATGCATTGTTTTGCACTCATTAGCCTGCGGTCATGAAAAAAAGGTGGCAATTGGAAGATTAAGCATAATATATAACGGCAATCAGAGTATTAAGGTCATCAGAAAGTCATCGCAAAGGTCATTAGATGTCAAATATGAAATGTCTACATCTCTGAAAATACATATCATCGCACGAATACCAACAATTTAAATATGGGTAATACACATTTGTGTTTTGAACAGTTAATCCTCTTATTATCTATAAACAGGATTCGCAAAGTTCATTGACCCCTTGAAGACCATCAGAGGTCAGATATAAAATTCCCTAAATATGAAATTCTTTCCACCTCAATCTTTACATAATTATGGCTTGGGTCTTGAAAAAAGTTTGGATTTAAAGGGTAAATCGTATAAATAACTTTAAATAGAGTTTGTGCAGTTAATACATAGGTCATTGGCCTCTAAAAGGTCATCAGAGGTCAATTGCGAAAATGTTCGCATTTGGTCGGTATTTACATTGTATGAATACTATACATAGATTTAGGTACTTGGAAAGTTATACATAAAGAATATAAAGGTCATTGACTCGCCAAGGTCACCAGGGGTCAGATGTGAAATACCTCCATATCTTATTTTTTGTCATGGTATGAAAACCTCACATGCAAAGTTTCATGCTGTCCCTATGCCGCACCACTAAATAGACCTTACGATATGAACAGGACATTTTGAATTGGCTTAATTTGTTTACTTTATTCATGAATATACTAGATCAAATAAGGCCACTGAAGGGAAAAAAACCTATTGATTTACATCACCGCGATGCAAAATTACATCTTATGAATAGTTTAATTGCGGTACCCGCTGCTATATGTACATCAGATTTGACCCAGCCAGTGGTCGAGTGGTAAGACGTCAGCACTAGAAATCAGGAGGTCGTGGGTTCGGGTCCCATCCGAGTGATCTTGTCCAACGTTAACGCATTTAAGTATACATTAAGTATACAGTGTTTATACGTCATGAAGGGCAAAAACATATTGATTTACATCACCCCGACGCAAAATTCCAATTTATGAATGTATACTTATAATTGTTTACAAATCTCGATTTTGAATGGTCATCTGATGAATATTCACATAATGCCACCATGTACTTTTTCGTGCGTTCCTTTGACGAGAAAATCGTTTTGATTTGTCGCTCGTAAACCCACGAGAAAAGTTTGCTCACTGGCTTTCTGACACGACAACGAATCACAACAGAAAAAAACACACATACTGAAATTTGTATCCTTGTGGAGACATTTCTTTGTTCTCGTGTACTAAAGTTTTCGAGTTTGAAAGTGCAGTTTCAAAATGCTGTTATTTTAACCAGAATAAATTTCCTTGGCTGAAATTCGGACTTAATATCCCTTTTCTAAAACTCTACCATTTGCGACTGATCAACATACCTAGGAAATACCCAGTTTTTTAGTAAAATCCATATATTTATTTCGTGAATACCTTGTGGAGGCGTATTCATCTATAGAAATTGCCCTGTGGAGACATATACAATCTGTTGTTCCCTATTGTGTGCATGTCCTCAGAGGGCACCGTGTATCATATCATCCAAGGCAGAACAATATCCACAATTCTGGCAACTGTTCGTGCTGAACTAACATTGAGGTTTTCTGCCTGAAATGACATTCCGCTATTGCTCAGAATATGGACATTTGCATTGGCGTTAAAACCAAAAAGGGACCGTCGAACTACCCTTGAAAATGGCAAAATGAAAATTGAACATAAGACCTAATGGGATACAAAAGTGCATTTTCAAGGATTACATTAACACAATTTCATTGCATGGGCCCTTTTATTTGTGTATTACGTAAAAGTCTTGATCATATTTAAGTTACATGTTACAAGACCTCTATTCATACCTGTAAGTGATGGTGTATACCCAGCGGATTAACTTATTATAGATAATTGTATAGCATTGAGATCAGCTTTATGAATTATAGTATTGCTTCAAGATTACATATTTACCAAATAAACTGGTGGGAAAAACAATGGATTTTGAGTGTTTACTTGTTTTAATTTTATTTCAGACAGTTTGATACGTAGCATGAAGGCTAGGTGAATGCTACGTCTATTGCTTTCTTCCCTAAACAAACACGACCCCCAGGATACTAAAGTGTTTATGGAGGGAATTCATTGTGCTATTGTTAGGCAATTTCGGGCGTGATCCCGCGGTCGGAACGGGGCCCGGGCGAACGCAGGCGCCCGGGGGATTAGGAACAATAGGCCCGTTCCTCCCGTGCGCTCGCGTCGGAACGGGAAAAATCCTTTTGATCTCCTCCCTTAATGAGGTCTGACAAATCCTGTCCGAATTTTTCCCGATCCGACGATATCAAAGCACAGCTTCACTCTGGTGTCATCAAGCCGTTTTTTTCTGTCAAGCATTCCTCACACAACACTTCGTTAATTTAATTCGTTTGTCTGTAGTAAAATGTTTCCTTTTTCAAGTTATATTCAGTTTAGTTTCATTACACTTCCGGTACCATCGGAAGTAAAGTCAAACGGCTTTGTGGCCGGGAACCCAAATGATTGCTCGAGGCAATGTGTAACACAAAAAAGAGAACCGTACTGCATTTATTTGAAAATTTATAGTTCAAAGTTATTATTCAAATTTTCTAAATCCCTTGTAATTAAGATGTTGATCCATGATGCCGTCACGATGATTCTGGACTCATTTTTACATCTTAGGGTCAGGCTTCAAGTTCATATCAGGTCTTTTGTTATCATCCCGTGAACATTTTGGAGGATAGCAGGTCCATTTTGGTGTTGAGGGTTCTCTCTGTATTTAAAATTCACCCAACTTTGACCTTCCGGTAGTCCCGGAAGTAAAGGCCAGGCCACTTCACGTACACAACAGAAATGTTCGTAACTAATAATCTATCACATGATTGACCATTTTGTTCAAAAATTAAAAGTTTAGGAAGTTGGTTCCTTTTTTTTTTAACGAAAATTGCTTGTCATTTGTGAGCTATATGCACAATTAGGGGTCAATATATGTTTAAGTCAAAAGTTCGTACTGTAGTCCATTAAGAAGAAAACCCACGGAGAATTATTGTCGAGAAAAAGAAATCCAAAGAAACAATTCTAACAATTTTAAAACGGTGATTTGTATCAGGAGTAATTGACGAGGTTAAAGCATTTCAAGCAGTTCAATGAACTTTCAGAGCTATCTAAATATTCGCGCCAATTTCACTCCCCGTGATGCGGACGCGAGAGAAGGTATTGTTAGCATGCGCATTTCTAAAATGTTTGCCTCATGATCAACTTCGAACTGAAAGCGTTCAGCACGGCAATAGACCTTTCTCAGGATACGCCAACTTGTAAATATATACATTGAGGCATATAACGCAAACAAAAATGGCGGCTTAAAAAGTGTGTACGATGAACGAGTGAATCTCGCAAAGTTACAGCAGATTGACAACATGGGGAAACACAATTATATGGCGGCTAATTACGATTTATGCAACTAAGGCACCCTTCCCAAAAGAATTTTAGGTGTCACCCCTTCTAAATATCTTCTCTAGTGCTATAAGAGTCTATCTGCCAAGTTTGGTGCTTTGGACCAGTCGGTCACGTTTCCGACCATAATTAGCCACCTGATTTATGCTTTTGAGATATATGCTGAGTTATATGGACGCATATTAAGGCCAGTGCTTCACATTCGCCGTAGATGTTCCTGTCAATAATCGCTGCAAAAAAAGTTGGTTTAACTGATTTTCAGTTGTAGCCTTCTGACCCATTTCCAAACTCAGATTGTATGCTTTCTACGCAAAATGTATCACCCTTGTTTTCCACAAGGCAGACTAGGCAGCTAAAAAAAACCCCAAATGGCATATTTCACATTTTTATTCGGTGCCATCTTGTTCAAGATTGGTGCAATCAATATTAAAGTCGGCACTAAGTTACTTTATTGTCAATGAGTGTCACTCATCTTTCGTACACAAGTGTTCAAAGTACACACTTCGGTACTTGGCGTCAATAAGGAAAATTTGTTTATTGATGGCCACTTATATTATCTGATCCATACAAGCTGGTACTTGATAAGCTCCTTCAAACAACGTGACTGTTACAAGTTTGGACCTTGTGCGGTTAAAAGTACAGGTTTGTTGTATAGCTAAGCAAGTATTCTATAAATAAAACTACATGCATTACAACCTACCGTGCAATGTCCGTCTGTTTTAGGTTTCTCGCAGTGTTTTTGATATCGTCGTTATTTGTTTCGCATAAAACACTAACGCAACAGGAGGTAAGTGCGTGGTCTTATTTTTGCATTATTGGTCTATTCAGTTTTATGCCACAGTGAAATTGACACTAATACACAGTTTAATTAACAGTTTGAATAAGATACCATTGGTCGGAGTTGTGAAATATACATTGTGTACAATTGTATGCAATTTCAACGACACGACGGCGGCAATGTCGATGAAGACATTAATTAATTACAACAATCTAACAATCGAACGATCGACGATAAGTGACTGGAAACAGCTGACTAAATGATCGACTGATACAAGGATCGAGTCAATCGACAGACTGATTGTCCGACTGATCGACACGCTAACTAAATGCTGCCAAGCTGATCTGAAACAACAATATAACAACCGAACGACAGACTGTGACCGACTGAAAACAACTGATTAAATGATCGACTGACCAAAGGATCTTGTCGATCAACAGACCGATCTTCCGACGGATCGACACGCTAACTAAATGCTGTCAAGCTGATCTTAAACAACAATATAACAACCGAACGACCGACTGTGACCAACTGAAAAAAAATTACTAAATGATCGACTGACCAAAGGATCTTATCGATCGACAGACCGATCTTCCGTCAGATCGACACGCTGACTAAAATGACTGTCTGGTCGCCTTTCCTTTCCAGTTACAGCACATACGGACTGACTATTGAGCTGACCAACCAAATAATTGACCAACCGACAAGAATACCTAATTGACATACGAACAGATCAACCAATAAGCCAGCCATCCAATGAAAACTATTTAAAAAATAAGTCACCCACCAGTATAAAATTGTTAAAAGGGTTCATGAAGTGAATTTTTCTTAGAAACACATTTTGTGCAACTTTCAACTCCTCTTTTATGTATGAAAAATATTATTTGCCATTCCTTTTCGGTTCATTTGATTGAAAAGTGCACTTCTTTAAATATTTACAATTTTCAATCCATTTCCTGACAGCTTGCCGAGGGCGCTATTGCTGTGATGTCAATTCAGGAAGAATATGTTCAGTTAAGGCTTTTCTGTTTAAATTGTGAATCCAAAAATTTACATAGTGAAAACATTTGTGAGAAAATTTGCTCATTGGCTCATTGCCATGTACTGACACAACAACGAAGCACCAAAGAACAAAAACTTTACGACTGGCAGCAAAATATCCAAATTTCTAGCAATATTCTGTATTAAGATGCCGAAATACCCTTGCGAATGGCAAAACAAAATTGAAAATAGGGTTCAATGGAACACAAACTAAGGTGCATTTTCAAGGATTTAATTTTAAAAAATGTCACTGCCTGAACCCTTTAAGTAAATCTTCCTCTAAGTTGTATCACATTTTAGGGGCGGATCCAAGAATTTGTGCGGGGGGGGGGGGGTTCATCACCAAATCAATGCTGAAATTTAAACAGGTTTTTTTCGCCGGACACTTGACCTCCGTAAAATTAATAAAGTGGGGGGGGGGGGGGGGGGGGGGGGGGGGGGGGGGGGGGGGGGGGGGGGGGGGGATCATACCATACAACTAATGGGGACGCTGTTCAAATCCGACGATCATTAAAGGGAATGTACAACATTTGCTTTTGCTACAATTTTCAGAAAGAAATGGATTTGGAGGATTAGTATGTTAAAGCGAATATTGTTTAAATGACTTTTTCACGTTTTGGGCTTGTAGATGCTGAAAAAAACAAGAAAACCAATCATGTTCTTGCAGTCTGGTTCCCTGACCCCACTTAAGATGAAACCGATCAGTTTGTAGACTTTGGGGAATTGTATGGTCAGAGAATCAGCCTATAAGCTAGCAGACTTGTACCCCTTCACGGGTGTGTAATCATTTGCAAAGAAAATGCGGAATAACTAATTATGAACAATTCGGAAAGGTTTTTTGAAAATTAGCCAGTTTTCTCCAACGCTGGTCGGCCGACCAGCGTTGGAAAAATACAATTTTTCTTTAAAATGTCAGTACACCAGGAGCCACGATTTTACAGGATGCTTTAGACTGTCAATCCCTATCAACCCAGTAAGGTATTTCGTGATAATTTGATCATTCCTTTTTTTGATCTTCCCTTTAATACTATAATACAGAATACTGTAAATATATATCCAATAACACAACTGTCGTTGTCCGAATTTTTTGCACAGGCGGATATTAATACCAGTATAATTTTTGGGGGTAACAGAAGGGGGGGGGGGTTTCACATTGTTTTTAAATGTATTTATATGGAATTTTTCTTAGTCACAGCTGGGGGACCCCCTGGATCCGAGCCTGTTTTTGTATAGATACTCGGGCATATTATGTCCTTTCGCATCTAAACTCACCTCTCCTTCCTGTCATTCAGTTGGTCAGATAGTCCAAAGTTTTTCCCTCACCAAGCACGATGCTGTTCGAGTCGTTATTGCCCAACTTCGTGGGCCCTTTGGTCTTGGCTTGCCTCGCCACGCCAACATGCCGTGGCGAGTCCCTGGCCAGCGTACTGAAACGCGTAGATGATGAGGACTTCGCAGCCCGAGTGAATGGCGACCGAGCGGCCGGACCGGGAACTACACTTGACATCAAGGAGATCGTGATTGGCCGGTGTTGGGACTACCAACGAGTGATCGGAATGAAAGAAGGGAAGCCACTGAGGTAGGTTCCAAACCAGCTCCTTTTGTGGTATCGCCATATTAATACAACACCAAGCAGCAATTTTCTGCAACCAAGCTTAATCAATGACCATGCGAATACGTCAGTTGGTAACGATATTCGGACTTTTGCTCGTACCCCCGGCCTTGCAAACAGGGCGCTGGGATACGCTGATGAGCTTCATAGAATCTTTTGAAGGAAGTGGGGTGTGGCATGCTGGGTAATGACCTATGTATTGAGACATCTGTAGCTGTTTAAGACCGCAGTTAGCCAATGCGCGCAAATGCTATCCGAAAAAATCTCTCATAGAAAAACACACCATGCCAGATTTGATTTCTTGTTTTCATTGCGTACCATGTGGACAAATATTTTGAGCGTTGCATAATGTGCAATTGACTCTTCGTGAATTCAAAACGAATCATCTCAATTAAATATTTGGGACAAGGTAAGGCTTATGCAAGTCAAATTCATTAGCGACAGTCAGTCAGTGAGGTAGGTACAAAGAGGCCTATGCAAGTCTAATTCTCAAATGACAGTCACGTGCTGTCCATATCAATTGGAGCTGCATATATTTACATCAACAGTAACCCACACCACATCATGTAGTTTATTTCAAGTTTTTCATTAATTACTTCATACACATCAGCGAGGTCGACTGTAATGGCACTGCCTGGCCAGCCTTCGTGAACGCATTCGCCTACAAGAGCCCCTGCAGTACGCCAGAAGACGCGTTCAGCAACTTCATCAAAATCATGACGGTCAGCCTGCCAGTGAACGGCGTAAGTACAAATTCAAATCATGAAATCAGAAAGTGCATTGAAAATGAACAGGCTGGCGCCTCCTCACTGCCTACCGTCGACATCAAGTTACCCGGCACCATTTTGTTGGTTCAATTACTGAATCTGACACTTGTGTTTATGTTTCTGTTTCATGACGTGTGCAAACACATAGCCGGCCGAGGCCTCTTGTTCAAAGGGGGACTGATCGCTTTGATCACAGTCTTAAATAACATAATGGTTTGTTTTACATTAATAATGAAACAAATACATATATGATTCAGTTACATTGCGCAAATTCCATATGAATAATGATCAAAGTCGCATCACAAACTTACTCCAAACATGTTCAGAGAGGGCGCATTATGCAGCCGATCCAGAAACACCTGGGCAAGCCCGTTCACTTTCACGATAAGTGTCCTAGATGTTTGATGTGCATTAAACAACGCACAGGACCTGCAGTTTTACGTCCCATCCCCAAGACGTGGGCTTGAAGGACCCTGTCGTGTCCCAGACAAGCCACCAACTAGGACCATACATGAAATGGTCTCCCAACCAACTACTGACCACAGTCAATGGTGCTTAACTTAGCAGTTCTACCACTAGCTCTTCCATTGAGCTAACTGTTTGGGTCAGAGGAGCAGGTGCAAGGAAGGCAAACTCCTCAAACGAGGACTCGTCCCTTCTTAGATGCGATATATGTTGCCCTATGACCATCAGTTCTGTGATGTATACATCATGTAAAATGATTTTAAAAATGCCAGCTTGTTATTTTCTTTTTTTTCCCTGACGACCTTCTCGTCTCCTTTCAACTCAACACCTCAGACCCTCTTCTGGTCTGGCACCAAGAACCTAGCCCTGATGTACTCGGAGCTGTCTGGTGGCACCATGTTCTCGCTGGAATTGACGTTCTTCGGGTACACCGTGAACGGTCTGACGTGGTGCGGCAAGCACACCGGCGGCATACACGGGATCAACTACGACAGCTGCCCGTCATTTGGCGACCAGAGCTGCCAGAGTCCAGTCTCCACGGTCTTTTGGGGATCAGCTTCCATGTCAGTAAGTATCCTACACAGACGAAGTTTTTCAGGAGAAAATGTATCAATATGAATATCTTCTTTGAAGCATTGGTTTTGAAACTAGTTAAAGTTTAGGTTCTCAGCTGCATAGCTCAGATGGATTCGAAGTGCACCGGCGCGGTATTCCATAGGTTGAGGCAACTAACTTGCTCCAATCTTAATAAGGGTTCCTTATTTCTACCTACTTGTTGAAGTATCAGCTCAATAGAATATAATACAATGTAATGCATTTTGCGAAAAAAGACAAAATGGCTGCGCAATTTTTGGGATCTCGCAACTGGATTGTGTTGCTAACGCACGTATAAAAAATACTGCGACACAGACACATTCTTATTAAAACCACCTTCAATGATTGTTTGCTTCCAAATGAAACCATTTCAGACGGAATAATTTTACAGGGTATTTTTTGTATATACTTCGGTAGGCTTTCTCGTTAAATCGATAGGCGTGTTTCGGGAAATTGCAAATGTTCCCTCGCTGGTGCATTTACAATGCATCTAATCATTTCCTTTTTATGTGTGTTTACTTGAGGAATTTAGATTTATTACATTATTTCGGATGACGAGCATGCAGGATCTATCAGCGTGATCTGATATAACGTACCCTCTGGAGACATGTGTACAACAGGGAACAAACGATTGTATATGTCTCCACAGGGGAATTTTTTATAGATGAATACGTCTCCACAAGGTTTTCACGAAATAGATATATGGATTTTACTAAAAAACTAGGAATTTCCAAGGTGAGTTGATCAGTCGCAAATGGAAGAGTTTTAGAAAAGGGATATTAAGTCCAAATTTCAGCCAAGGTAATTAATTCTGGTTAAAATAAGAGCATTTTGAAACTTCACTTTCAAACACGAAAACTTTACTACACGAGAACAAAGCAATGTCTCCACAAGGATACAAATTAGTGTGTGTGGCTCCAACAGGCCACTCAATAGTGAGGAGGCGTCAGGATACTACATCACCTCATTCTTTCACCATGCTCCCCCTTCTCGCCACCCTCTAGCTTCCGCCCCGCCCGCCACAAACATCAGGCAAATGGTGGCGGATTAAGCTCCTCCTATACTACTCACGTGCCTTTGAATTATTCTAATACACCTACTCAGTTTTCTTTTTTTTTAATATAATATTTGAAGAATTGACATTTATCGTTAGTTTGCCAGACAAGCACGAGGATCTATCAGCGTGTTATTGGATGGAAGCGATCCTAGGGGAGCCTTTCGGAACAACAGGTTCGTTGGCGTATTAAAAGTAAATTATTTAATTTAAGAGGGATATAATATTAAGAACAAAATAGCCCATTCAGCTGTTTATTCTTTCATTTCCCTATACAGAGGACCATATACATTTAGGTACAAAGTGTTGTATTTGACACAAGATAAAGTTTAACAAAACAACAAGCACAAATGGTATTCAGATTTTATCCTGATGATTTTCTGATCATAATTACCAATAAATTAATTTTGTTTCCATTGCATTATAGCTTTTTCGCTACCATGGAACTTCCTAACTTGGATACTGCAATGGTGGATCTTGTTAATATCATCGTTGTGCACGACCTCGACGGACACATTGTGTAAGCGCTGCCAATGTAATTTTGTATAATTATAATAAGCCTCTGTGCTGATGACGTCAGACTTTGTTTCCTTGTGCGCTTTTCTACGGGGCTACAAAATCGTTGTCCCCACCAGGCTCCCATAGCAAAGCACAGATATAAACAAACTGTGACGTCATCAGTATACATAGGCTTATTATACACTGTCACATGACAAGACTCCTGGCTGTTTGAGGGTTGTTTGCAATGTAATGTGATGGTGGTGCCCCACTTCCAACCCCCTCCAAAAACATCCTTATAGGTGTAACAATTGGTATGCAGATTTGTTCTGAAACAAAATGTCTGATATACAAATATTGAATGTTTCGAGTGGTGTAGTAAAACTAGCCTCCCGAGGTGATCCATGGACATTCTAATTTCCCGAGGTGGAGCCGAGGGAAAATAGAATGCTCCATGGATCACCGACAGAGGCTAGTTTTACTTCACCACAAGATAAAGCATTCAATATTTGTTTTATAACACTTCACCCACAGATTCTGCTTGGTTTTAATATTTTTAATTATTTAAATCTGAACACGTACAGTTGAAATAAACTTCAATTTCAATACAAAATTGGTGGAAAATGTATTTCTCTCTTCCAAACTACCCCTTCACGAAATGTTTGAACCCAACTCTGTTGCGCGCTCTCTTCTGAACAATACGCGCTACGCGCAACGCGCATCGCGCACACCAGCATGCATTTGCACACAAATACCGCGCCGTGGATATAGTACTTTGGTTGCTAATGGTATAGTACATGTACTTCGGTTGCTACGGGTATAGTACATTTGGCCGTGCACAGAACGATAGCAAAAACAGAAAGTAACATATGACTCGCTCTCGGCCAATCAAGATACAAAATCTGTGGGTGAGGTGTTATAATATACAAATAATGAATGTTTGTGAATGCAATGGTAAGAATAATTTCATGAGGTGACGGATGAAATGGAACATTTCATCTGTCACCGAATGAAATTATTCTTTCCATTGCACGAACGTGAAACATTCATTATTTGTTTTATATACCACCTGAATAAATCCTTGTCATTTGATTGTTTGACTTTTAATTCTCATAATAATTGGCTGGTTTTGTTTTTGATGTTTGCAAATGTTGTATATTACCTTTAACAACGGCTTGATAATTTTTGCAACGGGTTGATACTTTTGCTGACTTTCATTGCTGTTACTGCTCCTGCGAGTGTTGCTGTTGTTCTTGTCGTCGTGTGTTGTTTGTTCTTGCCTCAAATGTTGCTGTCCGTTACTTGTGTTAATCGTGAGAACTGATTTTTTTTAATGCCGTTTTTCAGAGACACTTGTGATAATGGAACCATTTTGATACTGAAGGACCGTATCATCCAGCGTGGACTGCAGTGGAAATGCAAGGACGACCCAAAGTAAGAGACCGTGAAACGATCATAAGACGTAGTCAACCGATCAAAAGGTTTATAGACGAATGAACATACAGCTGCGGTGCTGTACTTCAAGCCAATGTGTAGCGTATGAACCGAAAGGGGGTACAAGCTTGGACGTCAAACAAAGTGCTAAAAGAGAAACAGACAAGACAGAAAAGTTAGATTTATGTGGTCTGAGAACCAGACTTCTAATTGGAACTCGTCGCACATTACGTACAGCACAGTCAAAGAACTTTGATGGGTGCAACCCTGCCAAAAAAATCCCATAGACACTAGTGCTAAATGCGCATACTTCAAAATTCTTTTAAAAATACTCAGAACTCTCACAGGTATTCAAACTGCACAGAAAAATGATCAATGTGTCATCTTTCATTTTCTTTTCATTTTTTGGTGGGTTGACCATTGACTTTTCGAGATATTCTCACCCAAAGAAGACTACCCCTATTTTCCCTAAAGAGGAAAAGTAGCCATCTTGAAAAAAAATCCCTCCACAACATGGCAAAATAGCGCCACTTTCGAGCCCGATAGCATCCAAAATTCTCAGAATTGGAAGCCCCAAGTCCGGGCCAGAGGTTTATTACCATATCTCTTCAATTCCCCAATTTTATGGCTCTCAAAACTCTCTAATATAGAATATTTTGAGGGTATAACTTTTATTTATGAGCTCAGCGGACGGATTTTTGGCCTATTTACAGGTTTGCACCCTATAGGAAAGCAGTGTGGCGCCCTCGTGAGATAATACACGGAGAAAAAATAATATCCGTTTTATTTAAGGATGTATTCAAAAATCATAGACTGACAGTGGATATTTCATAATTTTACAGGTTAGCAAAACTCATCCAGTGTACCGAGAACCCTGACAATGAAAAGTGCAATCTGACGTCTGGAGTCAATACACTGCACGGCCGCAGCTGGAACTTCATCGTCTTGACTTTGCTCGCCTCGCTTTGGATGATTTGGACATGCTAATTAGACCAGGGCCCAATTTCATGGCTCTGCTTACCGTTAGCGAAAAATCCCTGCATATTGTAGCAGAAAATTCTGTGTTAACGGTAAGCGTATCTCACCGGTAAACAGGGAATTTTGGCTTCTGCGCATGCGTAAATCCCGTAACTAAGGGTTTTGTGCTTACAGGGTTAGCACAGGGCCCAATTTCATGGAGCTGCTTAAGCACAAACTTTGCTTAAGCACAAAAAAGTCTTGCTTAATAAAATCAGGTTACCAGCCGAAACTCCATGCGATTTGCTAATTAAACAACAGCTATGATACCAGTCACAAGCAATGTGCATCACATGGAGTTTTGGCGGGTAAGCTGATTTTACTAAGCAATGTTTGTTTGTGCTTAAGCAAATTTTGTGCTTAAGCAGCTCTGTGAAATTGGGCCCAGATTTATTTCTGCTAGCGCGATAAGCACAAAATAGTGATCGTCAGCACATAATTATGTGGTTAGCAGAGCCATAAAATTGGGCCCAGGCCTGCATGATCTCTAGTTACGTTACATATTATCGGTAACTGTCAAAAACTCAATAATAAATGTAGATGGGATGCTGTGATGCTGCTTTGGTCTTGACAACGTTAAAAAAATGACAAAAGTGCATGATGCTGGCTGACGGGAATGCAGTATGGATCGCTCTGGATTTGATCATAAGCCCAGCTCACCTGCAGTTGCCGTGTAACCAAGTTGGAGACTTTTAAGACGATCAATGGCAGCAAACACACGGGTCCGTCTCTATTGCTTGCGTCATTTTGAACTTGCGCAAATGAGCTTAAACATGATGCTATAGCAGCTAAAAAAGTCTCCCATTACGTTGGACGGAGCTATTGTGGTTTACCTGACCCAAATTCATGATCGGATTGATTAATGGACCGTTTGAAAAAAAAGAGGTTTTTTTATTTTGAGGCTTCTGTCTGTCTTTTATATTATCTAACTTTGACCTTCCGGTACGACCCGGAAGTATAGCAACTCTATACATGCATTACAATAAACGCTTATCAATGAATGGTTTATCTGTTTACAACGTATGAACATGATTAATAATATCGTTAGAGAGTTATAAGTTAAAGAAGCTGATTACTTTGTGAACTAAAATCGCCCATTATTAGATACCAGATGACGTCATCATGACGTCACAGCAATCTTCATATTATGATTATGATTATTATTATTATTATTATTATTATTATTGTAGCCACGTGGAATTTTGAAAAGGCTTGTTTAGGTTATGTGCAGTATTTTATCTTTATTGGAATTTAATAACTTCTTTTTATATATCTATCTTCTTAGTGAAGTACATGTTTTGTGATTTTTGGTGTAATATTATTCGTAATTTGTAAATGTTTTTCATTAACGTGTTTTAATGTTAAAGGCCAATGGAATTCCCGTCAGTGATAATAAAGTCTAATTGAATTGGATCACGGTTGATGTTGATCTCAAGTTTTATGCTCATGCATGGTTACGTTTGAAAGAAAAGTAGCGAAGAACTATTGTCGAGGGGAAAAAAGAAAAACACCACCAAATGCAGAAGATTTATTGTTGTATGTGTTCGGCAGGGTGACCGAAAAGTCATGACTAAATTCTGCTAAATGCACTTCAAAATCTGTCAGATTTATCAAAAATCTGCCAAATTCCCCAGAATTACTCGAAATACACTAAAAACACTTTAAATCACATGCAGATGTTGTAATATTGCCTTAATTAATGTTCAAATTACATTATAAACAATCTATAGCCACATAAAGATAATATGAAATTGCGTAAATTTCAGGCAAAATGCGGTTGCGTTACGACGAACTCCGGTTCCCAGTGAACCTCAGCACCTAGACCATGGCATCCTGTCCTATTTTGCAAGGTTTTTCTTTGAAAAGACTGAAGCTTTTGTAACCAAATGTGCCATTTCTTTGGGGCAAATTTGCTGTTTTGAACCCGATTTGGGTTGAACCCGATCACTTTACATAGAACATAATGGGTGCGTGTCTGCCCCGGTGTCAACTACCACTGCCCCAGCTCGTCAGCGGCTCTCTGGCGGCTGCCCGGGTAGTGACGTCAGTGGACGATTTCGATGATAGGAAGATTAAATATTTTATTTTATTTTTATTTTCATTGTAAACTTTAACGAGGGTAGTCCATTTCAGTTTAAGAAAACTGCTTCTCAAATAAATTATTACAAAGAACCAGAAATTACACTCAAAGCTAACACAAAACATACAATATGAGTAAAAAAAACTAACCATGAGTGGCGATAGCAATTAAAAACACTTGTTGCACATTTATACAAAAAAAAGCTGCATATATTTTTTTGTAAAGAAAAAAAGAAGAAGATTCTTGCTGCTAAACGTCATGTAGTCCCCAAAAAGACCTGCTTAGAAAACAACAATGACAGTATAAAGAAAAAAAGAAAAAAAATCGCAGTAGTCCCCAAATTACACATGGAAAATAAATTGAAATGCTCAGATAAATAAAATGTGTGGTTGTATAAAAATATGCAATTTCATTCCAACTAAGAATTACATAAAGTCCCATCCAATACATGTAGACCTAGCCAAAATTTACATGTAAACAAAAGAAAACACATGAAAACCAAAACTGTAGCTATGCACTGCTACATAATTACATAAGATACCGTCCCCTCCGGACTAGATAAAAAAATACCTGTTTAATTTTAAAGAAAAAAAATGGCGTGAATTTTAATAAGGCCTGAAGAGTACAATGGAGAGATTTATGACGCAAATATTGCCAATTATTAACGGTGTTCGTAATTTTTGATTATTCATAGCATGTCCACCAACTTCAGCAATTTTTGATCTGTTTACAGTGATCTGAAAAAAACTAAATTTACAAGTGAAGCTGACGGAAGTATGCTTGGGGTGTTTACATTTTAAGTTCCCCCCGAAACAACCTTTGACCTGATTTGTCCGTGACTGCCCAGGCAAATATACACCGCAGCATTCGACACTGAGCCACATTTACCCGGGTGTTACGCAGTGTATACACGGGGAAGCTAATCGAACGCACCCAGACAAAACCGAAAGGGTGATGGAAGTTGACCCAATCACTCAACTAGGACGAGCCATTGCGCAGGGTCCTTTATTGATACATTCAGTGGAGGCGGGGGGGGGGGGCCTTATGTATGCAAAAGTTTGTAAACAGAGGTGAGTGGTGTTTTATACTAGGAATGGAAAACCCCTTTGGATTTGGGGAAGTACATGACGGAAAGTCACACGTACACCATCGCATTGTAGTGCGTACACACCGTTTCGTTCCTTCACAAAGCCAAATAGAGCTATTATACATGTACGTGTATAACACAGCGACGGGATTACGAACTCTGTTTAAATGCCACTGATGTGATCGCTCGGGATTTATGAATTTTTACACCAACTACAAGGAACTTTGGCAAGCAACGCAGTAGAACCATATGTCATTGGCCACTCACACGCAGGACTAAGCTTGATATTTGTTACATGGAGTAGGCCTATATACACAATGGAACTCGACACAGGAAATGATTTCGTTTGGAAACTAAACAACTGGAATATAATCAGAGAAGTATTGATTGGTAAGTGTGTAGTTGTCAATGTTATTTCTTCAGTTATTTTATAGTGTTTTTTTTTCTCGGGCCAGTACTTAAATTACAGAGGAAGATTTATGATAAAACTAAAAGTCAATGGGTTAATTATACCTAGTTTTCAACAGCTAGAACAGGGAGTAATCAATGAAAACTTAACATACTGCTAATTAAAGAAACAGACGAAGACAAACAACCGACTAACCAACTAACCGGTAGACGGCAACGGACCGATTAGCTTACCGACCGGTCGACCAGCCGGCAACAGGCCTGCAGCGACGCTCTAAAATTCCCAGATCAGATTTGACCCAGACCTCGGATCAGATTTGACCCGGACCCTGGATCTGAATTGACAAGGATTCCGGGTCAAATTTGACCTGAAACTTTTCAGGGTCAAAATGACACTTGAAATAATTCCTCGGGTTATTTTGACCCGGAAACCTTGGCAAAAGTGTCATTTCACCAAGAAAGTGTCACATTGACCTTGAAAAGTATCAGATCAAATAGAACCCGGTTTCCGGGTCCAATCTGACCATGGTCCTTAAAATAATTCTCCTCTTAATTCTGTTGTCATTAATTCTTATGTCATTTTGTATTTACGCACATCAAGACAAGCAATAAACCCGCATCTGAACACCCGGCCGGCTCTCCTTCCTGTCATTTAGTCCTCCGGTTGGTTAAAAGTGTACAACCTTTAACAATGACGATGCGTTCCAAGTTGTTCTTGCCCAACCTCGTGGGCCTTCTGGTCTTGGCTTGCCTCGCCGCGCCTACATGCCGTGGGGAGTCCCTGGCCAATGTTCTGAAACGCGTAGATGATGAGGACTTCGCCGCCCGAGTGAATGGCAACCGAGTGGCCGGAGCGGGAACTACACTCAATATCAGGGAGATCGTGATTGGCCGGTGTTGGGACTACCAACGAGTGACTGGGATGAACCAAGGCAGGCCATTGATGTAGGTTGAATCTTAAGCCCCCTTTATGGTATCGCCGGCCCATTGTGAAGGCCGGTTCATGCTTAATGCGAATGCAAATGCGATGCAAGTTGAACGTCACGAGGCATTCCCTGCGTAGTTCGCCGGAGCTGAAAGTTTGTTCTCAGCTTTTGCCAATTCGCAGCACAAAAACGTGTCCTGACGTCACCAATTTTCGCGCCGACTGCGAGTATAGACCGGCATTACTCAATAAGGCCGGTTCTGGACCAATTCGGCCCATGGGGTCTAGGTAGTCCTCTGAGTTAAATGTTTTTGCCAAGGCGTGGTTCATCATTTCGAGTCTAATGCTGGTGATCAGGCAGTTTGTCAATTAGTCAGTTATTGAGATAGTAGGCATACGTTACATCCCAGCTATGGCAATGGTCAAAATTCCTTAGTTGGGACGATCGTCCTAACTTGGCATTGTCAAAACTACATAGTGGCGCTATGCTGTAATTGTGTGTAATAGGTCAAAAAAGTTGTAGACCAGACCTAGCTCTCTGGGACCATCAAAGTCATTTTAGGGCCAAGGTAACACTTATGCAAGTCTAATGCTAAAATGTCAGTCAGTCAGACAGAAAGATAAAAAAAACCTGCATTGTCCCAAATAATTCACACTTTATTTTTGTTTTTGTATATAACTCCATTTAAACTTTTCGCTCATGCCTTCTAAAATCAGTGAGGTTATTTGTGGTACCACCGCCTGGCCAGCCTTCGTGAACGCATTCGCCTTCCAGAACCCCTGTAATGTACGAGAAGATGCGTTCAGATCCTTCACCAACATCATGACGGTCAGCCTGCCAAGGAATGGCGTAAGAAAAAATTCTAATCACAAAATCATCGAAACTCAGAGAGTGCATTGGAAATAATTGGCCTCTTAATGGTACTATAGTGTTGGATCGATTTCCCTCCATCTGCTGTAGACTCTATAAATAAAAGTGCCCTAAAGAATCACACAAAAAACCGATGATCAAACTTAATAAAGCGATTTATGTTCACCGTGGCACCTCTTTGGTGTCTAGTGCTCTATCGGGAGTGCTCTATCATCAGCATCTTAAATAAAATTACCCGCATGTTATTTTCTCTCACTTTTCCCGCTGGCATTCTACACTCCAATCAACATCTCAGACCATCTTCTGGTCTGGTACCAAGAACCTCGCCAAGATGTACTCGGAGCTGTCTGGCGGCACCATGTTCTCGCTGGAAACGACGTTTGTAGGGTACACTGTGAACGATCTGACGTGGTGCGGTACGCCGCTCGGCGCAGGGATCAACTACGCCAGTTGCCCGTCATTTGACGACCCGAGCTGCCCGAGTCAGGCCTCCACGGTCTTCTGGGGATCAGCTTCCAAATTAGTAAGTGACCTACACTCAACCAAAACAAGAAAGTCCCCTCTTAATTCTTTTTTTGTATAACTCAAAAACTACCGGGCACATCTTGCTCAAAACAACGACTGTTCAGTACAGAAATTCCTCAGCCATCCAGCCATACTCTTTGGTTGCCCCAAAACAGTGATAATGTGTACAAAAATATGCAATTTATGACAAAAGGTATACTTGTATACTTTTGTATACTTGCAAGGTGAGTGTGAACCACAACTTGCTCGTATACAAAAGTGCATTTGTTTTCGGTATCGTTTGTCATAAATTGCATAAATTCGTATATACACATTATCACTGTTTTGGGGCCAAATAAAGAGCATGGCTGGATTTCAATGGAATTTCTGCACTGATTAGTCGTTATTTGAGCGAGAGGTGCTCAGTAGTTTTTGAGTTAGACAAAAAGTATTAGAAGAGGGGGACTTTTTTTGGGTTGAGTGTATATAAATGAGGTTTGCGGGAGACGACATACCAATGTCCCACATCGCAGAAGTCAGCCAATCTTTCGTTGTAGCACGCACACATCCTTTTAGGAAAAGATTAGTTAAATACAATATTGTGCTCCATATGACCAGCCTCGGCTATAGTCTGGTTTCGTAGTAAACTGTTCTGTCATTCTTACTGTCGTATTACAATGTACTAGTTTGCCAGACAAGCACGAGGATCTGTAAGCGTGCTGTTGAATGGCAGCGATTCAAGGGGAGCCTTTCGGAACAACAGGTAGGTCAATGATTTTAACAAAGGGCAAATTGACAAAATGCCACATTTTATTATCTACACTCTCATTTTTCACACATATACAGTATAATCTTAATTAAAATGCATTTGACAAATATATACATATGCAACATAAACACATCATTGTTTATTATCAGAGAAAGTCCGAATGAATTTCTCATCATATTAATTACAACATTCAATTAATTTCTTTCCCCACGGTTTAATAGCGTTTTTTCTACTGTTGAACTTCCTAACTTGGATTCGTCATTGGTGGATTTCGTTAACATTATCGTTGTACACGACCTGGACGGACAAATTGTGTAAGTGTTGTCGAGGTCTCTTTGTATATATCGTCATAGCCCATGTTTACATTATGTTTACAAGTTAGACGTTGAGGTCACATGATTCCCAATTGCAGCAGAAAAAGTTCTCTTTTACAAGATGGGCCCGTTGGTATGACGTCACAGGTATCATAGTCCATACCATGACGGGTTGTGGTAGGTTTGTAATGTACCCCAACATACATGTACACACCCATGTTTACATTACATACGTACATGTAGTGTGGACATTCCTTTGTTTTTGTGTAGTTAAGAAAAACCTGTGAAAAAAGTCATTTTACTCACACTGTGAAAACTCTTTCCACCCATTTTTTCCCCTACGATTCCCTTGAGTGTTTCTCTTTATTGTGCGACGGATAAACCTAGGCCCAAAATGCCTCTAATTCTGTTTTCCAGAGAGGGGGGAACCTTGTGTGGACGTGGGCAAGTCCACACAACGTATCTGAAAACTGGTTTATGTGGACGTGTTTTGTCCTGTTGCTGTTCGTTGTTAGTGTTATTTTGAACGTACCAGTGTTAATGAGTCTGATTTTAAATACTTTTTCTCAGTGACACTTGCGACAGTGGGACTATTTTGATTCTTAAGGACCGCATTATCAAGCGAGGAATGAAGTGGACATGCGAGGACGACCCAAAGTAAGAATACGTGAAATGATATTCAGGCCTAACCAACCAGTAACAGTTTACTGAAGGGACACTATGCCCTGGAATACGCCCAGTTGGGCTACAAAACGCACTTTGAAAGAAATGCTGTTTATCGAAAAAAAACACCACATTTTAAAGGAGGATATAAACATCCAAACAACTATCCTTTAAAACTTGGAAATTTTCGGGGTCCACTTCTGCGACCCCCCGAAATTGGGCTGTTATAGTTGTGATTCCAGCCGTAAAGTGGTCGCCTAATTTGCGTGCGTGTAAGAATTTAGTTAAAATATCATGTATACGAAATCAACTACTGCAAAAATGATCCACGATAGTTTATAAAATGTTGAATATAAACGGTTTAACACGTAGGCCCTAACTGTTGAAGAACTTTGATGTTAAGCTATCTGGCGCCCTATTGAGTTCATACACGGAGTGGAAATATTCTCGGCTTTATTGAAGATGTAATTAATAATAAAAAGTGACAGTGACAATTTCATTCTTTAACAGATTAGCAAAACTAATCCAGTGCACGGAGAAACCAGACTATCACAGGTGCAATCTGGCGTCTAGAGTGCACAGCCGGAGCTGGAACTTCGTCGTCTTAACCGTGCTCGCCTCATTTTGGATTACTGGGACGGGCTGATTAGATAAGACCTGTCCATAGAGCTATCTAATATAGCTCTATGGACCTGTCATGGTCTCTTTATTTTTTAAATGTCTTCTCGATAACTGTCCAAGGGTGAATGTCAATATTAAATGTAGTTAAGATACTATTGCTTTGATCTTGACAACGGTAACGAAAGTGCATGATGCTAAATGACTTTAGTATGGACAGTTGCTATTAGTGCGCAGGCGTAAGTTACGCCACAAATCAACTACTAGTCGACTTTTAAATCTGGAACCTCTTTGTTATTGAGTCTGTATAGCCAATGAGGTATTATTATGTAATCCTTGCTCGGTTTTTGTAACAATTTTATTGAACTAAAGGTTCCCGAAATACATGTTTTGATTGTTTAAGTGTGAAATCAAATGTTTCTGTACAACATGATTAATGTTAGAGACGGCGTTGTTCAATGTCTCCGAAATAATTATTAATGACTTCTGTGACATCAGTTGACTTATTTTTTTTCTTTGTATGTCTTTCTTTCTGATACTGATGTGTCTATTTTCTACTTATCTCTCTTTTTTATCTTGTGCTATAAATTTGTGCGAATAAAGGTGTTATTAAAGGCTTTCTCGGCCATTTTCAACAAGTTTCGTTCAATTTAACGGCTGGCTCATTCAATTTAGATTGAAATTGAAAGATCACGCAGATCGTCATTCGACAATCACAAACAACCGTTCAATTTCACGATCTCGGCATTTTATCATCTTTTAGCTTCGCTGGAGGGGGGGGGGGAGGAAAGGGGGGATTCAGGGGAACACCAAAAAGAGGCACTTGCTCAGAAAAAGGGGCACTTTCCGTCGGTGTGAAAGTGAAAAGCCCTTCGGCCTCCGCAGTGGCGGATCCAGCACACATTTTTTTTTTTTTTGGGGGGGGACAACATTTGGTCCCCAAAAAAGTGTGGTTTGGGGCCCGTTTAAGGGTCCCGAAAAACAATGGATTCTTGATGCTCAGTGGTGCGATCTGCGGCAATTCTGACCACTTCATCGAATTTCTAATTAGGAAAAGATGGTGGCGAAAAAGAAACAAAAAAGGCTCCGGGTTTTTTTTTTGGGGGGGGGGTAGGGATAAACATGACCCCGTTGCACACCACACAAGCACAGCCTCCGCCCCCGGCAGTAACCTCTCTGGGTCCGCCCATGAATTTAGTTATGTACAGAAACGTTTTTATCGCGGGAGGGGCACCGTGGCTCTTGATGGCCAGCTCAATGACAATTTTATTCGCGTAAGGAGCACTATTATTATTAGAGGCCATATTTCCACGAGAGGTGCACAATTATGATGTTGGGAGCGTGGCACTAACAATTATTGTGCTTTTGAGGGGAAATTTTACATATCGAGAAGTTATCGCGTGAGGAGCACAAGGTCGATTTGTTTTGATGGCCAATCTCGAGAGGGCACAATTGTATTATTGCGAGAGGGGTATTGTGCTTTTGAGGTGTATGATAATGCGAGAGGGGCACTAATTGTGTTTTTGATTTTTAAGGGGCAGTTTTCCATTACAAGAAAGGAGGCAATTTTATTTTTTAGCGGGAACATGATTTCTTCATAACTTTGTCTGCATTTTGATTTCATCTTGAGGGGCACATTTGTAATTGTAAGCGCGAAAGGGAGCACTTTTGTTGGCTGTGGGAAAATCTGGGTGGCAAGTGCCCCCCCCCCCCCCCCCGGCGGAACAACCAAACAGCGCCATTCTAATGTGTCGGCCATACCTCACAATAGGCTCATAAAAAAATGTTCAGACAAATAACAGACAGTCAGACAAACCATCTTTTAAAAACTAATTTTATTCTGAATTAAACAATCCACATTTTGGCATTTGAAGGCAGTCCGCGTTACACATAAACATTGCAAAGTATTACTGATAAGAACATTCAAACTTTTCAAAAAAAAGCTTGTTTATTTTTTTCTTAAAAATAAAGCTTGAAATATGCCCTTCCATCTTTGTTTCTACCACTAAAATGAGATTTGTTGGGGGTAGGATAAGCACCATGTTTTCTAAACAACACTAGCAAATATATTTGAATTTAGCTTTAAGAAACCTTATTTGTGGAGAACAGGCTTTTTTTCATGATTAATAACAACTGCAAGGCAAGAATAATTTTCCTCCGAATTTCGAATGTTTTTGTCCTTACAAAGACGATTACTGAGCTTTTATCATATATTGAAGCATGGAAACTTAATCTTGAAAATGGAGTGAGTGAAATCAACGAAATGCCTCGGTCATGTATAGTTGAAGGTTGTTCTAGAAATACACTCAAAACTCCGGACTTGGGTTTCGTCACTTTTGAGACAAAAAACGGAATCGTGCGTACGGTGGACTGAATTTCGTGGACACCACAAAGTCTGATTTCAAGCCCACGAAGTGGTCCCAAATTTGCCAAGAACATTTTTAGGAAGATTGTATCAACACATCCAGCATACTTATGAAACAGTTTGGCATAAAGAACTCCATCCGAGTCAATCGGGGCGCAGTCCCCGCCAGAAAAACCCAGTCAATCGTCCAGTGCCATGCCTATCTAGTCCCCGGCTCAGCAAGCACATGCAAGCACCGGCCATGCCGGCTCACTATCACCGAGGCGCCGGCGGCGCAAGTTTGGTCGTGACACTCACAGTTTTGCGTTCGAGAAACGAGAGCAATCCAGGGTAAGTGAATAAAAACTAGAACGGCGAAGCCGCCATGGCTCGCTGTCCAAGGCAGGAAGGGAGGCTGAAGGTAGGGTTGGGGATGGGCATGATGGAAGGGGATCAGGATTCTTGTTGATGTGCCTAGGTGTAGGGGTCAGTTTTTAAATGTCAACATAAAAAGTCAACAGATTACCTAATAAATACATGTGTATATAGGTTAGCCGTCACTGTATTATGGGGGAGTTTTCCATTGTTAGGGTAATTAGGACCCAGTTGTGGATTTTTGCAGCCCCAACAGTGTTTTCTGCTCCCCATACTTGTATTACCATGGGAAAAATCTTGTGTAGTCGCCACAAATGCCGGAACAAGAATGGGTATACATGTACATGTAGACACAGCACCATCACCACCTCCCCCAAACCTTACCCCATCCCCAACCCGCCCCCTCCCCCTCCCAACCCCCTACCCACACCCATTCCATCCTCCCCTAACCATCCCCACCCTATCACCTACACATCCCAACCCCACCCAAACTCCAATCCCTATCTCCTTCCCCCTCCCCTGACCCGTACCCTCCCCTACCCCAACCCCCTACACCCACCTACCCTATCTTCCCCTATCTGTCCTTACCCACCCTACACATCCCCACCCTAACCCTTACTCAAATTCCAATATCCCGCCCACCCCATTCCTCCACCCATACATCCCCACCTGACCCCATGCAACCCCTACTCTGATCCCTATATATTGCCCCCTCCCCTTATCCAACCCCTACAACAACCCATCCCTACACATCCCCAACCCAACCCCTACTCCGATCCTATATACCGCCCCCTGCCCAACCCCCTCCTAACCCAACCCCTACATCCATGCCCATCCTCTCCCTACCTGTCCCACCCCACCCCTACAAGTTCCCACCCCACCCCTACAAATCCCCACCCCACCCAAACCCAGTATTCCAACCCCTCTCCCCACCCCACCCCACCCCACCCATCCTAGCTCCCCTACTCATCCTACTCACACAAACCCTAACTCCAACCCCTATCCCCCAACCCACCCCACCCTCCCCTACCCCATCCCTACTCCAATCCCATAAAACTAAAAGATCAAACCAGAAGCTCATGCACATCCCCAAAATGCATAGTGTACATGTACATGTTATACCGGTATACACACATGTACATGTTATACCAGTATACATGTACATGAAACAATTAAAAACTTTAACATTTCCTTGAATTAAAGTTCCTCAATAAAATCATAAAATTTACTGCAATGATATGAACCTAACTGAAGTTATAGGCCTAGAGATGATACATGACAACTGCATTTAATTTTTTTCCCCAAGTTAACTAAAACCAAAAACTTCAACATTTTTATCTGAACGCGGACGGCCGGACAGACGGACGGACGGACGGACGGACGCCCGGACAGACGGGCGCCCGGACAGACGGACGGAAATTGGTATTACATAGGCTCGCATCTGCTTCGCAGCTCGCCAAAAATAGCCCCATTGCATGACTGAAAAGGACAATCCTCTGTTAAAGTTTACACATGACTGTTATTAACAAATAAAAAAATTAATCGATCCAAATGACTGAAAATAAAATGAATTTAAATGAAAAGCATTGAACCTATTTCGTGAATAATTGCTTCAACAATACGGTAAACCGTAGTGATTTGGTCCCATTAACATGAATGCAATTTGGATGTACTTTTTCGGTATGATTACCATGTACGTTTTACCTCCACTTTGCACTCCTTATGAATTAAAGTGGACTGTGACATGGTTTTTACAATCAGGTATTGATGTCACGTATGTGATATGATGATGTAATTTATTTATTATTGTGTCAAATGAATAGGTCCTTTGCCTAATTATTCTTTATGGCAGGTCGTTAAGAAATGTAAACACAAATGCTCGATTTCCTTCAATGCAACCAATATCAGACAGAATAAGCAGAAACATGTTACATGAAAAATGTCATTACATGCTCCTGGGTCGTGCCACAACGAGAGTACCGAGTGGGCCTTGGAAGGAAAGAACGGCCCTCTCGCACGCTGCCCAAGAGTGCGCTTCAAAGCCTATTACAGGATTTCTTCACCAAGTGTATATCACCCTTGAAGAATTCAAGGAGGATGAGATCCTCAACAAACTACAGAGAGTCCAGAAGTGGGTCATCAATCTCACTGATGCAAAGACATGGTATGGTGTAAGTGTGTCCCGCTGTGGAAGAAGAGGCAGATACCCTACTGCAACGAACAAGGGACAATAGAGGGCAAAAGCTACCATCCTTGGTAGTCATATTAAAAGCCCTATACAAGTACATGTACATGTATATACATTTGTAGTCTTTAATATGAAGATGTTGCCTATTGTTACGTACTGTAGCTGTGTTACTATTGGCTGCATCGGAAGCAAAAGTGCTACAGGAAACTTGAGCGAATGTTGCTGCTTGCTGATGGTTTCATATCTCAGGTTTCCACCTACATGTAAAAGAAGAGGTGTTGGAGGGACACGTAAGGGCCAGTGCCCTTCAAGAGCTGAGAAGAGACACGCCTAGGCCCCAGGCACTTCAAAAACTGATTGAGGGACAAGATGCATCAGTCGAATATCTCTTAAATACTGAAAACCAATGAAAATCTCTGGGAAATGTCCAAAGATTCATCATTTCCAGAAACTGTGGGCAATGACACTATCACAAGAACATTGTGCCAAAGGCTGCGTACAGAATATATTTCCAATATGAGGGAATAAGGATCTCAGTCATATGCAAACTACGGTTACTACCGGTAGAACACCTGGAGGACAACAATTTCTTGGCAACCAAAGCCCTAAACGAACTCCGGATGGGACACTACCACCTCCAGATGTCTTTGAAAGACAAGGTACCGTAATTGGACAAAATATTCAAAAACCCTGTAATTTGCATCCCTGCCCGATGGGTCTCAAGGGTACAA